ACGCGCTCTTACTTCTCTTTGTTTGTTTCTCTTTTCTATATTACGATATCAGTGCTTGTGCAACTGTTAAATCATTTTAAACTCGCGGACTACACATACGATTCCATTAGGGAAAATTCATATCTGGGCAGGAAAGCAGAAAACAGAAAAGCGGGAGCTATTCAGAACTCACGCTAAAGCTCAGATGGTAATTGACAGTTACTGCTTTTCTACCAATGTGAATTCTGATTGACTTCTGCTTCTTTGCTAAGATGTGAATTCCCCGAGTGTAACTGAATTTTCTGTCATCTGAGAAGCAAATAAAAAACTCGATTGTAGCTACAGAACGATTCCTACGGGAAGTTTCAGCCATCAATCATTTTCAGCTATCTCAATTGGGTTTTAATACAGCTGAATGTTCAGACGAATATTTTCGATCGCAGTAACAGAGATATTATTTTTCGTCCTCATTCAATTACACGAAATTTCTTTTTCCGTGTACGAAAAACTCAAACCGTGTTCAAACTCTACGTTTACATGAAACTCTCTCTCATCTCAGCCACTGCGTACGAATACTCCCGCATCCGTTGCATATTCGAGCGAATGCACCGGGTGGGACAAAAAGGTGGGCACGAGACATGCGCGCAAAGATACATAATACGTAACGACCTGAGGGGCCTTGGCGATCGGAGGGGAATCGAATACGTCGAGATATGTCGTCGTCGTTGGTGAGACGTGAGTGCGAAGCACCAGTCGAGCGCAATCCGTCGAGCGAGCACGACAGTGTACGCCGTTCGTATCGGTCACCCGTGTTGTTATCACATAGCGGTCGCTCCGAAACAACGAAGGCGATCTGTTATCCCATAACACAAGTCCTCAAGGCGTATTGGCACGTACGACCGTGACGTATCCAACTCGAAAACATGTTGTTGGTTAACGACGAAGCGATCCCGCGTTAAGAAAAAGTGTATCCAAGTAAACGTGCCGTTAAAAATATGTGCTGTGAGTGAGCTTTTGCGAAATCTGCCTGTTGCGAGATCTTTCTTCATGACGAAGTGTTAACACATGTGTCCGGTTAATTCTTCGAGTCGCGTCAATACGTGATGTATTTGACGCCATTAAACATAAATAAGGATAACTGAATATTTGTACGGCGCAAGTTGATGTCCCTTCAAGCATCTGCAAGACGCAAATACGTACTTCTAAATATTCTTCGAAGATTTTTCTTTTATTCCGACAGTTCTGCAAGCGTTAGAATACGTTCGAAGGAATTAAGACCTCTCCATGCGTCCTTTGACCTGCCTCTTAAGGGCTTCCTTCGTTGCATGTCCTTTTTTTGTGTCTGCCCGATGCTTTCATCTACGCATTATTTCGCTACGTTCGTCATGCATCCATTGACAACGATAGGCGAGTTCCGTTTCTTTGTGTCTGTTAACGCTGCGAAACGCAGTGATGTTGTTTATACTGCGTCGGTAATTGGCGCTTGAGGACTGAAAAGTGCCTGAACATCGAAGAATTAACCGGTACTGGAGACGAGGTGATCGACTGTCCTAAATTTGGGAGAACGCGGTCCTCGATTCTCGTAACCTGCCTCGCCTCCAGCCAGCCAGGCTTTTGTACTCTCTTGGAATTTATTAGTGTTCTATTTCGTCCTCGACTCCTGTTCAACTGTAAAATGTGTCGAAGCGCAAGCATAGTCAAAGCTGCCTTGTTCTTTTCATCACGATGTTTAAAAGTTATATCTTAACGTAATTCGCCTCCTAAACCTCCTAAAAAGAAGATGTTATAGTAATTGTAAGGTGACGGGAGATATGAGAGAATTTACACTGATAAGTTTATCACTTATTTGATATATTTAGTAGCCTGTACGATTTGTCACAAAAAGCCGACTTGACGCCGAACGTATTACGCCGAATGTATCTTTATCGCCTAAGATCCGTGCCCAAGGCTTTGTTCATCGTTACTGTCTCATCGTAACGTAACGTTCAAGAGAGAAACTAGAGAACTCGGAGCAATATGTGATGCAACACTCACCTGCTTCAGAACCTAAAGAACTCAAAAGAACTTAAGAGAAACTTGAGCATTAAAAGTGCATTCTTTCTATCTAAATATGGTCCTTTCTATCGATATAAAATCTGAAAATTTTCATGTTTCAAATTACGTCCATTTATTTTCTCCGCTTCCTAACGTTAGAATTAAATTCACACGCAGTGCCTTTTATGAGTAATTGTTATCTGTTATGACGAATCTCGCGGTTTTCCTGAAACACGTTTCACTAAAGAGCGGAAGGCACCAATGCTTCCTACTTATAAAATATTCCACGATACTGTCATACTGATTGGAAAGAAGAAGTGGTTATTTAACTGTACCGTTCGTATGACTAGGAAAATAGTGTCACCCAGTAGTTTCCTAGTTGTTCTAGATTATTCAGTAACAAGTTATTACGAGAGAGCAGAGAGGAGGAGGAGAAGGGGGAGAGATGAGAGAGGGGTCATGATCGTAAGCATCTTTCCTGCTCTGCTGATGATAAGCTCACTGATGCAGAAAGGTCGTTTAGCGAATTTATTGTGTGAATTATCAACCTCGGACGGTCTAGAAGTTACAATTCGATTCGAAATTCCATATTACGCGTTTTTAGTATATATATTGTGTATTATATTGTGTTTAGTATATATAACGTGTATTTAGTATATATATTTACAGATACGTATAATAAAGTAATCGCGATTTTACACGTGTCTTTGAAAACGTGTATCCGTTTTCTAACTTTAAATCCGTTTGTTCACTCAGTCGTTTACACGTTTTTAAACAGAAGAGTCATTAGCCTTTCTTGGCAAGCGTACGAGGCAAGGAAGACAATCAACAGCGACGTTGCACCGCGTGTATATGCTTTTTACTCTTCGCAAGACTAGTCGTAGTTGTGTAAATAGTTATTTGTATTAGAGAAGAGACCTTCTAAGAGATCATCTAAGAGACCTAGTAGTCAGGTGGTATTCGACAGTTTCTATTTTCCTATCAGCGAGTTCTGATTGGTTTCCACCTTTGCTTTCTGCTCCTCTTCCAAGGTGAATTCTTCTTTGTAACGTTCTTGTAAAGAGCATAGATTCCTCTTTTGAATGCATGATAATGAGTTCTTCTAAAATTTGCTATGAGCATTTTAAGATTATAAAGAAACTATTGTTTGTTGAAGATAACCATTGCTCAAAATAGAGGAAATAAACTGAGTGTTCGCTTTCCTTAGCAGAACGATATTGTTTCTGTGTGTATCACATACACTGTGTGTTCAGTCAGAATCACACACGAAGTAGTGACGAAGTAGTCACGTCGAGAGAATAAACAAGGGAGAGAAAGGAGCTTGCTAAACGCGGACCGCGTGAGTGAGCGAACGAGCAAGTGAGTGAGTCACCATGGGCAAAGGATCAAGTATGAAATTCCTCATCACTTGCACGCTGACACTGACGGCGTTGGCCGCTGTAGCCCTTGGCGCAACCAAAAGCGACGTGTCAACGGTCGACAGGCTGCGGCAGGATCTGCTGCACCTGGAGCAAGAGCTTACGAAGGATCTAACCAAGCCGAAGTGGACGAACGTCGAGGAGCAACAGAAATATCTGTATCTCATCAGAGAGTACAAGAAGTTCGGTAATCGCGTGGACGAGCTGTATCCCTTGGATAGGCCGAATTATCTGCACGCCTTGGACTCTGTATGGCTCTGGGCACGGGCGCAGGCCGAGTCCAAGGGTATAAACGGTCTTTACATGGTGTTCCGGCAGATGCAGCGCGAGATCGTCGATATGAATGCGCCGGTGATTGCGAAGCAGCTGGCGAACTTCGCGGAGACGATCCTGCGGGATCCGAACGCGTCGATACCGCGCGCGCTCGATCGTATCGCGAGTCTCATCGTCCACGAGAATCTCTTCATCGCGGCTTATCAGGTAGCTAAAACAAGAAATTGTGGCCGCGGTTGCTATACAGGGTGTCCCACAACTGGTAGAACACCCGTTAGGGGTAGGTAGGGGGTGAAATTTGGAACTGAAAGTTCCTCTTCCATTTTTGGATCCGACAATTAGTTAATGAGATATTAATTAATTAAGTTTGCCAATTCCTTAGCATCCCGAGTGAGCGCTCAGGGCTGTAGGACGCCGTGGACTCCTTAGGGGCTTTGTTTGTCCGTGTTGTTAGGGGTATTGCTTTTTCTCCTCTTTTTTTGTATCACAGAGAAATAAATATGGATGAGTGAGTGAGTGAGTGAATGTATGGATGAGTGCCTGATCGGGGCTAGGAGGATGGCAAGTTTTCAATGTGAGGGGGTGATGTATGGGTGTTTTTGTGTGCGATTATGAGTACATGGATAATTTGAATATTTTTAGTGCAAGTGAGCGGAATGATTGCACTTTATGTGCCGCAGGGGGAGAGCATGTGTGATATGCTTCCTTCGAGTGCGCGGGTGACTTAAATGTTTTCTGCATGTCGGTGGTTGAGTGAATGATTTTAGTGTGTGTGTACAAAAAGGGAAAAAAACAGACAAGCAGGGCCTTAATTAATAAACAACTTAATTAATAAATATCTCATTAACTAATTGTCGGATCCAGAAATGGAAGAGGAACTTTCAGTTCCAAATTGCACCCCCTACCTATCCTTAACGGGTGTTCTATCAGTTGTGGGACACCCTGTATATTGAATCGATCTCTTATTTCTTCGCAAAAGGAGCATCGTATCTCGATAAAATAATATCTCAGGAAAGCGTGAAGAGGGAGGTGCCCTTTTTCAGGGGACTGAAAAATATAGAAAACAAGTCTCTTGAGCAAATTATCAGAAAGCAGGTTAGAAGAGAAAATTAAATGAAATAATCAAACAGGAAATGGGCCAAAAGGCTAATATCGAAGCTGAGAAATGTTGAAGTACCGAGATAGAAATAATCTAACTGAAAAATATTGAAATGTAACATAATGAAGTATTTTCTACAGACGTCGATCGATCTATTTTCTTCCGATTTTCTCTGATAATCTCGAGTTACCCTTTACTTGGGATTTTTTAAGAAAATAATAATTATCAATATTAGTACTGCAATATGTTCTATATGTTTCGCTCGTTACTTAAACGAGTAAGAAAGTGTTTAGACAACATCTATTATGTCCTACCAGTATATATCGGTATCTTTGAGATTCACTGTAATTCTTTATATTTGCAGCAAGTATCGAATCAGATGTGCAGCGACGTGCAATCGCCGCAGCAGATGTTATACAATTTGTACAATACCGTGGCGTTAACGGAGATCAAGGGCTACACAATGATCCAATTTTCTTATATGATACTACGTTTATATAACGAAGGTACCTTGGCGACAGCACGACTGATGTTAGACACCACTTCTCACCGCCGTCTTTGTAGTTTTCTCAAATGTTTTATTTGACGCAGGCAAGAATTTTAACGAGGAAATTGAGACGTTGAAGCAGCAATACGCGATCCGAACGTCCGAGACATTGAGAGCCGTTAAAACGGCGATGGCCTTCGCCCCGAGAAATATTTGGAGATGCGATCCCGCTATACACAAATTAGGTAAGGCTATCCTAAAGGACAAACGAAACATCACTCAACACAAAACATCGGGGAGGTCGGATGTGAACGTTCCGTTTACTTTGAAAAGATATAAGGCTTCATCAGCATTCGCAAGTTTTGAATGAGCTGAAACTGACACGTTATCGATTTGTTTAGACGAAACCTACACCGAGCTGAAGCAATTGTTCCAAGGATATATAGTGAACGAAGTAGACTTGAATAGCGACAACACATGTAAACAGAACTGCGGTTATTACGGATACAGCAAGGTGTACGGTTGCTATCAGAATCAATTTTGCTCGCAGCAACGTCGCTGCAACGGCAAAATATTGAATTGCGAGTACATCGATTCCGACATGTGGATCTGCCCCTCGGTAAGTATCCTCTGACACTGGAAGACATACAACGCTTGGTAATACTTCGCGAAAAACTATGATAAGATAGAGAGGGTGATCTATAAAGTGGAAAGTTAAGTCTCGTGTGTGCACGATATTAATTTTGACTTTTTATCTCCTCAGAACAGAAACAGTAGTAGGAGATACGAATACATCCAGTATGAGAACGGCATGGTGTACGGTAATAAAAACACCTGTTCCAGAAGCACAACAAAAGTCGATAGCTGGTGGCGATGGCTATTCTGGCATTGCAGCTATTGCTTCTGCTATTGTGACGATAACAATTCGAACTCCGATAGATACTTCAGTCTCAGACCCGTGATATCTGATACCGCGAATAACAAGTAAGCATATCGCAGTCATGCACATAGAAATAACATTTTAGAGAATCAATACAGAGAGAATTTATAACGGTATTATGAAAATCTAATTATATTAATAAAGAAAAAATTTATCAGAGAATTTACGTAGTATAATTTACGTATAGTATTAAAATAGTGCTTAAGAGCAGTTAAAAGAATTGGTAATATTCATTTACTACGACATCTGTTTGCTTACAGAGTTATAATTGGAGCGAGGCTGAAAAAGGTGAACCAGATTATTCACATACAGATCCAAGAAGGCCAAATACTTCCACGTGGAGGGATTAATGTGTCCGCAATCGAATGGAAGCCGATCGATAAGTTTAGAACCATGGATACTAATGTCAAGAATGGCGTAGACTACCACCAACTCGCATGGGAGAAACGAGCTGTGGATCTCGATGACATATTGCCGCCAAAAGACCATCTTTTGACAGGTATAATTCGAACTTCAAAAAGTATATGTAGATAGAAATTTAAGCTAAACGTAATACAAGTGCACGTAGCATGTCTCGTGTGATATTTTTGAAAGTTAAAATATAACTATCATCATTCAGGCATTCGATTCCGAGTGGTCGGTAGCCGCTTGAATTTGGAAATCATGGCGACTCCATTCAACTTCACGTCCGGATTGTTAACTGAGCCCGAGAGGAACAGTTTCTGGCACAGCAACGATATTACCGACAGGTGAGAGACTCATGTTATTATAAATAGAATTCTCTGGTGTAATTATATTGATTAATGCTTCAAATATTTCCACTTTTCAGAACTGAGCTGACACTAAGCGAGCCTGATATACCAATTCGCAACTACGAAAACCTGCCGGATTCCGCAGTGAACCAATACTTGAATTTCGCACCTAGCGATCGACGCAAGGACGCCGCACAGAGCACCGTGCCGTTCCTAGACGTGCAACCGATCATACCAAATCCGCCGGTGCTGATTGCGGGCGCTGGTATCTTTCACAAAGGAAACAAGGGCTCGGGTGGTTTCGTCGCTCTGCGACTCATCACCTACGACTTCACGCCGCACTTACAGGTCGACCTACCGCCGGCACCGCCGCTTCTCGAGACCCCGAACGATATTACAGCTTCGTAAAATAGCAATAACACACTTTCCATCATTCTCTACTTTCCATCGCGGAGTGGAGTCCTCTAAATAGCGATTAAGAAAAGAACCTGTGATCTACCGAGGACCTCAATGTCGAGGTGGATACGTAAGTTTAAGCTCACCAAATCTGTAATTGCGTGCTGTAACTGCGTGTAGGTAGATAGATAGAAGACAAATAACAGTAAGTTTCGCTCTAAACGTATGTATTATAATTCGCTATCGCTATTAATGAATTCGTCGTTTGCCAATGTGCCAAATTGATAAAGTAATGACACCGTCGTCAGTTTTAAAAGTAAAATCTCTTTTCGAGAACAGTAGAACTTTTGGTAAGATTTTACAGAATAGAAAAATTGATCTGAGGCGATCGATTTAGAGCGCCAACAATGAATCTTTTGTATAAAAAATTTACAATTTTTTCATAAATTTTTTCTTAAATTCGCAGATCAATGGATTACATATAAAAATATGTAAAATATGAATCTTTAATCATCTAAATTTATATTGAATATAATGTAATATATATTTTATATATATATATATACATATATATATATACATATATATATATATACATATATATATGTCAATATATATATATACATATATATATATACATATATATATACATATATATATATATACATATATATATATACATATATATATATATATATATATATATATGTATTACATAATACATTATATTTAATATAGAAAATTAAGTGTGATTAAGTATATACAATAAAAAAAATTGTTGAGTACCATTTGAGTAGCTCAATTACATGTTAAGATATTTTGCTCCATGTCAATTCAAGATTAATGTTAATATGCAATATTTAGCGACTTTGTATCGTATTGTGAGCGTAAAACAATTTTGTAAGTTGTATGCTATAATGTAACTTTGTAGTCAACATTGTAATATTTTTATATTTTGCGTAATATAGATTTGTTTTGCTTCTCTCTTTTCTTTTTACCACATTATATATATATATGTGTGTGTGTGTGTGTGTGTGTGTGTGTGTGTGTATATATATATATATATATAAAAAATTACACGACACTACATATGAATTTTACAAAATAAATTGTCATGGTAAAATTTATATCTGCGTACAAGTTGACTGCTTCCCGATAATTTATTGCAAACACATGCATAAGCATAATTAATCAAGAAGAGAACGTTCCTTATTCGTGTTATTAATTCTTTGCGGACTAAAATATACGTTTTTTTTAATTGCTTTTCATCCAAAACGGAATATCGAACTATAAAAAAAAATAACTCGCACAAATGATATCTATAATTTAAAGAATAAATGTATAATATATTTCAAACGGGTCTGTCGAATTTACTGTATAAAAGTTTCTTTGAAATATCTTAATTTAATTTATTTTTATCTAATTCAATAAGACAGAGTTTGTTAATAATTTGTTATCAATCTAATCAAACGTAATTAAATAACTTGTTAGCAATACAAAAGATTTGAGTATCTTTTAGACGATGTTCATCACGTGTCATCAGACCGCAAAGAGTTAATTATTACTGGAACGGAAAGAAAAGTGCACTCACCTGGACTCGCAATGGATGCATCATAAGGAGATGCAGCATGTCCTTGGGTGGTAGCAGGTCATGAAGAGACGCTCCTTGTTGCCTGATCGCTTGACACATGAATACAGCAAAATATCGATGAAGCGGCAGATGAAACGATACTTGCTGAATGTCTCTCTAGAAAAGGATCAAGAAAGAATATATAAGCAATTTTAATATTATTCTGAGAAATGAAAAGATTTTTTCCTCCCGATAGAGCCATCAAATATTACTAATTAATTTTTTTATTCATTATGAAATATTTTAATTTTATCATATATATTTTGTTTTCCAAATTTATTTTATGCGTAAATGTTTCTAGTAATTACATTAATATAATTATGTTAGATTTAGCGAAAGAGTTAGTGAGAGACTCACCACATTTGGCTGTGTGTAGTTCACGGCATCTAGCCAATCTTGCAAAGCTGTCAGACAGAAGGTGAGTACTCTTCGGCTAAGGGTAGAGCTTTCAGGGCCACGAAGATGTGAAACTAGGGCCCACATTGGATACGCACTGGCTTCCAATTCAGCACTGAACGCCGCATAGTACGTGTTGGGTTCAAACTCAATGTGCTGATTTAACTCTCGTTGATTCACATTCATACCTGCAATACGATCGGAATATACGGATTAATCTAATATTATGTTCTTATATTAAGAACGTTCTTATATTAAGAAGAAAATATTTAGTATATATAGATTAAGAAATGTCATAGATTATATAGAATAAGATATAGATTACAAATAAAATAATGTTTCTCTTTGAATTGTATAGTTTAAGAAAAATGATATTTAATATGAAAAATGAACACGTGTCTATTTGATTATACACTAACATTTATGTTCTATCTAATTTCAGATTCTATCAGCGATCGAGTCATTTCTCATCCGTAGTTTAATTGCTAAATTTATCGGGCGTGAGTTGTAAATACCTTGAAACATGGACAAGAAATCAAACCACATTTCCAAAAGAGTATTGTCACTCATAAACCTAACAGCAACTGGTTTATGCGAAAGCACATTGTTCAAATCGGAAACTAACGGCCAGTAACAATGTTCTTTCATCACTTGACGTCCGCAGTCTACGACGTAGTGAAAATTCTTATCTTGATCTGGAATATAGAAATGGAGCATTTTATAATTAAATAAAATTAAGTTAAATGCCCTTTCTCTCACGTGTCTTATGTTACAATTTAAAACATAAACATTTTCATATTATTATTTAGATATATTCTAATTTTTTTTTATTAGTAGAGGACATACATACCATGCAAGGTATTTTGAATGAGTATTTTGCTCATCATGTATTTTAAACTGATAACCATAACATGTAACAGCTTCAACTGATCAACCATCCTTAATGCTAGGCTTTCGTTACTAAATAGCTGAAAATGTTCAGATCGGAAATTAATACACTATAAAGGAATATCAATAACATATGTTCTATTTTTGGAATAAAAATTCCAAATTTGTCATTTTATGTATTTACGCGGCTTAGAGAAAATTGTCCATTATTATCGTCTTTAAACAGATCATAATTACTGCATAAAGAATTTTAGATAAAACATGATTGTTAAGGAGTTTAGTTGGTTAATGTTAAATGGATAAAAAATGCGATTACCTGTACGCTAACGTGCACTACTCTATTGCTTAGTGTATCGGGATCTGTGGAACGTTCAAGCATCATTGAAATTCTACTGTAGTGTAAGACGAACGCGCGAGTTAAAGCTTCCTTGTAATCAGGATCCGGTAGCATGTTCAGCAGTAGACAAACTAACTTCTGCGGAAACTCGTAGGCGACAGTCCAAAACATCAGTTCCTCCAGAAACGTGGTGTGTTCCAAGTGCTCTTGAAGTGACACGCATTCTATAACGAAGCAATAGTATTGTCAATGTCAGTGTGTTTGAGATTACATTGTTATCTAAAAATTTGTTTCAACAAATTTCAAGAAAGCTCTACTCATAAATTGTATTATGTGATGTCAATGTGGAGCACAGCTCTTACCTTTGTATTCGTCAGGAGGTTCTGGATTCGGTAGCGACTTTACGGCATGCTGATATATTTTATTGCTATCTTGACAATAACTGTCGTACTCCGATTGCCCCGTTAAGATAGAAGGATCCATAAGACCACGATACTTCTGTGGATTTGTAAGAGCCGACGTCATAACATGTCTCATGAGCGCACCCATGTTGTTCAAGTCGAGTAGCATGCTCAAGTATCCGTCCGCCTCGTGTATAGCGCCTCTATAGTCTGGCACACCCATTTTACTAAAACAAGCGAAACAATAATAAAACTTATTGCTGCTATTGTCGCTATTAATAATTATAACGACTTATTTTTTGTTACTGCAATTTTACTGCTGCATTATTATACCTTTTTTAATCAAAGTAACATAAAATAAGTCTTACAATAAAAAAGCTTCGACATAGCTTAGCATTAGCACAGCTACGAGCAAGTAGTATGAGCGAAGTACAGCGAAGAGAGCCCGACTCCCCGTTGTAACTCACACGACTTGTAATACTTAACGTACCAATTCTCGCGTAAATGCTGTATGAGTCGAAGGATAATCCTTGGCATCATTGCTTCGGCCACGCACATCAGATCCGATGGCGCGGCTGATTTATTTACATTAGCAGCTTTTGGCCCATGCTTATCACAAAATCTGCAAGATGAGATACGTTGATTAGAGACCCATCACAAAAGGCATGAATGATATGTGTGTTCGGTGCAAAGCGCAATACGCATTTTTTCCTTACCCAGTCTCCTTCATCACAGATGTATCGCCGCAGTCGCATGCACCTCCTGCTTGACTGAGGAACATGTTGAAGTCGTGGCGATGGTGATTGCCTTTCTTGAAGCATTCGGTGCATAGTGACATACACGGTGATATGCCGCATGTACGGCAACGATATGCTACAAAATTCGGCGTCCAAACTAGACCGCATGTAGTGGCATTGTCGTAAATACGTACTGAAATGCATAGCAAATTGGATGAATAATTGATAAACAAGAGGAATAGTGTCTTTCTTATATATTAAAACTTCTTATATAACCCAGATAAAAATATTTCGACGTATTATTTGCATAGTAATTAGTATACAGAAAAAACAGTATGGTTGGAAAAATTTACTCGCAAGTGCAAGAAAATCAGCACTCTCGTGTTTCAATATTATACAATCAAAACACTGTAAACATAACACAATAATATTAAATAAGTATAATTTTAAAAATAAAGCTATATTTTAGCTATATTAAGTATCGGTACTGAATATATACATATGTATATCTATATGTATATTTTTTGCATAGATAAATTATTTAATGTCATTATTATTATGTATACATATTCAATATTACCTCTGATTGATCCAACTAGATTTATGTGTAAGATAATCATACTGTTTTTTTTGTAGACAAGCACACAAATATGCATCTTTATACAACAAGAGTTTTTTCACTGTGTAAAAGAACTCGTCTGATGTCATGGAAATTGTGGCGATACTCTGATGTCATGAAACTTGTTGCTTATTTAAAAACGCAATTAATTGTACTAATGCATCCAAAATTTATTGTACTAATACAGAGTAAATATTTTTATTAAAATTATGGCATAATAAATGGGTATTTTTTAAAACAAATATATTTTAAACACATTGGTCCATATTCTGAATTCTCTTATATTAATAAAAGTGCTTTAAATGTAGCTTCTCAGCCAATTAAGTGGCTCCTAAGCTTCTTTTAAAGACACTTTTATAGATAAAAGAGGATTCAGAATATGGGCCATTGTGTTGTTATAGTAGCATCACAAAATATATATATTAAATGTTTTCATGCTATATTTAGTATCTCTGTCTATCTGGGAACATGTAGAATATAAACTCCAAATGTAAATCTTGTAATACAGGTTAGGCTAACTTCATTTCTATAGATATCATTCTATACTGGTTCTCATGACTATATATTTATCTGCAAAATTTACTGTTGCCAAAAACGCAAATTGTGTCATATTTATATCCAGATACTGTTTATAAGCTCTATGATACCTCAAGACAGACAAGATCAAACTAGCAAATGCTTGTTGCAATGAAGAATATGAACTATGAGTGAGTCCACAAAGAATATTATTAAGAGATATTAAGAATTCGTTACAGGTCATATAAATTACCGTTTATATTGTAAAAGTAAAACTGATCATATGAATAACTTATTTATCATTTAAACAATTTTTCTCTATTACCTGTACAAGCAATCCAATCCACAGAAGCAATTTCTTGTTTATCGTATCATTACTGTACAAGAGTTATTTTGCTTTATCAATAACAAAAATGATCCTTATCATTTGACAATTCAACGACAGCTATCCATGAAGTGCTAGTAATCTTTTCCAATAACACACATTATCTCACATTGGTGTAAATCATAAAAATTATCTCAAACACATCAAGTGTACAAAAAACCCGTATTGTTTGATAACATTTCGATTAAGATTCTCAAAGCTCTAATTTTATCTCTCTAACCACACATCAGACCATAAAATATCCTGTGCTATGCACCTGTGCTGGCGAACTCGTCGGGCGTGCGGCCACCGGCCATCAGCCATTTGCACCAGTCGATGGTCTCCCAGTCGTCGATGGGCTTACTGGGATTCAGCAGGATGTCCAGCAGCTCGTTAAGGTGCTGCGTGCCGCCACCGCCGTCCAGGCCTGGGTTACTGCACTCGGCGTGGATGTAAGAGGCTGCGCCGCGTTTGCCCTTAAACATGAGTATCTCGGCCGAAGGGCTGGAGCTCGAGGCCATGCTGATAAGCGTGCCTTGCCTCTCTCTTGGAAGAGGACGACGTCGTCGCCCGTCGTCGTCGTGGTCGTCGTCGTTGCTGTACTCGCACCAGGGGGAACAATCTCACAGGCTTAACCGTGAAGCACTGTCACTGCTCCGCCATCTATCACAACATGAGGAACTATAAAAGAGCTGTATATGTGGTATGTGCATGAGTTCCTACATGTGTGTGCTGTAAGTGACATTGCATATGTGTGTGTTTACATATATATATATATACTTCATTATATACTGACTTATTCTTTCAAGTTGTATATATACCACTCTTTAAAATTAAAAACATATTAATGCGATTAACATGAAAGAAGAGAAATTCAATAAAATAAAACAATTATAAACACTATTACACAACGTCTACAATAGGAAACATATAACAATACATTAGACAATGCAGTTGCATTTTTTGCATTTATTAATGCAAAAAATTTGCACATATATATATGTGTATATTTAGCATAAGTACTAAATAAATATGGTTTTACTTTGGAAACTACATGATATTGTTTACAGTATTTTGATTTTATAATATTAAAGTATAAAAGTTACTAATTTTCCTGCATCGGCAAGTCAATTTTTTCAATCATAGAAAATTTTATTCATATTTTAAATATAATATCTTATTAAATAAATAATATATATAATAACTATGTTGAACTTAGACATTTATAATGAACTTAGACATTTTGTTATATAGCGTCTTAATTTTATATTTTTTAATATATATATATATATATATATATATATGATATTCGACTGTTAATAAAATAATTATATTTTCATTTTTCTTCTATAGCGTTATAGCAATATAGCGTTATAGTATCATAGACAAAAAATTCCCATATTATTTATAGCAATTTTATGATAAAATTTTGTAATATTTTGCAGAATTTGTATATTATATATTAATGAATATAATTTGTTTATAAGATGTTGCAAATAATCATTTTGCAACTATAATAGATAAGGATTTTCCTTTATATAGCTTTTTTGTCTTTATTTCTATATATAAATTTAAAGACACTTTTTTATAATAATGATATAACATTATACATAAAAATTTTAAATTTCCAACTCCTTGTTGTTTAACTTATAGGAAAAAATTCTGTTATTTAACATAACCATACCTATTTCATATGTGTAATTATTTCCAATATAGGACTCTGTGCTGTTGTAGCTCATTGTTTGTTACTTGTATTTGTACACAAATGTTCTGGAACCATCCACAATTATTGATTCAAAACACAAAATACACGTTTATAAAATTCTTGAATATGTTGCACAAGTACTACAAACTTGCTTATTAATAGACCACTGGTTTGCCTTAAAATTGTATCACATGCCTCTGGTGAGATTATGTATAGTTTTAGATCACTTTCGCATCTCATTACAGTGCACTTTTTGCATAACATTACAAAAAAAATAAGTACATAAACACTTTAGAACTTGTTACTATCAGCTTGTTTTTGTACAAAACACACACCAACCTGTACAGTTGTCCTTGTTTAAGGAGCTTGAATTGCAGAGCTCCAAAAATCTAAACACTACGACGGAGAGGCAAGCTCTTAAATTTTAACTTTAAAATTCCAGCCGATTCTTCGAGTTAAAAATTTTTGACGAAGCTTCAGAGCAAGAAGACCGGCTTGTGAACCAGGTGAATGCTTTCGGCCAGCGACCCCATATCAGCAGCGACAAGCTTCGTCTCGCCCCGTAGACTTGAAGTCGTCCGAGTCGTCATTGAGTCCTGTTACTTGAAAATAAATAAAAGGTATTCTAAATAAATAAAAGAAATATTCTGACTTGTGTCGTGCGGGATTGTGTGAGACATGCGAGGTTAGAACAAATTTTCTCGAGTATAGTTGACGGCGAAAGATCAACGCCAAATAAATTAACGCTCTTCAACTTGATGAGTTCCATAATAAATGAAAATCATGCGATTGCTCTTATAACTTTTAGCTATTTTAAACATATATAAAAAAAAACGTGTATTGCAAATCTTATAGATTGTTTATTATACATTCAGGCAAAAACTAAATGACCATTTTTTTCGATTACGAAGAATAAATAAAATTCAACAAGTTGTAACTTTTGTGGAAATAATAATAATAAAATTATGATAATTCAAGAAGCACTTTAGAACGTGAAATCTCTAATCTTTTATATACTGTCGAATATAAAATTTATCTATTTTTTATAATATTACTTGAGTGTAAATTGAGTTCCAACAAATGTTAAAATATTTGAGGAAGTTTGTCGAGTTGTACCGCGTGAACAAAAAAGATCACACACAACCTAGATAGAACAATGTCTAAAAGTGAGACATAAGACGTCTTTAACCCTTATAGAAATATCATACTAAGAATCATTGATAATTACTTATTATCCAGTATTTTTAATACTGAAAATAAGTAATTATCAATGATTCTTAGTATGATATTTCTATAAGGGAAGACGTCTTTAAGTTGTCTTTAAGACAAATTTATAAAGTATTGTCTTAAAGATGTCTTAAAGTTGCCTTAAAGATGTGTTATGACTCGATTTTTGACATTTGTGCCGTCTGGGAAGTGATCTTTACATTTCAAAACGTAAATCTTGTTTTTTAATTTGCGTGTACACAGATTGCGGTGCGATTTCTTTTCACGGAATAACTTAATGTTAAAATAAAATTTGCCCTTTTAAATTTGATAGTTTATAGAGCGCGAATAAATAATTGATGTATAATGTTCGTTAAAAAATATATGAAAAGTAAAGACTATAAGTTTTAGAATACTTCTTGAACTATTACATGGAAATTACAGTCGGTTGAATTTTATTAAATTTTAATATAAGGAAAAATGCGTCTGTCCATCCGTTGAGTTATACTACTTACGAAAATGTCTGATTTGTACTGAGTCATACCACGATTTCAATCCTTCGGTAACTAGCGACTCGTAGCGAAGACTTCGGATTCTATTTGTATATCACGTAACCAGCTTTGACCCATTAAATTATTAGACCCGTTATTTAAGTGAATTTTAAAACTTGAGCAGCAATCCTACCGAAATCTGGAAGATAATTAAACAGTAAGATTCACGCTTCCAAACGATATACAGTCTATAAAATCTTGTGTATGATTTTTATTCGTTTACACAATATAACTCGGTAAATTTTCTAAAATATTTTGACACTTAACAGAATTCTATGTATATTCAAGTAACATTGTAAGAGGTAAGTAAACTTTATATTCCAAAATATGCGTAGAAATCAGACTTCGCGATCTGAAATACTTCTTGAACCATTTCATTGCTAATATTATAGAAGTTATAGCTCACTATTAGCTCCATTAAAATTAGCAAAAGTAATAAGAACAATCACATAATCTACTATGAAACTCGTCAAACTAAAGACTTAATTGGCATTAGGTTTAATTGACGTTAATCTTTCGTCGCTATAAAAAATTTGTGCTTGTGTATTCTACGTACAGAGTTCTCTGAATGTTTACTGATGACGTAATATTTTTTATTTCTTCATATCTACCTTATCAAGCGCCGTGTCTAAAGAGCGCCGGTGTCGAGAAATATGTTAAAAAATATTCTGAGGGATAATCTTGGCATGCATAATTGATACAGTTTTCTCTTTTCTCGTTTACTCATCGAAGCGAGAGTTACGTCGAAGGTGGCATAGCGACGGCAGCGTCAGCGCGCTAGGGGAGGGTCACGGCGGTGGAGGTGTCGGCTAGTGGAGGTGGCGCGGGCGACGGGGCGATTGGAACGTGACCTACGCAGGAGATGTCGACTACAAGATGACAGCGGCCGTATGACGACGCTGGGCTGTCTAGCTGGTGAACGCCGTTGCCTCGACACCGGCTCGACGCGACAGCAAACGCCGGGAAACGTCAGGAGCTTCGTGCACGAGGTGCAGCTACAGTCAAGCGAGTAGGGCGGACCGAGATAAATAGATAGACAGATAGACGAACAGACGGACCCGACGTCGTTGTCGTCGTCGTTCTCCTCATCGTCATCGTCGTCGTGCAATGCACACGACGACATCCTGAGGCTGTTCGTGCGCTGCTGGAGTCCCGAAGTGTCGCCGCCGACGAGGAGCGCTGGTCAGCGGCATGAGCGTCTTCGGGGACTTCCAGCGTGTCTGGGTGCAACGTTTCCCGGACAGCGCCTTGCCGGCTGCTTGGGAGGAGGACGTCCGGGCAAATTTGGTCAAGCACAAACAGAAGGTGAGCGCGAGCGCGAGAATATTCCTCTGGGTGTTTTTCGTGGAAGACGGGCGAAAGTTGGCTGATCCAACAATTAGGCCAACTAAAGTGTTTCCTGTTTGAGGGTTTTTCGATCGGGTTTCCGTGAGGACTGTTTGTGAGGAATAAGTTTGGTGGATGATTATGAAATACGAGCATGAGGATGTATATTAGAGGATATTACTTGCATAACATGTAGGTTGTGATTGTGTAGGAAGTGTCATGGTGCTCATCAAATATTTATTAGGCGGATATTAATGTTGAGTAATTGTGTTTTGTGTGTGTGCATGCGCGCACGCGCACGTTCGACATGTGCGTGTGTATGTATGCGTGTGTGTGTGTAATTGCAAATGTGCATTTAATAGGGGGTTTTATTTAATTCAATTAATATCATAGAGAGTGTCTTGATGACTCATCAGATAGGCCAGCAACCTTTATTTTCCTTGAATCTTTCGACACTGAGGTTTTACAAAGAAATACAAGCAAACTTTTGGGTGCAATAATGCATGATTACTGCAGATTGTACAATCAAGGATGCGTAAGATAGAGATGTGGCTTGCATAACTAATGAGTTGTGTGTGTGCAGTGTGCAAAGTGTTGCAATGTTTACCAAGTATTAGTCACATCTGAGTGGTATGAATTTGTGTATGTTGAAAATAATAGTTTTATAAAGAAACATGAGCAGAATATTGATGCAAGAAATGAGACTCGAGTGAAGAAAATTCAATTTCATCACTCGTAATGAAAACTTGCTGATGTGTAATTCAATTAACACCATGGAGTAGTCTGATGACTCATCATCAAATTAATAGCCTGAAACCTGTTGGTGACAGAGCATCTGTAATATTTCAAGAACAAGTACTGTTATTTTCAGCTCTCGATAATTTTGAAAAATAGATAAATAATTAATGGATAAAAAAAAGGTGCAAACACCAGTTTCCTGTTTTGAAAGTACTGCTCATGAATCATTGGAGAGTTATCGCCATATTATCACAGCACCCGAAGGAAACTGATTAGATCGTGTGAAAAGTACATGCAGTTTTGTCTTAATTGATTTCTATATGTATAATTTTATGAAAAAATATATGGTATACAAATATAAATATAATTTGTTATATATTTATCTTCTATTTTTTTTGCAAATAAACATATATGTGTGTGCAAAAAATAGAGGATAAATAGATATCACATTAGTATTAGCTTTTTTATGTTAAATTATTAATATTAAGCAATTTTTATATTAATATATTTTTATATATTAATATTATTAATATATTAATGTTATTAATAATTAAACAACAATTATATAATAAATTACATAAATTCTGTGATCATCTTTTATTAAATTGTAAAAAGTAAGTTATATTCACTGTTTCACGATTTTAGTGAAACAAGATGATTTATCTTTCAAACACTCCAAAATTTTTTAAGGGCGATTTAATTCACCCAAAATATCATTAATAGCAAATAATAATAATATATATTTGTCACAGGTCACGGCATTGAGAGAGGAACTCGAGAAGGAAGAGTTTTATGTTGAATATCTGGAGAGACTGCTGGCCGATGTTGAGCGACACAAACAGCTGGCCAACAGTACTAATGCGACAAGCATATCTGAGAACAAGCAAGTGGCGGAATCCCAACAGGATTGTCAAGCGTTAGAAAAGAATGCCTCGGCAGATTCGTCAAATTCGCCGAGCTCACAGAACGTCGAACCGTCCGCCCTTCCTGCTCTCACAGAACGGGAGGATATCAGTAAGTTCCAGGACAAGTGTGTATCCGAATTGAGCTCTACTCTCGGCACGGCCAGCAGGAGGCCGAAGAGCGAGATACCGAGGAGTCCCGAGAAAGTGCCTGAACTTAGAAGAAACAGCGATCCAGATGTGCCGAGCAATTACGTCACTGTGATCGAGGTCACTGGCAGCTCAAAGAAAGAAAAGAATGAAGAATCTCTCAAAGAGGAAGATGAGAAAGGTACCATGCTTCTCGAGTCGCATTCGTTTATGAAAGCTCTCTACGAAGACGCGAAAAATTTTGGTTCGTTAATCTTTTTATTTAAAAGACCACGACATCCGCTGAGAGTTAATAAGTCGATTTGTTTCTAGAGTTTTGATATTAAAATATTATCCGTAACGTTATGTAGACTTGGAAAAGGCGATCAACGAGGATGGTGAGGACGGTGACGCGGAAGCGTCGGAAGAGGAGCCTTACTACGATTCAGTAGCCCTGGATCAGACCGGCGAATATGTATACATCGACGCGCGCGTGCCAGCTGTCAATAGTAACAACGACGGTGGCAAAGTGGCGGCTCCTCGAAGACCGCCTTCGCTGCCGGACTCGCCAGGCAATCAGAGTAATTATGTCAACATCGATTATTTCATACAGTAAGTTGTCGTCGTCGTCTTTCACACTCTATCTCTCAGTCATAGCATGCGATCGAAGTATGATTAATACTGCACGCAACGTGTGTTATTGTCAGACACAGGGCAGCGATGGACAGCGAGGATGAGGAGGGTGCCAGCCCGGCGCCCCCGATCTTGCTGCGAGCTCTGAGTACCGACAACGAGACCGGCAGCAGCGACGCCGAGCCTCTAAGCTTGAGCGAGGGCAGTCTAGAATCACCGACTCCTACGACGCCGCGTAGGCAGGAGAAGAGTAAGGAACGCGAGGACGACAGGACGTCGATGGTCAAGTGCATCGTGAACTCGGTGGTGGAGAGCGAGGCTGTATACGTGGAATGTTTGACTGTGATGTTACAAGTACGTCGTCACTCTTCTCTAAAAGTTTCAAATAAGCGATTAATAATGTATAGATAGACACATGTTACACCGTATTAATACTAATTTATTGTCTTCTTTTTTGCAGTATATGAAAGCTATTAGAGCAACTTTGACAACATCTCAACCGGTCATCTCAGAGGATGAATTTGGGACGATGTTCTACAAGATTCCAGAACTGCATGGTCTGCATCAGACGTTTCTGGACGGTCTTCGGAAAAAAACGGAGAAATGGGACAGCAAGACTACTATAGGAGAACAATTTAAGGTTGGTGTGCGTTACTCGTAGAAATTATACTACGTTAATGAGCGAATATTATATTTCAAATAAAACTTCATAATTTCATAAAAAATACAAGAAGTATTTTTCAATTTGCACAAGTCTTGTCTCTTTGTCAAATCAAAAGCGTATATATAATAAAATACATCTCACATGATATATTATGTTGATTTTAGATTATGGCCAGTAATATAGGATTATACGGTGCGTTTTTGCATAATTATGCTCGTGCGACTGATACTGTGCGACGATGTTCCGCCCATTCTACACAGTTTGGAGAAATCACTAGAGACATAAGACTCAGAGGTTTCCCGAAGGGTCCGGGTTTATCACTAGAGGACTTATTGCACAAGCCAGTTGCACGAGTGCAGAAGAATGCTTTAGTTTTACACGTAAATATATTACATTCATTTAATGTGCAGCTTTAAAGTAGCTTTAAGTTTTTAAAGTTGTATATAGTTATTTTGGCTTTTTAATAGTATTTGCATCTTTAAACAGCGAATATCTTAGGATAAAATATTAGAAATTAAAGTGCGATTAATGATTGATGCTTTTTACAAAACAAGAGAAAAAGAAAGAAACATTCTAATTTTCCAAAACTTGAAATATTACAACTGATAACACTCTGAGACACTTTGTGTAGGGATTTGCTTCATTCATATAATGCATATACGTAAAATCGCTTCTGAGATTGTCTACATTAATACAATTGATAAAACCGCAATAAGACAGCTTACTACAAGTCTCATGATGTTAGATTTGCCGCTATCTCTCATTTATCTTATCTGGAATTTCGTATCGATGACTCGTTTCTTTCCACGACTTCTACAGGATCTCCTCAAGCATACGCCAGTCAACCATGCGGATCACGCGCCTTTATCAGAAGCTCTGGCTATGACCAGAAACTTTCTTGATGAGTTCAATATCATTCAAACGAAGTCCATGTTTCCGGTAAGACGTGCAACATGATTCACATTCCTTTAATAGACATGTCCTGTAATGGACATGCGTAATGTATGCAAGTGATTGAACGTGCGTGTATCATGTGTACAGTGGACTTAATGTATACTCGACGATGTTTCTCTTTGTGTAGAGTCACGACAGAGCTCAACGGAGATTGGTGAAGAATTCGTTCGTAGTGGAGCTGTCTGACGGTCATAGAAAACTGCGACATCTATTCCTCTTCAACGACGTGATCGCGTGCGCCAAGTACAAAGCATCCGGCAGGGACAAATTCACGTTCGAACTGAAGTGGTATGTGCCGGTGGCGGAGGCCGCCGTTACAGAGGACGGTATAGAGCCGCGCGAGGCCAGTCCCGCTAATGTGGTAGCTTTAAGGTGAGCTTGCAGAATTGTGCAAAAGTTTATTGCTACGTGGATTTCACTCAGATATCATTTATATCACAAAACTATTTCAAAGACAACCATGATCAGCGATAAGTGAAATTTTCATCGATTAGAAGTAACAATGATTCACTTGAACGAAATATTACGTCCTCCCAAGGTCGCAAGCGTGTACGGTGCGCGACCAGATATTATGGGAGGAGCGGAACGACGAGAAGCGTATCAGACTGGGTGGCAGGGGCTCGGAAAAAAATCGCAAAAAACTCGCCGAACTTGAGGCCCAGCTAGTGTTGGCTTCACCAAACCTGGTTCTGCGTGTCGCGCATAAGAGTCAACAGAACCGAGTGCAAAACTCGTACACTTTCTTCCTGTCCAGTGAATTTGAACGTTCCCAATGGGTAGAGGCGGTGGAGGCATTGCAACAGGTCAGTTCAGTGTTTGTAGAAATTAATATATTTTTGTGATATTATATATACTTTTTGTATATTATATATTATACAAATACTAAATATATAATATACAAAATTATATAATATACAAAATTGATTTTTGTATATTATATTATACAAAATTGATTTTTGTATATTATATATACATATCAATTAATTAATATTAAAGAGAACGCGTGTAACAGTTACTGGTCTACTTTTACAGGGCGGACAACCTCCGGGACAATTGCCTCTGTCAATGTACGAGTTGCAGGCTTGGGTCACAGCTTGTCGAACGTATCTGCAGACTGACATGGGCAGCTACTTGTTGAGGTCGGGACGCGATGAGAGCTTGTTGCTAGGTGATCTTCATCTCACATTGCTTAGTTTAACTCCACCGGGCTTAGATAGAGTAGGTGATCTCTACATTATTGTGGAGGTCGACAGCTATGGACACTACTTCAAGAGAGCACGGAGTCGCGTTGCAAGAGGTCAAGCTCCGATTTGGGGTGAGTAAACAATTTTTTAGGCCATGATTGTAGACTTTTTAACTTAAAGATTAAAATTATCTATTCTTTCTTTAATAGTAAATAATATATCCTTAAACTCTTTCTCTTTTAATAATTAATCTGATGTTTTAAGAAGTAAGAAGTCTTTGGAGAGATTTTTGTTCAATTAAAATTCTTTATATATAATTTAATAATAACTAATCCTTTTTTTAATTGTAGGCGAGACTTTCGTGGTAGAGTTAGAGGGAAGCCAGAATGTTAGAATTTTATTGTACGAAGAATGCGGGACGCGTTCAGTGCTGCGAGGGAAGTGCATTCAGCGACTGAGTAGATCCTGGTTGCAGTCCGATCAGGTGGAGAGGTCACTCAATTTGGGTCCTGCAACGTTAGACGTGGGATTGCGGTTTGTTCCTAGTGAAGTCACCCTGAGGCGAGTGCCGTCAGCTAAACCGCAGGGTTTGTTTGGCGCCAAGATTCAACAAGTCAGCAAGTATGCAACATTTCATGAACTATATTTTAAGCTATTTTTTCTTTCCTTTTATATACCTTAATTATTAAATCGACAGAGTTATTGTACCTCTTTATTTGTAGGCGAGAGAAACGCGAGGTGCCTTTTATAATAACGGCATGCGTACGAGAAGTGGAGAGACGGGGCGTCGGTGAAGTGGGCTTGTATCGCGTCTCCGGTTCCGCTTCCGATCTGGCGAGGTTACGCAAGTCGTTCGAGAGCAACTCATACGAAGCGGAACAACTACTCAAAGAGGTATGTTTATTTTGTTTACACGTTGATTTCTTTTCTTTTTCTGTTTAATTTCGTATCACTCGCTAGACTAATAATTTTCACGGGACGAGAAACACGCGGTGAGAATCACTTCGCTTCGTGTTACTCCCTTTTAGCTTTCTCTATATTTTTTTATGTACAAATAGGTGGATGTGCACTCGGTTACGGGCGTGCTAAAGCTATACCTGCGCGAGATGCCGGAGGCACTGTTCACCGATGCGCTCTACCCGGCATTCTTGGAAGCTTTTCAGACAGGTGATTTGTCGCGGGGTGCCGCGTTACGTCGAGTCTACGAGGGTCTGCCGGCCATCAACAAGGCAGTAATAGACTTTTTACTGGCGCATTTGGTGCGTGTCAACAAACATGAGGCACAGAACAAAATGTCCTTGCACAATCTGGCGACGGTGTTTGGACCGACGTTGCTGCGACCTGGTACCAATTCGCGCAGCGACGCAAAGAGCCGCGATCCCCTCGCTGCCGGCACCGTTGACGTGATGGCGCAAGCTGGCATTCTTTACTGCTTCCTGCAGCTGCATATGCAACAGAACAATCAATCGCTCTAGTCGACAGAGTCTCCTCCTTTATCTCGCGTCGTTCGATTCGGCTCGAGTTCATTAGCGAGAAACGCGGCAATCTTTTTTCCGAACGTCGCAAACGAGATCACTCAAGGCTGTCTGAAGAACGATCTTCAGGATCTCATCGAAATCGGTTAGATTGAATTTTATGAGCGATCTGTACATGTATCGAATTTCTTGAACGCGATATTTTTATATCAAATCAAATAAGATTGCAATTGAAAAATCTGTGTGATGATTTTGGTTGCAGATTTCGCGTTTTTTTCTTTTTAAATGAGGATTAATGTGAATGTTTTATTTTAATTGAAAATTAGCATTTCTCTTTAAAGATATAGCAGCATAACCGACTGTGATCGATGAGATCAATATCGCCAATCTTTGTCCTTCGGATAGCCTTTCCTTCACTACTGACGATCGCATCACCGGTCTCCTCCTCACCTGTAGGAACGTTAGTTTCGCGCGACGTATTCCTCTTCGCGCGACTTCCAGATAGAAGTACGGAGAGCCAATAATGCGAAATGTATTAAAGCGGTAGGCTGCTGCTGGCTTCGATGGAACTCCCTCCACATACGAGGACGGAACTCCCTCTGTATTCGTACGCGTGCAAAGTAACGTAGCAGAGCTGCTCTTAGAGAACGTACAAGCGTCATAATAATATATAGTATACATATACATATATCTTTTTACTTTTGAGGTTCATAATATATTTTCTACTCCGCGTATTATTATCAGCGAGAGCGAGGGACGTGTGGTCTCTTGTTCGCGCGTGATTAAATTTTTCGACTACCTTTCCCGAGAAATGGAACTTTTGAAACAAGGATGAAGCAGTCTAGGTGGTGCGAAAGTTTCAGGCGGAACATTGGCCAAAGAGAATTGGTACGAGGAAGCAAATTGATATAAATATTACGTTAATTCTTGACTATTGCAGTAATATTTTGTTAAGTACTTGTATATTAAGAGAGTATTCTGAAAAATCGAAGAGAAAACGAAAAGTCCTATTAAAGTCTAAGTCTCTGACAAATGAAAGGAGAACGAAAAGTTTTGTAAAAAATTTAAATTGAAATTTTGAAAGCCTGAAATTTTTATGCATTGTGTGGAAGCGTGCAACCCGAGTGATATGAGGATCTAAGAGAAGACATTAACAAACTTATTAACAACTTATTACAAGCATTAAATTCTTTTAAACTTTGGAGACGTTATAGAATATTCAGAACTCTTGAAGTACTTAGGATATTCTTCTAGATGCCTTATCTTCGAGAAACTTTTCAGACTTCTGTTAGATGCGTTAAACTTTTAAGACACTTTGGGACATCTGAATTTTTTTAGACATTCTCAGAATCATCAATTTTCAGAAACGTTGATTATGCGTTATAAACTAACGTCCATTACGCATTATACGTGGAACATGCAAAGACATTTTCTAAACTCATCTTTTAAACGTCTCTTGGATTTTCGTGTCATTCGAGAATAAAGTCCGGTTGCGATCTGTGCTCTAGGAAATAAGTACTTTTTCACGTGGCGTGTTCCTAGCAGAGAATCTAAATCTTTTTATACGATCCCTTTTGTATATCCGTGTTGCAGGAGGCAACGCTCGCTAATCTATCGCCGCCCTGAATATATAGTAATCGTGTGAATCCTGTATTCTCGTGTACTCACAAACAGCGTTCATCTCGCAAGCGCCAAAGCATCCAGGGAAAGGAAAGATAGTATGAAAGAGTGAGAGAGTGCGAATGAGAGTGGTTCGTCGTTCCCGAAGATTCGCGTTATTCGCGGGAACTGCGTTCCGTGTTGTAGTGTGCAAAATGGAAAACCTACGTTATATATGTAACGTAATTATATCGTCCATTCCAATTTACCAGCTCACGAAATTCTCCGCGAAGAATCGAATCTCCCAGAAAGAGAAAGGACGAGTTCGAATCTTCGTGAATAGAACAGGAGAAAGAATAACCGTCTCGGAAAGTGGCATCAGAATTTTGGCATAAAAAGACATATGATTGCGAAAAAGAGAGAGATTAAGATTGCCAAGCAGACTGCTTGATAATTAAGCTGTGATTAGACTGATCGTATTGAGAACGCAACTACTTTCCAGATAGTATAAATATCAGAAGGGTGTCTCTAGTTGTCGTGAATTGCTCAGGCATTCATTAGTCAGCTATTACAAATTTACATTTTTCATATATATACTCGGTTTTAAAGCGGTTCGAACATATTTTTTAGATGCAGTTTGGAACGCAGTAGATAATAGTGTTTCGACTTAATTTCTAGGAATTATTCAAAAACAAGTTCTCTCGTGTGCAATCGGTTGCGTTCCAAATTGCATCGAACGAAAAGCGTATTCAAACCAAATGTACGTATGTCTGAAGGCGTATACTGAACATCTTAAATTTGTCAAACATCCTCTGTCTAAGTTAGAAGTTCTCTGTTCATTTTGAATTAAAAAAAATTTTTTTTTACACACCAAGAGATGTTTTTCAACTTTACTTTAATACATTTTTATAAATTTCTTTTTATTTCGTTGTCAGCATCGATATTATTCGACGGAGACTTCGACAAACGTGCAGGCTTATCGTGCAATTGTTTTCATTGTTGTCTAAATACAGCTTAATGAGACAAGAGCCAAAGAGAAAGGTCCTTTCTCGCGTGTGCCAGGTGTTCCAAAAAATCAAATCGATTTGACCAATGAAAATGCAATATTTTGCAAAAATATAATGTGTTCTTGTACGAGATCTTGTTTTTAAGAAGCTCAATTCTCGAATGAATAAATTAGAAATATTTTTCTTTTCTATATGTTGATTTTGAAAGTCGATAATCCGACTGTACTATGATTTTTGGAACACCCTATATACGCCAGAGAAGTTTAATGTAATTGATAATGAGAAAGAGAGTGAGAGAGAGAGAAAGAGAAAACACAAACGCGCGAGTTCGGCAGTACAAATCTAACACTCGACATATAAAGTCCCGCGCATTATGCCAGTCGTCTGCGAGATTGCAATAATTGCACGCTAAAAGAAAGAAAAAACAGGAATCAGTGACTCAGCTACATGTTTCTGACCTTTAAAGTAATAGAAATATTCTCGATTACAAGGCTGAAAAAGATTAAAGCTCCTTTTAACTTGTGTAGACTAATATTTATTCGATTAAAGAAAAAACGTATTTGTTTCATGTATTAAACTTTCATCTTTTTAATTTCCTTTATAGTAGAGAGAGAAAGAGGGAATCATTTACTGTCACACTCAATTGCAGTTACGTCACTGAAAATAAGAAGAAAAGGAAAACAAACCAAGTCTGACGAGAGTGTTCGATATAAATAAAAAACCGAATAAGTATTAAATTGTTTAATGCTCGAGCGAAGGCAACTATATGTATATCTCGTGCGTGTGGAGGCAACTGTGCGTGCGTGCGTGTGCTTGTTTCTGTGTGTGCGTGCATAACTCTCCCTCCCCGTGTATGTATTATACCGTAAAAAAAAAAATATTGCATATATACGTTTAATTTTGATATCGTCTTTAGCATTTTAAGGAGCGTCGTCCCCTTTTTGTACATTCATACGATAGGTGTAAAGACTCGAGTTTTTCTTCGATTATATTATTTGTGTTATTATTATTATTAATATTATTATTACTACTATTATACTATTCTATACACGAGACACAATTATCGTCACCTAGTAAACTATTTGTTATGAAGTTCGATCGAGCTAGCTTGTCCGCAGCGAGACGATGTACTGCCAAAAGAAGAAAACCACAAAAACACTTAAAGTGCATAAATATATACCGAAAGTTTATAAACTTTTATATCGGTCGCTTTTACTAGATTTTCTGTTATTAGTAGATACTTCACCTTGACTAGCGATTTCCAATCCAAGCTTTGCAGTCAATCGGAAAGTTGCTGAGTCCGATTCTCATGCAAATGGGATTCAAGTTACGCAAGAGGTAACTCTTTGCAATTTTTACAATATATTGCCGACAATATAGTGTACCTCTGCAGTCTTAATTACAGACAATATATAATTTTATCTTTTCGCAGATGTATTGTGGAAATGTATGTTTACATACATTGTAGGATACATTGTTTAGGAATTAACGTTAGACACAAATCTCAGGGAAGTCTAAATGTTAAAATCGATATGCTTCCAGACTAGACAGAACTACGACCATTCACGAAAAATACTTGCACAATTGAGTAATTTGATAAATAGCGAAATTTTTTGTAATCAATATTTATATTTGTTCCAGGATATTGAGCTCATTTGGACGTTCCAAGCAGTCTCTGATTGGCGGCGGCAGAGGCAATCTTACAGGTGTTGCGGCGATATTGTCCCATAAACCTGGTAACCGAGAGCCATCCGAACTGTTACACTGCATCCCTGATAAACCAATCAAACGTTAATTTGCGGAGATTTTAGTAAAGAGTACTTCATGACGATGATTATGCGCAAGTAAATAAGCGTGTTATGAAGAATTAATTATGTGTAAAATGTCCTTGTTTTTTTTTTTCAGAAATTGGCTTTATAATCGATGAGAGGAATAAGAATCGAAAGGACAAAATTCGAGATAAAACACGCCGTAAAAGATCGAATGAGCGCAAACCTAGAGGCGCAGCCTCGTAGAGATCGTGAAGAGTCTGCACGCGGACTTTGCTCCATTCGATGCTTTGGTAGTTCGACGAGACGCCCTTCTTCCCGTTGGTCTTTTGACCTTCCCATTCTCGCATGTAGCGGAAGTACGTTCTTAATGCGTCGTCGCTTATGGCGCTTTTGCAAACCTGAATAGTCCAAGTCAAAGTGTATCAGTTGCACGAGTCTATTTCTTTTATCAACGTCAATTCACGAGCGAATGAACTTCCTTCATTATCTCTTACTTAATCATGAAATTACTTTACCTCGAGTCGCGTGTTGGGGTAGTAGTGAATGTAATTGACGCACATCTCGTCGGATATCGCGAAACCGCCGAGAGTCACGTTATCTCTGTCCATGGTGTTGTAGGTGCAGGTGGTTATCAAGGAATCCCCCTACGATATATTTCAATTAAGGTATTCGCCCGTACAATATGACACGAGTCGTATTGAAAGCGGCACAACGCTGTGTCGCGAATTCTCTCACGGGCAGAACAATGACTGCTTTCGGCAGAAGTCTGATCTCCTGGAAATGAGTGGAGTAATGATTATCATAGTTCAATAGCGGTAACTCTTTGCCGTCTCGCACATGCCGAGTGACGACTTTGATGCCTGTCAGATGCGTGTGCAGCTGCGAGCCAAAGATATGAATCCCTTCCTGGGGCAGGCCGATTCCTGTGCATTCCGCGATGCAGTGACCGGACAGCGTGAAGGCCTCCTGAAGAAAGAAAGAAATGGACAATGAGAAAAACGACTCGTTTTGCGTCTGTGTCTGATTCTACGTCTTTCTGCGAGCACGGGTTTGAAATAGTTTGAGAATTTTTTCCTCTAGAAGAATGCTGCCAGAAATTTAATAAAGCTTTTTGGTCCCTCGCCGTGATCATCTTGATTTATTATGATGTAGAAGTGAGAAAGTATATGTTAAAAAATATGTTATAAATTTGCTTAATCGATTGCAAATGTTATTTTGTAGATACATCTTTTTATTTCAATGTATTTTGGAAGAATTTTTAGCATACATTTTCTCGCTTCTGATATCATCAATCACAAGTTTTGCAGCGAAAATCTCTACGATTCTTTCTCACCTGACGTGGCGGTATGGCCATCTTATCGATGTACTCAAGCCCTAATTCGATTACGCCCGCGTCGTACTTCCGCAGAGTCTCGGTGATGATGAATCGCACGCCAGAGGAATCGACAACGCCTTGATGCAAGTCGGGATTGTTGTAATGCACCTCCAGCATAACGTATGGATTGAAATCGGCTCCACCGATCGCCAGACCGGCTTCTTCAGGATACACGAAAGCGTCGGCGCCCATCGCCCACGCAGCTAGCACCTTCTTGCAGATCTACGCAGATAACAAGAGAATGTTATCAGGCACGTGAAGACGTGGAGTGTTATTTTTCGAATAAAGCTACTGTTTTGTCAAAACTTCACGAAGTATATAATTCAGTAAAATAAATAGAACGTTAAATGTTCAGAAATCACAAGTCACTTAGATTCTAATGAATTTGTTTAATTCCAGGAGAAAACAATTACCTGCGTCTTTGCCGGTCTGTCAGCTCCATCGCAGGGCCCATCGTACTTAGGCATGTCCAAATTTATGGGTCCAGCACAATGGAAAATCTCCATGTGATGTACGAGATGCTCGTTACCAGCTTGGATAACCGGGCCGAATTGCAGAATGTGATGCCTGTTGTGACAAAAGGATGTATACAGGATGTCTGACGATAACATAGAAAACTCTCGTCTACGTGTAGATTAAATCAAATTAAATAAAAAGTTGCTCTAATATCTTGAAAACAGCCACGAAAAATTTTGAGTTATTAATTAAAGAAGATCTCTCTCTATGAAAACTTATAACGATAAAATATTTATTTTTATATTTTTAATTTTTTTTTCAAACCGCGTTGTTTCTCTGCTTTACTAATAGGATCAGTGGTTCAAAAGAAATATGGAGATCATCAAAGCTAGTTTGCGGTATCTTTCGATTGGTCGGCTTCAAATAATGGAACTCATAAGTTGCATTATTTGAAGCAGATAATTCGTTGTTGAGAGTACACGACACAAGCGTGTCTTGTAAATTTGCTTAAACAAGCGTATTCAATTAGCGCGTGTACGCACTTTCGCTTCAATACTTCAGGCAGTTTTTGCACTCGACACCAATAGGTGGTTTCCTTGTTCGGCACTTGAACTTGATGAGTGAGCAATTCGAGCTCCCAGGCGTCCGTCGGAAACACGGGCTTCTTATGAGGCATTCTGTACAATTCCACGCGAGACATTCCCGAGGCTTCTGCATTCGAGACTTTGAGACCAGCCAAGGAGACGAGCGGTCCGCGACCTTTGAGCCACGTAACATGCGTAGTACCCCTCTGAAATCGGAGGATTTATCAGAATGATGCAGTTCAATAGGTTTGAAAATTTGTCAGAGTAATAACGGATATTTGTCGGATATGTGTAACGCGGTTTAATGAATTTTTGAATTTTTTCAGAGCGAACACGAAAAAATCGCACGGCTTGTGCGTTATCGCGCGAATTCCTCGATCCACGAAAACTGTAATTCAACCCACCTCGATGATGTAATCATATTCGTCGCAGGTGTCTAATTTGCGTGAGAATGTGAAGTACGTGACATTGTCATGTCTCTTCCATGTGAAATTTTCACAGTCTTGCTGCGAGTCCACTTGTATCTTTCCATCGTTGTCCGCCCATGTATCCTGCCCAAGAATCCGGATCAAGAATAGTTTGTAAGTTCGCGCAAAGATGAGAACTTCATATCAACGGATACTTTACCTGGAAATGCGTCTCTCGATGCCAGTCGTGCCACATAATACAGTAATCGGCCGGGTTCAGTTTTCCATAGTCGGAAAATCCGATCGCAAACCAGCTGCTATTGTCGCCGAAGAATTGAACCCCCGCTATTATCCGCAGGTTTATTCGGTCAACTCTGAGAGCACCGATTAAAATAAAAATTTTATAAAGCGTGTAAGTATTCAAAAACCAGCGAGACATTTTTTAAAATGTAAATGTATATAAAAGATCTAAAGAATCAAGATATTTTTTGGACGTCTCTGAGATAGCTTTAGAACGTTTGTATTACACTGAGAGAAAAATTATCTTAAAATCAACAAATATTTCCTTGGTGGGTGCCATTAACATATTTACTTAAATCTTCATTCTCTTTACTTAAATCAAATATTGTTTATTTAAATCAAGTAAACAATATTTGATTTAAGTAAAGAGAATGTAGATTTAAGTAAATATGTTAATGGCACTCACCAAGGAAATATTTGTTGATTTTAAGATAATTTTTCTCTCAGTGTACATACACAGAAAAAAAGATAATCTTGTTTAAAAAATATTTTTATTTCTGACATGTTAATCTCTTTAAGTGAGATTACATAGCATTAAAGAAAGATAAATTAATATATTAAATATATTTTATATGATTTTCAATAAAAAAATCTGTTTTTATTATTCAAAAATAATTTTTATTAATGGAAAGCACAAAACGTTGCATTAAGAATATGATGTTTTTAAACATTGAAAGAAGATATCATTATCATCAAAATAATCATATTTTACTTTTTATAAAGCTATTAAAATATTTAAATAAAATTATAACAGTGAAAATTCAAAAGACTAAAATTCTTCTAACAAAATTATATATCATTGCTTGTGTATGAAATAATGATTGTTAATCTGATTATATTAGTTTTAAGTGGATACTAATTTTTTCTGTGTAGTTTCGGAAGTAACTGTTGGAATTGTTACGTCCGCCAATTCCAAAAAGCGGAAACAATGTTTTCAACAAGATAAAAAATAAGAATAATCGAACCTCCACTTGAAATTCACTGTCGAGCTGAGAGGTAATGTATGCGTTACATCCACAGGTGTATTTCTCGCGAAGTAAGAGCGAGAGTGACTCGAGTGAATGCTCGCGAGAGCAATTAACAGCAACGGAAGAAACATAACGATAATTAACGTCACTCCTTGTTAGAAATCTTCCTCGTTCAAGGTATTCTTGCGAAGTAATTGTGATCGGACGGTTAGACTTGACGAACTATATTTCCTTTTCCTTTTCGTTAATTCGGATTTTAATTCAAACTTAGATTTGCTTGGGATTTTAATATTAATTAGAATTTCAATTTGATTTCCAATGGATTCCGTTGAAGTTGAATTTTAATCTTAAATCGTGCAAGGAGATTTCTAAGGGTTGCGTATCGCGGCGTCCGGCGCAGGGTGCGAAGGATGGATCAGCACTGAAGATCCTCTCGAGGGGTGCGAACCTTCCCGTTGGATTCTGCGTTTGCGAATCGTCGAGCGAGATGCGCAAACTCGGGAAAAGTGGATCGCGAATCGATGATCCTTTGCTAAGAAGCTTCGTTAACTATCCTTACACTATTATTCGAAGGATAACGATCATTTTCGAGTTGGCATGTTAACTCTATTTTATTGATCACGCAGATCATTTTCGTTTTTCACTCGCAAACACTAACATGTATATTATATAGATTCCTTGACGTCCATGAGACTATTGAACATTACATGCGGAATAACAAGAGAAAAGTTCTGAAAAACTGGAAATACAATTCGGGTATGTAATCAAACGTAATATCGTTACTAAGTCGATGTCATATAAAACAGAAGAATTATGTGAACTCAATTTTTACACTTTTCTGAACGTAGATAAATATTTATCCATTCGCTTAATCTTGCAGAAACATTTCAGTGAATAATGGAGAATAAAAGAATAATGAATTGTAATGAACTGTCGTTAAATTACTGTGTACCAGATAAATATCTACATTTTATATGACGCATACAATATTTCAAGGTATCAAGTGCAAATAATTTGGAGAGACGTCTAGATTTCGCGAAGTAATTGAATTGGGTCGACGTAATCTCATTTCATGTTGATCAAGAAGAGGGAGGCGATAATTTCCGATAACGGACGATAAGTGAAGCTGATAAAGAAGAGAATTAAACATTGCAGATCGATCGAAGAACCCGTGATCAGAATCAACGTCGAGGGAATCTTCCTCTCTCTCGCTTTCTTCCTCGGGACATCTTGGATGAAGAGGAACGAGGAACATCTTAATAATCGAGTACCTCGCAGGAGGGAAGAGGGGGAGGGAGAGGACAAGAGGCGCATATTGCATTCCATCTGTGGCGCGTGACCGAACCACAATCAAGAAATTCCGCGGGACTTATTGCGGGCTTTATCGCACGCTATTAACGCGGGAAACAATTCGTGCGACTTGAGCGCTTTCTCTGGCGAATTTTTCGAATGCTTGTCGCGGCCTTATGCACGATTCCGCGCGATAGCTCTTAAATAAATTGTACATGCGCAAATCTCTCGCATAACGACAGCATGATCCCGCGAATAAATAAAGACATAAAGAATGGGATAAAATAGGACGGACAAAATAGAATATAGTCTATCCGACTCAGAGACTGGCCCAAAGGACCAAAAATCTTAAGAAGAGCTATTCGAACCACAGGAGTCGTTGCTGACTCTAATCCTTCATTCACAATCATTTCCTGCTCATGTAAAGGTAACCAGTTCAATTTCTTCCAGGTTTGCCTGCAACGACCAGGCAGACACTCCCATCTTACGGATTATCTGTGGTCAATTATCGACAAGAGCGAATTATGACACACGATTCATGAGTCAAACGCAAGTTTTTTAGACAGCTCAAGCTACAGAAGTAGAAAAGAAAACACGAACAAGAAAAGGGAAATGCATTGTTTTCTGGAACTTGGACATGCAATCTTGTAGAAGCAAACTTCTCTGCCTCAGTGCATCTCACGACGTCACTTGGCCGCGAGCGGAAATTTTACAAGCCGCGATTGACTGTAATTGGGAGAGATCCTTCATCACCGCGCGGTGGCAGCTGTTCCTCTGCCGGCGCTTGGGTGCATCGTAACGGAGTAATTATGAATAGTAATGCATAAATGAATTGTTTTATTGGTTTATTAATACAGCTCGCGTCCACAGTACACCATGCTTAATTAATTACAGGATCGCCGAGTAAAATTTCTAAACTGCTTTTGGAAATAAGACTGGAGACTCGAGAAATTGAGAATCGAGTTCACTTCGAGACGTCGAACGCAACACAACCCGCCGGGGCACGATACAACCCGTTCAACAACGCCGGCCGATGACGATTGCCTCTACGGCAAGGTGGAGGAGAGAGGAAAGGAAGCATAGAAATGCTGACGGCCAGCTGGCGGCGGTTTCGCCGGCAGTCGGGAGAGACGAGCGTCCGCGCTTGGATTGCGTATCGGAGCGACCGGTCCGCGCGCACATACGTAAGCGAGGAATGTAATCCGCGACCCGATGACCCATCCGTTACCCGTGTACGACGCGCTGCAATTCAGACTACCGATTCTCGTCCAGGGTGAGTGAGTGCGAGCTGTGGACCACGTGTTCGCGATCGTCCGCGAGAACGACGGTTGTCCGCAAGGGTCAGATTCCTGGGCAGAAAGCGCGCGAGAATGAGAATCAATTTCAGAACAATGAGCACGCTTCCGACGCGATAAATATAGCGCTCTCGTATTCTAGAGATTAATCAATCGAGTCGCATTCAGCGCGTATTCGTATTGTTCAGCGGTTCCTTTTTTGGAGAGCGGCAGAACGCCACGTTTCTCGCTCCTGTGATTCATAGTTTGACAGTCTAGCCGTTAATCGCGGTCACGCACGCTTTCTTCCCGGCGCTCCATGTGTATTTCTGTAATTTTCTATAGTAGCTCTATTCTCTCTGGAAGCGAGAATGCTAGAATGCACGCGTTGGCGCACATAATTCACAGCTGTTTCTCACGTGATCCTTCGCTGCGCGTGGTGCACGACTCGCCTTTTAATACATGAGGTGGATCGAAGGCTTTAGGTGACTCATGACCGTGAGCGAACTTGCGGTGACACGGGCAAGTCATATTAGTTCATGATATCAGTAGGATAAAGAAAAAACGATAACGACCGTTTGCTGACGACAGCGAGAATGACTCGCGAAGCTATTTCCTCAACTTTGGCGTCATTATCTGCGTTCGCGGGCGCTTATCAATTGTCAGATGTAAAACGTGAGCGATCCGGAATTTCGCGAAATTGCTGCGTTTATTTTCAGTGTCATATTACGACAAAGAGACTCTGCGTGCTTCTCTGTCAAAATTCTCACTTTCTTCTCTTCTTCATTTATCATTTGTTAAAAACATTCTTTCTTTGCAACCTCGAAATCGGCAAAATAATAATTTTCCGCAAGAATGAGAAAAAAAGGAAGATGTTTGTCCGGAAAATTTTCCTCGTAACGATGAATCAAGCCGAAGCAAACATTTGCTACTGGAAAATATTTGCTCGCTTCTGTTTGTACAATACTCCGCGATAAGTCAATTGATTCAGTATTGCGCGCTGCTGTCGATTTTACCCCAATAGACGTAAACTTTACAGCAACTTTGAATATATTAAATCACGAAATTCAACAACATTCCCTTATGACTGATCAGATTGCATTCATATTTGTCACGTAGAATAACGAAATAGAAATACAAGATAGAAAGAGATATGAAAAATTTATCTAAATTTGCTCAAAACAATATGTTATGTTAAATGTAATATGAAAAATCTGAGTATAACTTTTAAATTGATTGCTACATCACAAAAAACAATTCATATTATTTTATGATGTAAATGATTATGACGTAATAACTAATTCAGTACAATATATTTATTGCATAAATGCAATTAAAGAAATTGCAAAGTTTCCATCATCAATTGTCTCACGTCGTGATAATTAAAATCTATCTGGGCAGTCTCTTCGACTTGGCAGCGCTGATTTATTAATACTAATTATGTAATGACGTGCAATCTAAATTATAATTATTTAAGATAAATATGGAGAAATAGATAATGTGTACAATATGATCCCGGAAAGAAAGAGTAACTTAACGTCCTATTTTGTCGAAATAACTGAAATGGAATAAGGACAAAGTAGGAAGGAACAACAGCAGTGATCTACGGCCGCATTCGCCTGCTTGCATTCGCACAAACACATTAATTAATCGTTGTCGATTTTTGCGTGTCGTCCTATGAATATTCCTTCCGCCTTACGTCAAACTGTTGCTAGCGCATCTTGACAAAACGGCGAGCGCTGATAAAACGCAGCTTGCTCGCGTCTCACTATTTGCAAAATATTTCTCAAGTGGCGAATCGCGACTCCGCGTTCTCGACGGGACATGAGCGGGCAATTATTATTTTTAGACACTCGACGCACCCCGCGGCATTCTCACATTTAGCATATTTTTTCCGCGTCATTTCTGACGGCACGTTTCATTCACACGAAGCGATCTCGAGAGAGGCCTTTGCTAGTTAGCGATTAATTAGAGTTGTCTTTAAAGTCTAAAATTAGAGATAGTTTGATATAAGTGCGCAGGATCGTTATTAATTCGATCGGCAGATTTCTCTCTGCGGGAGATAAATTATTACGCAATGTATCGTCATGTGGGACGATTAGTTGGCGCAAGTAACAATGACGTTCTATCTCTGAAGTATCTAATTGAACGATGGCATACGAGGGAGTCAACTGTAGCCTTTATCTCTGATTAGCGAATAACTAATTTGATGGCACTCGTCTGTCCTCTGCGATGAATTACTTGTTACATGTGATATTCAATAACCAATAGATAACATAGTGCAAAGTATGAATTATTCAAATATTAACGTATCAGTGTGTACGCGAGAGATGTTTCATATGGCTGATTTGTAAATAGCTTGAAGAAAATTTAAATAAAATAGTTTCGTTTCTCGTGTCTTTTGGGACAAGTAAGATGTTTCGAAAGTGTACTACTTATTTTGTAACAATGGAAAGTGAAAATACTCTATACGAAATTATTTTGCAAAACACAAAAATATAATCTTATTCTTAGAGAAAATCATCTTATGTATAGTCACTTGTTTTCTTATCTGCTTATACTTAAGATCTTATATGAGTAAAAAATGGCGTTTCTTTTGGATCATTGCAGTGAACGAAAGAGTGCGACGGGCGACCGTCGGAACGCCATAGAAAGCCTGCGGCGGATCAGACGTCGGTAATCGATGGGTTGAGAACGTGAGATTCGTGGCTTCACCATCCACCATCTGCCATTCACTACCACCATCATCTCTCCTCTTCTCTTTTGGATTTACCAAGGTGCGCAGCTTATCGATGAGCCATGCTGAAGGTGGTCGGAGCCTCGTGGCTGCAGACACGCATCTCCACCTACATCCTCGTAGCCGTCGCTCTCCTCGGAATTGGTGCCATTATTCTTGGCGAATTCGGACAGTAAGTCAATATCCTGGTTTTGTTTGCAGCATAATATACGTGGACCTACTGCAAAATTAGCCGCGACTCTAACTAGAAATACGAATTCGCCAAGTCTCAACTACATCCTCCATTATTACATATTTCTGAATAAAAAATACTTTTAAATTTAAACATTAATATTGCTTTGCGTGAAACTTTTCTGTAATGTTTCCATCGATGTCCGCAGCGTTGAAGATGATGGGACTTACTCGGCTACAGTATCGTGGAATCACAAGGGCGGATATCACATTGACTTCTGGGGCCAAAGCAACGATCTCGCCAGTGTGAGATTGAATGTCGCACGCGCCTATTACAAGACCAGCATTTTCGAATCCGGGTAGATGAATGATATCATACATAACTATTTCTTCTTCCTGAGAAATATCGTATGGAAAAAAAATTTTGTTATTAATTAACTTTTGTAATTAACTAAATATCTTTGAAATTTCGATTGAAGTTATCAGAATTCTGTTTAAGCTCATAAGATTTTTAATATTCAAAATCTTGTGAACTTTTGAACAGAATTCTGGTAATTTCAACCAGAATTCTGGCTCGTTTATATATTCACCAGATGGTTAATCCAACTAAGTCTTCTTTTCCGTGTATATTTACACAATTCCGTAAATAGTCTTGTAAATACCTTCTGATCTACGGAGCGAATCGGAATTGTAGCAAAGATCATGTTCTATCAAATTAGGATATTCTACAGATATCTGCTTGAGAATCGTTCAGTTCAACTAAAATAGAATCTCGATACGCTCCAGATGGTCCATTATTGAAATAGAAACGTCGTCCAAGTACCCGGATACGGTACAAGCTTACGCGGCTGGTCTGCTGGAAGGCAGCTTGACGTGGCAATTAATCCATCACCATTGGCACAACACCGTCAACGTTGTCTGCGAGAAACGAGCCGATGAATGTCGGAAATTGATGCGATTCCTCCGCGAAAACACCGCCGTCATCCGGGAACGTGCCGAGCTTTTAGAAGCTACAGATCCATTTTGGCACATGGTAAGTTTTAGATATCACAGAGTACATGCCTGAGAAAAAAGTTCATTTATGATCATATAAAAATATATATAATTATATATGAATTTTTTTGTATATTTGTAACCTTATATATGATCATATCTAATTATATATCTCCATATATATAACAAATACTGTTGAATGAAAGAAAGAAAACAATTTGATTCAATTAAACATCGACATCATAGGCCATCACAAACATAAGTATTTACTTTAATCGTATCTTCACAACAGCATACTTTTCAGCATAAATATGTATAATTATACATGATCATATATGGCCATATATAGACAAAATTTATATATAAATCTTTTTCCCGCATGTCTATAACATTGATAAAACTTCACGTTTCGATCACAGGTGCGGTTATTCTACATCCAACTGGATGGCTTGGAAGCTGGCTGGAGATTTGCGGTTCGCCGCAGTCGGCAAACAGTGGAAATGGATACGGAACATTTCCTCTGGCTGGCAATGGCCGCCGATCTGCCAGATCTCGAGTTAGCGCCAAACGTTACCGATTATACCAAGGGCATGGTCTGCCTGAAGAACTTTCTCCGCAATGAGCAGGAACCATTGATAGCCATCGGACACACTACTGCTGCACCGTAAGTCGCTTCTGCTAACATATTCAAAGTATTACTTAGTAAATATAAAGTAAAATAGTAATATTACATCAATGTTATAATTTCCCACTCAACAATGTAACTACAATATAACACATATTGTACATAACAGTTATATTAACAGTTGTTGAACGGAAAATGATAACATTAGTGTGATGTCATTGTTACTCAATGTTTACCGGGTAGTTAATAACATAAGAGAGAAACTCCACAAATCAAACTTACATTTTTGTTAAAATAAAAAAGAAAATAAAACCTAAAAATTTTCTATTACACTTCCCGCTGCAAGGATAAACAATAAAATCAAACGTAGGTATATTTATTTACTATTGAATTAGTGCGTAAAATAATAGCTCGAGAGACTCAAGCAATATAATTGTGTTTTATTCTTCCTTAAAGATATGCTAAGATGCTGAGGCTTCTGAAGAAGTACACGTTCGGTTATCATGTATTACCAACCTTCAATACCGTAGCATTGACACCCGGCAGGTCCATCGTGATGTCATCCTATCCCGGTGCTCTATCGTCTCATGACGAGTTCTATCTGATCCATGGGGAGAATCGCGAACTAAACGTCGCCGGAATACCATTGACGGTTACTCATGAACGTGAACTATGGAATTTCACGAAGGTGAAAGATCAAGTAAGCGAGGCAAATTTTCACTGGACTCACGAATCTTCACGTTCCAAAGCTATCTTCGTAGCTCATAACAAACAAATTATGGTTGATCAAGTAATTTTTGGCACTCCATAAACGAGAATAATGAGAGATCAAATCAATTATGGAAAACAAACTGGATAATATTCTGCGAATATTACGTGCATTATGCAGGAATGTCACATTAATTTTCTTCTTCTCGTAAGCAGGTGATGTCATCCGTGAAGATAATGGCGGCGAATCGTTTGGCGACGGACAGCCATACCTGGTTCCGTGTCATGTTGTTACAAAACGGCAATGACGCAGCGCGGCAATGGATCACTTTGGAGCCGCGTAGTCGAATCGTTGGACTGATCGAACAACTATCAGGAATTATCCGCGTCATGGATATCAGCGAGCAGTTCGCCGCGACCGGTGCATTCTGTTACACTGGCAAAGCTCGTTTGCGCGAAATCAAGGTAGAATTGGGTGAGAACGGCACAGACGATGAGGATGACGATGATGTTACGAGGGACAAGCTAGCCACTAGACTGCAGAGGAACATCACGACGATAGAGAGTTTTAGAAGACTGTTGCAGGGATGCAGCCACAAGGACACCGTTGCAACCACCGCAATTACTGTTACAGAGGACGGAGATCAGACAGCACAGATTCTCGCCTACAGAGGAGATTTGGAAGAAAACGGCAATGCATCGCCGTTCGGCGTGATTGACGCAAAAATCATGCTAGCAGGTGTCGACGGTGTGGAAAGTTTCGAGGCAACTTCTGGTCCCAGCACTCTGGGCTTCAGGAAACCTTTTCGCTGGTCAAATACTTTCCCCAACGTCTCGCACATCGGCCAACCAGACGTATTCGAATTCGACAACGTCATTCCTCTGTGGGTCTGGGTTTAATAGGATATTTGTCTCTTGAAAGCAAAATTTTCAACATATCTCAAAAAGATTGATCGTTAAAATGTTGATTAATAAAATGTTTCACAAAATATTGGGCTTTGAATAAAAATCGTACCTAACTGATAATCGCAGTTTGCTAAGAAGAGTTAGTTCTTGTCTCTTGAAATATGTATTTACTAAATGGTTAAAATTTTGTAATCTCAAAGAAACAGCTGGCTCATATGTTAACTGTCAACTGTCGTAAAATTTCTGGAAAATAAAAATTAAGAAACTGATACTTATTTACATCCTTTCTTGTCCTCGAAACCACTAGTTTCCCATTCCTTTCAATTTTTTAACATTTACCATTCTTTTTATATTGAAATCTTAATATATTTATAGTATAAATAATTAAGTAGAATAATTTATATAATGCTTGAGATATATTTGAAGAATGTATAAAAAAATTAAGAAATTAATAAATCATGAAATTGCTTAATATATTTGTACTAACAGTTAAATTTTCTAGATCTCTCCTAAATTAAGTAATTTGATACAAGCAAGCCGCACATGCAGCGCGCGTTTACGTTGCAATATTGCGGTCTTGTAATGTTGTCTCTCCTATGTTCAAGATAATTATTTTCACAAGATAGTTTTTTTTTGTTCACTAAGCGTTTATGCAAATCTACTTCTTACTATTATTATACTGAAATAACAAACTCTTAATTCTTAATTGAAGTAACAAACATTTCTGGATTTACTAATATTCTAATCATGCCGACATAAGATTTGAAGATAAAAGACTACATTTTGTGTGTTATAACTTAATTTAAATATATATCATAAGATGTGGAACATAAAGCTAGAAATATATTAACATACGTGATACGATTCTGAATTTATACCTGATAATATTTCATTACATTATAATGTTATGTATTTGTGTTGAATATAAAAATAATATTCTAAAATAGTTATAAAAAAGTGTAAATGAATAAAAAAAGAAGAGATAGAATTGTCGACACTAATATACTTATACTTACGACACTTATACTTACGATATTACTGCTTTAACTAAAAGCAATTTTATTTCAACACGTTTGTAGGTCTGAATGACTATGTTTTGTAAAGAAAAATAAGAAATTCACCATCGCCCTACTTGAAACCCGTAATCTTGTGGTAGATGTAATAACGAATTTAATAAGCTGTAATTGGTATTTGAGTCAGCAAAACGCTATTAGACCGGTGGTTTTCAGGTAGGGCGAAGAAAAAGCGAATCCAACAATGCAAAGCGTTTGTATAAAAGCGACCGTCATGTAGCGCCGTTGGCATACGCGCAATGCTTATGCAGCTATCAAAATGGGTAAGTTGTTCTAATAGTATTGCTTTTACTTTAATATATATTTTGTGATAATTTTTAGGCAATATACATCTTCTTAGTGACCGATTGCGTCAAAGGACATTGGCCGCGCGTCGGCCGTCAAGCAGGATACTCCTATCAACGGCCCAATATTCCATTTGGTTTACCAACGGAAATAGGTGTTCAGCAAGGATATCCTAGACCTCAATCTAGTTACCCAAGTTATTCTTATCCTGCTCCTCCTCCACCAACACCAACACCACCAGCACCTCCTTCACTGCCACCATCGCCTCCACCTGTGTATATACCACCTCCGTCACCACCGCCACCATCACCACCACCTCCTCCACCGCCGCCACCGCCGCCACCACCACCACCACCACCTTCTCCTCCTCCTCCTCCTCCTCCGCCGCCGCCGCCGCCACCACCGTCACCACCGCCTGTGTATATCCCACCTTCAACGCCACCTCCATCGCTTCCGCCTCCGGAAACACCATCACCACCATCGTCACCGCCATCGCCGCCGTCATATCCTCCTCCGTCGCCATCACCCCCTTCTTCTCTACCACCACCTGTATATATACCACCTCCTTCACCGCCACCTCCGTCACCACCATCTCCTCCTCCTCTTCCACCACCATCTCCTCCTACACGTCCACGACATATGTATCTATCTCCATCTCGACCACGATTACCGCCACTATCTCCACGACCTACACGGCCGCCTGCTACATATTTACCTCCTTATGACAATCAACGACCACCGATTGTGTCAACTCCAGCGTCTACATATTTACCACCATATGGACAACGTGGTTCCGTTGGAATATTAAACGTTGGTGGAACGTCTACTTCTGCTGCTGAGGTTCCTGCAACCACTGCGAGTTTCCCAACGTCAAGTGTGGTGAAATTAAGTGGACCAAGCGTCACTACCGCATCTAGTTCTGCCAGTGCATCCTGCGGAACGTACAGCTCAGTACCTATTTCGATTATACCTTCCTCTACATCAAGCTATTCTTCATCTGCACCAGGATATCCTTCAAGTACACCGAATTATCCCTGTATGCAGGGCTCAGTTGTGCCAGATGAGCCTTCATCTATGTCAGGATATCCTTTGTCAACGCCTACGTCTATTCCATCGTCTTCCTCGCCTACAGCAGGATATCGTTAGTTTCGTTGTCGTTCGTCTGAGTTCTTCCGAGAATTATTCGATGATTTAGATATCGTTTATCTATTTTTCTGTTTAATGGGTTCTTAGGGTTATCTTAGACTTTCATGTTGTTTGGGAGCTCTTTCTAAAATAAGCAATGGGCAAGTTAAGTTCATTTAAGGATTAAATAGTAACAAAGTAGAAGATTTTGCAATTACCTGGAAGACAAATATCGCAAGACGTACCCGGTATTATTGGATTGTTACACTAAAATATTGGATTGTAGATTGCTAACCAAGCGGGGTAAGCATGTTAACATTATTAAATGACATAATTCGAGAAGTAATTCGATTTAATATAATCTATTTCATATTCTACTCAGTTCGTAAACTCTGAAACACTTTAGCTATTTCCCACTCAATCGATGAAATTGGTGGTGTTCGTCATTAAATAGACACAAAAGAAATGAATACTCTATCGTGTAAAAGTATTCTTAAGATATCTTTTCGTCATATGTTTAAATAAATAGGAACTATAACATAAGGAGGTAAAACTAGAATAGAGTAAAATTATAATATAAAATTCTTGTTTCTCTTTTAGTTCTTTCTTTCTTGCTTGTGCAATCAATAGTGAGTTAACGATCTACCGAAAACGGTCACTACGAGATGCGACGCTTCGTACTCAGTAAAAAACTACGAATACAAATGAGGGCGGGTCATAGTTAAACTATAAGATGTGACACGTCTGCGGTGTAGGCGGCAGGCGACAGCCGGATATCCTCGGTGCGCGAGAGTGGTCGTTGTCTCAGGTCACTATCGCCGGGCCAAGCGCGACCAGGACTTCGCGAACCGACGTTCGACCTAGCGACCGTGTCCACCGCCAGGCTCACCGTTGCAGGATCGTTCAGGCCGTTGCTTTGTATCCGACGTTGTGTGACTATCGACGCTCGTAGAGTTTTCCGTTTCTGCACGGCAAAACGCGACGGTTCACCAATCGAATTAACGATGTCTTCGTTTTACAACTATCGATATTCGCTTTACAGCAATCGTATGAATTTTATTGAGACTTAGGATGAAATATACTTTAATTGAAACAGTCATTAAAGAGGAAGAATTAATTATTTTCATCGATTTACCTCGATCATCCCTCGCCACTTGTCGGCCGCGTGTCTCGCCAGTTCCATTTTCCTCTGTTTACGTATCTGATGTTTCTTATATGTCATCTCGATGATGATTAGAGCGATACCGCCGCCGATACCGACACCGACTACTATAAACACTCCCGCCATGTTCTCCAGACCTAGTGTGTTCGGCATCTTCTCAAACTGCTCGCATTGTTGCACGTTACCTTGCAAGATCCATTGGTGGTCGAGACGCTCCATGAAACCACCTGCCAAAGCGCATCGTGAGGATACAATGCTAATGATTATAAATTGGAAGAGTTCAATAAATAGAATAATTAATGAAACAACAGATTAATATTCAGTAATTCTCGGAAATATACATTTTAGAGTATCCTCCGCACTTCACTTCACTAATAGAAACAAGCCGAGAAAAATAAGAATGAAGGTATATCGTGTCTCGTGAAACTCACTCTCATGAAAATCCAAGATCGCCAGTGTTACGGAGTCCGCCCATGGCGAGCCTTTCTGCAAACCGATCCCATAACCCGAACGACCGAACAATTCGCCGGCCGTCACCAACTCGCAATCTTGGGCCGCTTCGAATTCCAAACGTGAGCTGTCCCAGATGAACGCCATCAATTTTCTGCAATAAACAGAGCATGATTGTTTGGTATTTCGCTTGTTAAATGTTGGGAGTTTTGTTAGACTCCCATAAAATAATCTATGTTATGTTGCGCTCACCCAATTTTAATATCTCGTATAGCATCTTCGGCGGTGTCATAATTATTCGCCTCCATGGTACGATACATGTTGGACAACTCCACTTGGCGTCTAAAGTACATGTCCACAGCGGAACCCTTTACCGTCGCGCATGTCAAGTTCTCCATCGTGTTTCTTAGCTTCACAGATCAACGTATTTATACATAAAACTTTTGTATACTGAAACTTAAAGCTAATAAAATTACGTAATAAGATTTTTCGCAATAATAATCCTTACTCGAGCGTCATTAATGCCGGTTAGTTTGGTCTTGGGCCGCTCCAAAACGAGGAACGCAGCCAAATTGGCAGTGTATGATGCGACGATGATCATAGCAAATCCTGCCCACACCATTCCCAGTACACGTGCAGAGAAACTTCGAGGAGTGCCTGTCGAGATTTAGTCGACATATACAATATCAGTTTCTACTTAGGTTTATATTACATGATTTCTTATGTTTGTTCCTACTTAGGTTTATCTTATATGATTTCTTATGTTTAAATTTCTGAAGAGCTTAATGAGGACTGCTCTGATATATCTTAAAACTTATATCATTTAATATTCCTAGTAAGACCTTTAGGATGGAATTTATTACATTTTTAGAATTTTTAGAATTAATGTATTAAAAGGACATATATACCCGTTTAATTAAATAAATAAATAAATAATACGACAAATTATAAGTAGATAAATTATAAGTAGACAAATTATAAGTAGATAAATGTGAAACAGTTGAAAAATAAAATTCGCTCAACTAAATTTAATAAAAATTAAAAATCGAGAGACTCAAATAAACTAATGATATTTTCTTTTTTACCTTCTCCTATACCGCTGTTTAACAAGACACCCCAGGCGAACCAAATAGCGCTGGACAGATTGAGCGCATCCTCTTCAGTGCCGTCGGAATTGGCTAGCTTGAATCTGCCGAAAGGTGAAAATCTGTCGAGCAAGTATAGAGCGAGCGCTACTACGTGCACCGATCCCATCACCAGGATCCAGAGAGTATTGCTGAATGGTTGTAAGAAGGAGACCAACGTGGACGATCTCGAAGGCTACGTATACGAAAACAAACATTTAATGCATGTTTGCCTTTGTAAAAGTAAAATTTGAAAATGTGCATACCTTTTTCTCGAGAATAGTGATGCCTTGATACTTAAACGGTTTGCTAAATTCGATAAATTCGGCGCGCTCAGGGTTGATTGTCAGTGGCGCGACGATCATATCAGCTTGCTCGTTCACTATCTCGCCGATCAGACCGGTCCATTCCTTCTTTCCTCCGACTTCGATACGTCGTCGAGACCCGAAGGAAAAGCGAGGTGAAACACAAAGGAGGAATCCAAATTATTAATCCACTTAACACTCACTCGTAGATATAATAAAAAAGATGTATAAAATTTTATTCCTTCGCTTACCCGAACTATTTTTTATCACATAGCTGCCGAACTGACCGTCGGGCGACAGAGCTAAGCTGTAGGTGAAATTGATTGTCTTCGACAGTTCCTTCAATAGATCCATGCAATATCCCCTACAGCAGAATATTCGTGTGTCTGCGAGAGAAAGATGTATTTACAGTTTGCAAGGAAGTGTTTTACAAGAAAACGAGACATCGAATATCAGGAACGTACTTTCGTGCTCTGTTGTGTTGAAATGAGGACACGCAATCTCTTCAGGCAAGCATTTGGTTTCGCTCTCAGCTAGCTCGCGAACGTAAACAAACGGCTTCTCCTCGATCGTCAGCACTTTCAGGTGTGTCGGTATCATGAAACCTTCGGGTTTGGTCTTTAGACGACCTGGCCATATGATGCTGGACTCGTTTACTCGCAATTTCATCTTCGTACCGTTCTATAGCGTTTAAGAATATATCAAGAAATCTGTCGTGAAATTACTAGAATAGATTACGTTCGAATTCGAATATTTACTACGAAGAATCGAATACCGCAGGCGGTATATTTACTACGGAGAATCGAATATGCGGAATCTCCGGACGAGAACTGAAGGGATGATATTTAGTAAGTAAAAAAATCATTGATAGAATGTTATTGAAATAATATTCAATAACATTTTCTAGTGTGTAGTTTTAACGTTGTATTGACATTATTGTGAACAATTTTAACACTTCAATATTTCTAAAATTGCAATATCTAAAGAAATTATATTATCCGGCAGTATCTTTGAAATATTTTTGTAAAATATTCAGTGAAAACATTCAAGAGATACATATAAAATCAATATCTCAAGATGTTGAATTAATGTTCTTTGTTTACTGGGTGGAGTTAATCTTGTCTTATAATTTACTTACAGCTGGATAAAAATACTGGCCGACGGACACTTGCGTCTTGTTGTCGGAATCCGCGTATTGGATGTTAATTATGTCATATTCGGCGAATATGCGATCACCATTATCGTCGAACGCCACTCGACCCGTAGAGCCATGTTGCAATACTTGCTGAAGAATATACCTAACCAAACGTTCAAAGAAACAATTATATATTGTCTATAAAAATAGACCAGTCCAGTTGTGTATTGTCTATAAAAATATATATGTAAAAATATATAGTAATAGGGAGGAAGGGGTTGTAACAAAATTCGCGTTACTGTTTCTAAAAACTCAAGTTTTAAAATCTCTTTAAAAAATGAGACGCGAAAGTCGAGAAAAGTTTTATACGTAAATAGTTTCTTCCCGGTTTCCCATATAGAGCCGGAATCGCTGCAATCTTTCGGCGCTTCGGTGATTTTCTCCGAGTTGTTCATTGCACGCAACGCGGATACGAGCACAAATCTGTAAAACATGGTCAAACGTGACGTAACTAAGTGATCTTTAGAATTTCAAGTATTTATTTCATCTTAATTTTTATAATTCTTAAGAAATAATTAATGGACAAATAGATAATCTAGGATGCACTCACAGACTGTCGGTGATATGTGATTTCTCTTGAGTGGCGTTGATCAGTTTCAAACCTAACAAGCCCTCTGGAGCATTTGATGCTTCCAATGCCTGTTCAGTAACGATCCACACGTAACCAGCACCAGTCATGTTCAGAGCGGCCGCATCCCTGAAGATCACCCTCGCATCCGTTTTCCTATTTTGTATTAGAAAACATCAGATTTATAAGTAACTTCGCGAATTGCTGTTTTATAAAATCCGAGATCTGACCAAGTCGATCATTTATGATCGTGAGTTATCCTTAAATGATAGAATTGGTTGTTTTGAGTTATAGTGGATACTTACGAAGCGTACATGAGGCAAACTCTCGCCTGCGCACTCTTCATCTCTGTCAGTTGCTCCACGAAACTGTCTAATCCCGGTTCGAACTCGATAACTGACTCAACCTGGAAACGAGAGAGAATTGTGAGCAAACTACGAAAAGCTTACTTTAGATCTGCGCATAGGATTTTAGAATAGAAATCCATATTGTCGGATGCGTGTACAACGTACGTGCACTTTGATCTCCACGTCTTGCTCCAGATTCTGCGACGTTGTCTGGAAACGTCCGAGAAGCGCGCGACCATCTGTGTCGGAGCTGTGGATGAAGATGATCTTCATGTAGTTGAAGTGCTTCAATAGTTCCACCCAGACATCCGCCTGATGCGAATACGGCGGTACGGTGCGCAAGAAAGAGACGTGTATGTTCTGCAAATATATACAGAGCGAATAAAATTATACAAGATCTCTGTGATTAAAAATCAAAAGTAGATCAAAGAGAAATCTATAAGAATGCGCTGGAAAACTGTGCGCAGAAACAAGGAGAACGTTAGAATCTATTCGCTTTAACTTCACCTATTTACTTTTAAATGCGCGCTGACACTTTTAGGGTTTACTAACAAAAGTTATATTAATGAAATTAAGAAAATGACTACACAAAAATAATCTAAAAGATTGTAAATGAAAAGTCAGAAATTTTCATAAGCCAATTGTTAAGCTACTCTTTTATATAATTAGAAAATAAAATTTCAACTGAGTGTTCGTCTCATACGAGGACAATGGAGAGAGTAACAACGACCGGATACGAGCGTTGTTGAACTATCTTACGTGCCTTGTCAGAGAAGGCGGAATCCCTGGATGAAATGCCGATCACCGGTATGTGATAAAAGCCGCTGGTATAGGAAACCGCGGCTGGCGACAGGTCGCCGATAAGCGGGTGCGACACCACCACCGCGTACACCTGCTCGGCGATGAGGGACTTGCAGACACTCAACGCGGTCCTGATTGGATTGGAGTCCATTTCGATCACAGTGTGCTTGTACGTTACTCCTTTATTGACATATTGGGCATCGAAGTTGAGATGCTAAAATTGATTAATCAGAAACATTTTTACTGATTCACTTTGAGAGAGCGCGTATCTTTCGACATGTGGATCTTTCGGCCAATATCTAAGTCATTTCTTATGAATAAATGATACAACAATTTTTCGTCTTACGTCGATCGTTTTTTCAAAGTGCGACTTGCTCTCGTCGTTGGAGAGAACGCCGCCGATTTTGTAGAACTTGGGATTATCGTAGTTGGAGAGTCCCGCCACAGCGACGAATCCCGAATGCGGGACATTGTGCAGAACGACAAAGAGGAACGAGAACGCGATACTCACGTATAAACGCATTATGCAGCCACCCTGTAAAAAGACACAGGTTGGCGAGTCAGCGAGTTATTGACACTTCATCCATGAAGGTGGAAATCTATTCACAAAGATTAAATAAGATCCCTTAGACGTTTATGTAATATTTAGCTCTTTTTTGTAGAAATATAATAAAAAATTACATAAATTGTAATTATTTATAATATACGATATATTATTTGCAATTCGAGTGCAATTATTAGATTTTTTTCGCAAAACATATCAAGACGTTTAGTTATAAATAATACTTTTCTGTCCCCGCTTATTACGTTAAAAATTGGATCTGTCGAAGATCCCACTTATTAGAAATTGAAAGATATTGTCGACGAATGTGTATCCTTATCAAGGATAACCGGCCTCCGCCCTTCTTCTTTCTCGACGGGAACACGCCCGAATAAAATTCCAAAATTTTTCATACAACTGTGATCCAACTCGCTCAATCAAAAAATCGAAAGTAGTAAAGAGGAAGCCTACAAAGTTAATTTTTTGACAATGCAATTGCAAGCGATTAATTCGTAGACATAAGATAAAACGTTCGAACAACTTTCATTCACGCATATCATGATTAATATTTCTCTAGCCTTTGTTACATTTACAGCCTGAGACTCACCGAGCTCTCTTATCTCGTTTATTCCTCCCCCAACCAAACAGATCTTCTCAGCTGGGAGACGGATGCCCGAGGAATCCGAACGAGCTCGACTGTTTATCACGTATCGCGACCGATCCGCATCCGGAGAAAGCGCATCTTGGAACAGCCCAAGTGCTAATGAGCGCGCTCGAGACGGAGCGAACGGTGGGACGCGGATCGCAAATTCGTCATTGATCCAGTCGGATGCTGCGCGCAGAAGTCACCCCCGCCAAAAGCCCCGCTGATCGAACAATCGCCAAATTCAAACGGTGCCGATACACAGTACCGCTGAGCAAAATGCTATTTTCCTAAATTCGTTAATATTACTTCTCTGTTATTAACGAATTTGATATCAGGTAGGCTTGTCACTCAACGAGGAGTAGTCATCTCGGAGTATTCAACGTTATCGTGCACATTCGTGCATCTGTAACTTGATATTGGGCTTCTATTGGCCGTTCTTGATCCAGTAATAATTTTACATTATTGCCGTTCTAGTTTCTCGAACTCCTCGTGCTATATCCGGTTGCAGCAATTCGCGAAACAGTCATCCTTGCGCCGGGCTTTTTCTATGATTGCTGCTACTAGGTAATTACGGCAAATGAGGCCGTACGGAGCACGCTAGTTGACGTAACGGCCGACGCGAAGGTCATCAGCGAAGAGACAATCGGGGTGAGCCGCATTGCGAACAAACGTGAGCGCTCTGCAAACAAAAAATTTGTCAGTACAAATTCGAAGTTTCCTTGCAAGAGGCTGCTGAGAACAAACGATCGTTCTTGCGTTCCAAGAAACAACAAGTTCACGGAACAAACAACGCGACAGTGAAATTGGAAGAAAGTCAAAAATACTGATGTTTGGACACGTACTTAATCCAGGACATTCTTATTGTTTTGATCTTTTTTGAATATCAATATTTAACTTTCAACATATTCATACAAATATATATTCATTCAAATATATATACAAGTATTGAGTAAAATTTACATATACATTCTATGTTGAAAGATTAAATATTCGTATTTAAAGACCCCAAAATAATAAAAATGTCCAGAATTAGGTACTGACTGGGAATTGTACTTTTTACCTTAATCTATGTAGCTGCGTTAATAATCGTAATAACCGAATCAATAAAGCATTACACTCAAATAATGCTCGATTTCGAACACACGCGTTCGAGCGAGTTTCAGCTGTCGAAGCAATATTTTCTTCCTTATCGAAGTTTACCTAATTGTCGATATTCTATATATAGTTTCTTATCATTAGTACAATTCTGCCGTTCGTAGTATCGTTCCACCTAATCGCTATATAAGGATATGTTATTATTCGAATGATTGATGTGAAATTATTCGAATGTAACCAGTACTTTTTGGGATATACTTTGGATTATTTCCAAAGACTTTAAATTTTATCATCTAATTATCGTAGAGTGACGTTGGGGAACATTGCCTTAAGTGTCTGTAGTCATATATTGAGAAAGAAGATATTCTATATATACGTAAGGTGCTTCAAGAATAGTGACTCATCGCTTTTTCTCTCATTGGAAAATTTTGTGCCTCCTGGTGCGCTAAATCGACACAGCGTACATCTGTAGCCTTTCCGTCTTCGAATAGTTTTCATTTGTGTAATTTTCGGTGTAATTGAAATTTGTCCGTTTATGTTTTACACTTTCGAATTACTTCGGATACGAAGCAACGTACAGCGTTTAGTTTTATTGAAGGGCCTTGCGTTTGTGCACGCGGCTGTGAAGTTAAAGTTTGTTTACTTGAGCCATTTGTTCATCCGAGCAATTTGTTCGTTCAGAGTGCGGCCAACGTTGCCAACACTCTGTTGCGAGACGCCTCGAGCTTAGTGACTTATCATCATGATTGTTCTTGGCGTTAGATTGTTTCGCATTTTCTCTTCCATTTTGCAGAAATATGTTCATTCAGCGTCGTTTAGCGTGCGATCGGCGAATTGCCACTTTATCGAGGAATTTCACCCTCTTCCTATTCCTCCTCCCTCGGTGCGTTCGCGTGTACGGTCTTCACGTGGCGCGGGTGATTTCCGCGAAGGCGGCCCTGCGCGTCAGCGCTGCCAGCGACGACGTATCGATCCCTCCGCGAATTTCCACGTAGTGGCAACCCTCGATGACTGCGTGCGCACCCTTTCTCGCGATATTTACCGAGAGGAGAACCTACGCGACCGTCGTTCCCGAGTGCCAGTGAGGTATCCTGGTGCTATACAAGAAGACAGCGAACGTCCAAGCGCGACCAAACCGATTTCAAGGTTTCAAGTGTATCTTTTGTGCAAGTATCAAGCCACCTTTCAAGCTTCAAGGGGCTCACGTTGCACGATAGTGGAAGACAAAGGACGTGAAGGACGGAAGGACGACGGCAACGCGAGGGTTGCATGATTCTGAAGGCCGTAACGTCAGCGCGACGGGTGAACGTTATTATTATCCCAGCTGATGTGAATCCGTTCTCCATCATACGGGGAAGGGAAAAGGTACACGGGTGGACACCAGGTGGTACCAAGTTGAGACTGAGAGGGCAAGTGAGATAGCTCGAGGAGCCGTTAAACCAGAGAGAGAGAGAGAGAGAGAGAGTAGTAGAAGAAGTAAAGCCTCGAATCCGCGATCCAAATAAATAATATAATCCAATGTATTACGGTTCCCACGGTGCCACCGAAGAAGTCGCCGCCGCCGCAGCCGCCGAGGAAAAGATATGTCGTTACCGCGGGAATGGAGCTTCCAGGATACGGCACAGTGCCGACCGTACCCGGGATACGGCGGCTCGTCGTTGGCCGAGGTGCGTGACGTCGATGTCGACTTCGGCGTGGATCGCACGACCGGCGCGGCAGTGTCGTCGTCGCAGGAGATGGTCATCGGCGGCGGCGCTGTCGCTGCCATCATCGACGAGAACATGAATCAGCCGGCTAACCAGCTGGGTTCGCTCTTCTCCATCCACTCGGCGCCGGTGTTTGACCTGAGCGGCGGCGCCATCGCCGGGGCGCCGTCGCCGAAGCGGCCGGCCTCGTTGGCGGTGCAAACGACAGCGACGTCGACGCCGATCGTACCGCCGCATCTGCAGAGCCCGGAGGGCACCGTCAACGACGACGATGACAACGACAACCTGCTGACGATATCCAGCCTCACCGCTCGTCCGCTCATTGCGAAATCACGAGAGCTCAGGTCGGTGTAACTCGGGCGTGATATATGCTGGATGCATTGACATATGGTTGTTCCATCAGTTTCACAGCCGCAAGGATCGCGTTTCCTCCGGTTGCCTGTAGTCCTCATTACTGTGTCGTGAAGCGTGCCGTTAGACGAGGACACGCGTATTACGAATTTCTGCAAATGATCATACAAAATATTACCTTATTGTCGTCTCGGTGTCGATAGTAAGAGTAGAGTAACGAGAAAAATCGCGCGATTCGACTTTTTACGCGTTGTAATTGTAGCTTTCACTTATTAACAGGTGATCGTCGTGATTAGTTTTGTAATTCACAATTGAAATCGCATACTCGAATAAAGACCTCCGCCACAGATCCGCCAGGTGCACGGTCCCGAAGAGAAAGAAATCCCAGAGAAGCGACATCAGGAAACCGCGGAACACCACGTACGTGCCACTGGACGGCGGTTATGGCTGGGTGGTCGTGTTCGGCGCCTTCTTCGTGCAGTTCTGGGTCGCCGGCTTGGTCAAGTCCTACGGCGTGCTCTACGTCGAGGTCATGGAGACTTTCAAGGACTCGTCCGCTTCGGTGGCGTCCTGGATACCGGCGATTCTGACGTGCCTATGTCTGGCGCTCGGTGAGCATGCTGCATATATCAATAGTTAGTAGCATTCGAATCGTGCACGAAGGGATGTTCGAGGAGCATGCTGCTAGCGCTATTTAGCGCTAACACACCCTTGTTGTACATATAAAAAGCGACAGGGATAGAATGAAGCATTAATAACGTGCACCCTTGAATTTGCGAATCCGCATCGAACTCAATCGAAACTGTTTCGTTGCCGTGACCTCCGCTCGAGGCGGAATCGATCGATTCGAGGGTGAAAGTTGCCGGCGCGATGCTTGCGATCTGGTTTATTAATCGGTGCATGATGATGTGAACGTTTGTCGAAGTAGAATGAATAGTTCCCGACTCGTTTTCTTTCTTCTTTCCTAAATCAGATTCGAAATATAAATTACAAAATGCGAAGAAGATTGCTAAATGAAGAGATTTACGGAAATTAAGCTTCTTTCATAGAGGCGCAAAGAGAAGATACAATATAATATTATATATTTTTCGTTTAGTTTCAAGCAGATTTTATACTTTAACAGTTTTACAATTTGAGAGTCTCGGAGAGATATTTGATATTGAAAATTGGACACTTGCCAAAAACCTCCAATCAGTTATCGGACGCAATCGACTCGTACGTGTCAATTTATCGCTTTATCGAGGCGAACTAACGATCGACATTTCGCTTGCAGCTCCGGTGACAAGTATGCTCTGCCAGAAATACAGCTGTCGAACGGTGGTTTTCGTAGGTGGACTCTTTTGCGCCCTAGGACTTACAACTAGTTACTTCGCCACGCGATTGATACACCTCTTTTTTACATTTGGAGTGCTGACAGGTTGGTATAAGACTATTTTCAGCTAGAGTTGTGCCATAGATTTCAAGACTATGCGGATCATTCACGTATTTTTTACGTAATTAATAAAATAAAAATATTAAATTATGAGACAGTTAAATTATGAAACAATTATCGTAATTATTTTGGATATTAATTATAAGCCCAGACACCACATACTTCCAAAGAATGTCTTATGGATGTCCTGAAGACGTCCTCAAGAAGATCCCTTAGAAGATCTGTGCTGTCTGGATAAATATGATTTGAATATTAATTATAAATGTAACATTTAAAAGAGATGACACAATTACATGAAATTTTTGAAATTTTTATATGACAGATTGACAGATTCTCTCTATATAATTTACGTGTAAACGCTCAACCCTGTTTTCAATTACGTTACTTGTCGATTATTTATTTTACATTATCGCATTATTATTTCACATGATACGTCGACTAATTCTAATTTCTTTTTGAAAAAAAAAAAAATATTAAAAAGAATACTTTTCTGGCAGGTATCGGCGGCGGTCTGTCCACTACGCCGGGCATAATCCTAGTATCGCAGTACTTTGATAAGCATCGCGCTCTGGCGAACGGAATCTGCGTGTCCGGTACCGCCGCTGGTAGCTTCGTATTTCCGCTCCTCATCGAGCTGCTGGTGAAAGACTTCGGTTTTCACGGTACAATTTTGTTGTTGGGCGGCTGTATGTTGCACGTGTGCGTGAGTGCGACTCTGTACCGACCGTTGGACGAAAATTACGCGCCCGACGAGGAGGAGATCCAGCAGAGGGAAGTGAAGGAAGAGCAGGTAGAGTCAAGCTCATCTTTAAACGCGTGTACTATATGCTTGTTTCGTTAATCTTCAGTAACTTCGCGCCTCGACAGACTTGTGAATTCGAGAGTTAATCGATCGTTTTCGTTTTCATGATTGGGGCAAGTCGAAGCAGCAGAAGCTGGACCTGTTGTTCGCCAACGACCCGACCACTCGGCACAACATGCTGAACGAGCTATTTCATCAAAACGGCGGCGGTGTAGTGGCCGTTGAGCTGACCGACAGTGACGAAGAGAAAGACGTGATGGGTGAAGGATTGCGTATGAAACCGATTTCCAAGATCCGCAGTTCCAGCATCCTGCACAGTGTTGAAGACTTGTCGACGGACTCGACGTGCGTCTACAAAGCAGCTCGCTCATCGCTGAGGTCGTTGAAATCATCAGGAACAGCGGTGGCTCCTCCAGAACAGCAACCGGCACCACCACCGCCTCCATCGCCGCCTCCACCGATGTCATCGTCGTCGTTGACGCAAACTGCGTCGTCCATTGATGCATCCAAAGTCACCCTGATGCAGCGGCTGACGCGCTACATCGACTTGTCGCTGTTGAAGAATCCACAGTTCATCATGATGTGCTTCTCCGTCAGCCTCATGTCTACCGGCAGTCCATACATGCTGTATTATCTGCCGGCGTACGTACACGCCGCTGGTTACACCAAGTCGGAGGCGGGCTACCTGGTGGCAATCTCCGCTGCCCTCGACCTATGCGGCAGGCTTGGTCTCGGATGGCTATCCGATCTCAAACTGTTCGACCGGCGGAAAGGATATATCGGCAGGTGAGCGTGATTCTATCCATGCAGCACGTTCATGTAGACCCTAATGTTTCCCCTAACACTAAAAGCAATAGAAAAATTCAAGGCGCTCATGTTAAACATCCTGTATAAGCAAATTAAATATCAGATATAATTGCTGAAAATTATATTTATAATGCGAGTGACATATCAGACGTTTGACAGTGAACTCGATCATTTCTGTCGATACTTTCGTCAAGGAAAAGTCAAGAAGTCTAGATTGATCGATGCAGAGTACCTGATGAGAGATACTTTGCTTAATGATTTTTAATTAATTTATTTACTTAATTCTGTTTTATTACGAGCAGCGTAGTTGGTGCCGGTGTAGCGGTCCTCGCAATACCGATGGCTCACTCCTTCTACGTGTTGGCGTGTTCCGTTGGCATGTATGGACTGTGCTTGGGTTGTTGGTTCCTCCTAGTTCCCGTCCTGCTTGCCGACCAGTACGGAACCGACAAGATATCGTCCAGCTATGGTCTCGTGAGGATGTTCCAAAGCGTTGGCGCGATTTCTATTCCACCTCTCGCAGGTACGCTTTTAATTATAGGTAGCAGAACGGTACAATTACGTGTATTTAGTGTCACTATTTCTTCGCAAAAATATTTCTACAAAATTACTCTTACAATGTTATATTTTTTATAAAATTCATATACATATAAATATTTTCGTAATACAAAATTTATTGCTATTTATTATTAGTTTGTCCGTTGTTGTACGATATAGCGTGCTTGAAATGCATCTTCCTTGACGTTCTTCTATTCAAGATCCCGATTTAAATATAAATGAACGCACACAGTAGCGCATGGCTTTTACTGTGTAACATAAGAAAGAAAGATACGATCTCTCGCTTCTGACGTCATGATCCGTTATGGCTTCAGCGATGGGTGAAGAGCCTTAACTTTGTAACGCGATAGATAATAGGAAAGCGTGCGTCGGGCGACTTTCCGCAAAGGGCAACTCATGCACGTTATATACATCTATGTTATACATAACTGGGAAAGGCTGACGCTTCATCGCGTTATCAAGCGCACAGAAGAACGAGGGTACGCGTCGCAGCTTAGTTATTTATAAATTGCATTTTACAGTACTCTGGAACCACACCTTTCCTCAAGCAGATATGAGCTCTGAATTTTCAACATACTTTATATCTCAAAGGAGAGAACATGTATATCCAAACACAAGTTTACATAATTTACATAGTTTACATAATTCTACATAGAATATATATATATATATATATATATATATATATATATATATATATATATACATATATATAATTTCCTATAAATCTTAAAATTATATTCGTATATAGTGCATAAGTTTTTCAGAAAACTCTCAAGATTGTTTCTTACTATTCTTATGTGTATTTTATAATCAATACTGATCTTATTCTGCCGATTGTGCAATAACGCGATAATATATGTGTTCCAGGTTACTTGCGCGATGTAACCGGAAGTTACACTGTGTGTTTTCTGTGTATGGGCACGTGTATGGTAATAGGAGGTCTGCCTCTGCTGTTGGTCTTCAACGAGACGTCAAACTCGACAACAAAGCTGCCCGTAAACGCCGAGAATAACAATCGTCAGAGGGACACTACCATGAAAGAGTAAATTATTTTGAAAATGTGATCGTTAACGAAGAGTGATATAATCTAATGTGTAATAGGAAGATAATAAATCGCAACAGTTGTCACAAAACGCAACAATGCTTAACTAAACTTCCCCCAAAGTCGATTATCATCTCTTTGAATTGCGATAATATCAAATCTTTTGCTATCGAATAATTACATGTTAGTTATAAATTATACAATTAAATTATCTAATTTAATTAAACATAATAATAGTAGGAGAGGTAAAACATTCCAAAAATGTTTTTTTTTTATTATTATATGTATATATATTCTTATTTTTATTTGCTCGTAAAAAGCTTTTAAATTGAACAAAATTAATTTCTTCATAAAAAGAACAGTGCAACTTGAGGAATGTTTTACATAAAAAAAATTGTCAACTCGAGTTAATGAACTTCCATTCACAACAAGTAGAATGGCTTCTTTGCTTTAATCAGTGAGATTTTTTTATATCACATAAATTCGACTAAACGTCGATTAATAAAAAAAAAAATGCATTTAAAAGTTTGATTCGTTGTAATTGATAAAGTACTAATATGATAATAGTTTATATAAACTATGTAATAATTTTAAATGCATTTCTTTTAAAACACAGTCTTCTTAGCCAGTCATTGCCTTACAACTGCGAGAATTCATTACAATATTTGAGAACATCTTGAACGCGTGTAAAATTCCTCATTTATTTTCTTACACGCGCTTTTCCTGAAACATATTGAACACTTATAAAGTCAAATTTATGAACTGACTTCGCGTTTATTCTCTTACACATACTATTCTTCGCGCAACATAAATATGATATATTGCACGTTGTATGCTATTTACATCATATGTACAAAAAGTCTGGCTTCTAATGTAATTTTTAATATAAATGGATACTCTTAAAAAATATAAACAAAATTAATATGTACAAAGTATAAATTGGCCAAGGGACATGCGTCTATTTATGTTTCATGTGGGTTTCCAAGCCACCACTTTCATCTTATTGTTCAGCTCTTGTAAAATAAGTGAACATGTAAGCTGCTTTTCTGGCGATAACCCATTGATGCCTTCCATTTCATCGTCATCGTCGCCTATACCACTATTGCTGCCATTCTTGCCTTTTCCCTTTCCTTTCCGTTTCTTCTTCTTATTCAACTGCCGACAATCAATATCATTTCCAGCATCTGTAGTCCTCCTGATCTAAGATAACAGAGCAGCAAGCTTTTCAACATATATGAAATACTTTATAAAAAATTCTATTACTGTTTTGCATAAGTGTTATATTATTCAGACAAAATAAATGTAAATAGATGTATTTTTCAAAAGAAACAATATCACAACCTGTCAGAACTATAGCAGTCACAATTTATGACAAATTTGTTGTACGCAAGTGGAACTCATTAAACTGAACAAGAAATTTCTCTACTGTTTAGCAAACCATATAAAATTTTTGAGTTATCAATTAATGAAAATTGATGAACGGCCACACATGATATAGTAGATGAATTGTAGTGGCAACGTCTGTCATATATTTGTACATTAGCTCAAACTAATCAAAACAAAGGATAATAATCAAAGGAACAAAATATCCTCTAACATTTTGCAAAACACCATGTAGATTTTGTTATTAATTAAAGATATTTTGTAAATTGTTGTACATAATAATGCACTAAACTTCTTTAATTAATAATGAAGAATCTACAAGGTTACTTACAAAGTGGTACAGAACTTTTTAGTTCAGTTTGACTTAATATACTTTGCTCTTTATATATACATTTCTTCTCTTAAATATAGTTTTGGATATATTACTTTGGCACTTTTTTTCGTCTGCTTATCGTACTCCAAAGCATCATAATAATTTGGTTTTTCACGTTTAATTCGATTTGTTCGCCTTGTCTTCATCACACCACTGTCAGGACTAGGTGGACTCTTTATGGAATTACGTCTTGCATTGAAGAAAGAGTGTCCGCAAGGACAGGCTTTACAGGCAACGGGTACCTTATAAAGAAAATAATCAAATTTATTAATAATATATATAATTAAACTTAACATATTATAATATGATAAAACAGTAAAGAATATCTCAGATATTCATACATTAATTTATTCATACATTAATTTATTCATATATTAATTTTAATCTTTAAACATAAACTTAATTTAGATTACATTAATACTGAACATTTTTTTCTTTCAACTATCCAAATTTCAAGATTAATTTCTCTCTTATGTACATATACATGTTTCATCAATTATATGTAATATTTTTTTTCTGAGTAACTTAATTTTTTGAAGCTTTTTATTTTCAAAAAATATTCGTGTTTTAAGCACAAAATATATTTAAGTTAATTTTTTTGTAAAATAAAAGAAATTTATTCACGAAAGCCTAAGCATTGTAACACATAAATAATGTATAACTTTATATGCATATGAATCATTCATTTGTATAAATAGTATAAATGTATGTAAAATATATGACAAAACATGTTTAAATACCTGCTGCTCACACTTGGGACATCCTTTGCTGATCGTTTTGGTCTTTGCCATATTAGAAGTAGCCGTATTTCAACAATATAGAGATTATTTCGAACGATTTTCGATTTGAAGATAAAAGATGTGATAAATCACAGTAGACATAACAGAAATTATTTGGCTTGTTTCTCGATGCACACTCAGCGCCACCAACTAGATAAATATATGCTGCATTCTAATAGGATATACTTGGTCTGTTCTTTTCAGCTGCACTGCTGAACTGGTGCAATAAGTTAAAGTGAGACAAGTATATGTTTTCTCACTTTAACTTATTACATCAGTTCAACAGTACAGCTGAAAAGAACAGACCAACTTTCTCATGTACTATCCTGACAATAGAAAGTGCATCCATTACTACACCGTTCATTGAACTCTTACATCTGATTGGGATATATTTTTAGATCTAAAAGAATATGCCAATCATATACAAGAATTTACTGAGCGCTAATACTGGATGCACCTAAAGCTCGTATCAGACTACGGAAATTGAAATTTAGCCAATCAGAGCAAAATTCACTAAGCTCATTGTTTGGTGAGCTTAGTGCAAGTGGAACTACATTCCCTACGTCCATTTTCAGACGCTGCCGGTAAAGGGTCGATTTGTTGCGTGTCCGTTCTACACCCATTTTCTGACGATTCATGTCTGTACTAAGCGCATAATTGAGTGGTTAAGAACATGGGCAGTCTATGTTTTCAATCACGCAATTATGCACTTAGCATGGACACGAATCGCCAGAAAATGGGCGTAGAATAGATACGCAACAAATCGACACTTTACCGGCAGCGTCTGAAAATGGACGTAGGGAACATATTCCACCTAAAAAATGGGTGCAGATGACGCATCGAACAGCGTGAAAATCAGTGTCGACCAAAACGTATGGCATGGCCGCTCTCAGATTTCTCTCTGATAAACAGCATCTTTTTTAGTGGTCAACGGACTAGATCCACGACCAGCTTAACAACAGCATCTGTGACTGCGATATTCATTGGCAGTACTGACAACGCGGTAGCTAATTAACGCTGTTTTTCCATAAAAGCTGAAATTTTATTAGCTACCGCGTCGTTTTTGCCGCATAGCAGGCATTTCCGCATTCTGGGGCCCGATTCTTGCGTATGCGATGCATGCGAAAATGTACAGTATACATAACATGAACTATACATTTTCGCATGCCATCAAGAATCAAGTCCCTGTATGCAGGAGCTATAAAGTCCGGTCTATATAATTAACAGAATGCAACAGCCTGTGCATGCAATGCAATTAGGAATGTCAGTGATCATCTCTTACGTTTCTTGTCGCGTTGCATTCTGAATTCACGTAAAAATTCATGTAAAAAAAACGGGAAGCAAAGAACACTGTAGATAAAATCTAAGAATCTAACTTTTAGAACTCTAATATTTCATTATGGAATATCGCAAAGAAACATAATACTGTTTTATCGTAGTCTTTATTTAATTAAATAAAAAGTTAGAAGAAAAATCCAAGTATTTTTCCTCCCAGATGTTTTCTTCTGGCTTCTTCATGATCCATGATTCCTCCACTAGTAGTCAGCACGACAAAACTAAAAATACATTGCAAACTTTAGTTGAATTTACAGGTTAAAATACACAAGAAATTACAGTAAAAACTATAAATGACTAAAGATACATTAACAGTAGACTTTTATAACAAGTTTGTTCTTTTTATCTCTAAACTATACAATTTCATAAATATTATATAAAAATTTTTCATTTCATTTTTTTCTGTTTATATAATGAATATTATACCCAAATTGTCGAGAAGGGAGAAGATTGTTGGTCCATTTCTCAATGTCATTGATGGGCACATCAAATCTAGGCGAAATAACACCACATTTGTTTAACCTTCCTGTAAGGTTCACCACCACTTTCCCACTGCGATGATCATCAACGATCTCGAATTCTCCGATGTAACCTGAGTATGGTAAAAATATTTTCTTGAAAATTCAAAAGCAATTCAGAAGCAAAATAATTCAAAAAGCAAATTTAAGCAGCATATTTTAAGGACACTTTAATTCAAAATTGGATTACATTAGAATATTTAAACATTTTTAAAAGATTGTGAAAGGCATAATACTTTGATTTCAACAAGAAAACAAATCAATGGTAATATAATTGATGTGCAACAATTCTGTATATCACAATATGAGGTATGCTAAGTACAATACTTACCATGCTTCATCATAACAGTCAGGAATTTGACGATTACTTTGGAGCAGGGTCGTAATAACACCTGCCGTTTGCCGCGTTTCTCGGCATTATTAATGGATTTCAGAGCATCACTGAGCACATTCATACGCACCATGGCTGAAAATTAATTTCATAAGTATCAGATACATATATATTCATATCTATAGTTGTGGAATGTTATTTCATCAGTTCTTATAAAAATTAAAATAATAGTATCTTATAAAAATTCAGATTTCAGAACATTTTGCGAACATTTATGAACTTATTATTGCAGATATTATTTTACTAATTTTTCTATAGTAAACCTTAACCTAATTTTCGACAAGACTAGAGCGGATACATAATTATAATTACTTGATTATTTTACGTTGCATAAAAGTAAGATGTAACAATTAAGGTATTATAAATGTTGTACTTTTGCTCATGCAAAGCACTTATTGTTTTACTGAGACAAAGAACAGCAATCACAACGATGGAACGTTCACACCGGTCACTTCACACGTGAATATCTCACGAGTACTTCACGCAAACTACAAAATACAATTGCTCGGACATATGAAGGAATTTAAAACATTACTCATACCGTCGATTAAAACTCGATGATTTTTATGAAGAAAGATTACCTGCGATTCGTAATTTGTTTACTACGGCATCAACACGCTTGAACCACTCAACACGAAAAGGAACGTGAATTCTCAACGCTACTACAGAGACATCATCGGACCAATCAGTGTCAGCTGTAGAAGTGTTCTTTCTAGGTACAATTTGTCACACTTTCTGCACTTGAAATAAATGATGCATATTAAACAATAATAGATTAAAAAATAATTTAAGTTCATTTTACGTGTCGCTGAATCACATTATTAAAAAATGAAAAAGTATTCTGATTTGTATCGTATCGTAAGTCTTAAAGATATGCACAAATATGTTCAATTTATCGTAAAAAATCATATTACATCATTTTAGATCATATTTATCATCTATAGATTACGACAGTCATCTTTAGGTGATATTTAGCCAATGAAACGATTTTGTCTCTTGTGGAAAATAATTTGTCATAAAATTGCGTTTCTATGCGTAGAAACTATTAAATATAAGAACTTTCAATGGTTTATTCTTCTTAGCTGAACTGTCTAAACTGATACATATTAGTGCAATAATAAACAAATATATTTTGTTTTGCTCTAACTTATTGCATCAGTGCGCACCAGTTTAGTCAGCTAAAAAGAACAGACTTTATAAATATCGCCTAAAGTGTATGTACACTTCAGGATTATATATATATTATTGATAAAAAATCTAAATTTAATATAGGGTTATGGCTCCTGCACACAGGACGCGGTAATGCTTGCCGCGCGGCGGAAGTCCGCGCGACAGCCAATCAATATGTTATTTTTCCGTAAGAGCTAGAAGGTTATTACGGAAAGCATATTGATTGACTGTCGCGCGAACTTCCGCCGCGCGGCAAGCATTACCGCGTTCTGTATGCAGGAGCCATTACAGCCATATTCTTACAGAAATTGTAGACGAGCTTTTAAGCCCGTATCAGACTAAGAATTAAGATTGAGATTAAATTGAAAATTGGCCAATTAGAGCAAAGTTCACCAAATTTGAGCTTAGTGAATTTTGCTCTGATTGGCTAAATTTCAATTCAATCTCAATCCTAATCTGTAGTCTGATACGGGCTTTAGGGTCGTTCTACATTAGTCACAAATGTCAAAGTCGCAAGAAAATTGACTAATCACAGATTAAGTTTACATAGCAACTTAAAACCGGTTTAGTAACTATCGTAGTTAGTGAACTCTTGAATCTGATTGGAGTATATTTTTAGATGTAAAAGAAGGAAATGAATAATTCTTTTTATCGGTTGGTTGTGTCCAATCGTATCGTGGTCAATCGGGTTCCACCCGTAAAAGAATATACCAATCGGATGCGAGAGTTTACTAAATACGGTTGTTACTAAACCGGTTTTAAGCTGTCGTGTAAACTTAGTCGATTTCTTTTGCGATCAAAGGGTAATCGACTATGAGGGTGCCATTACATGAAGCGCGGAAACGCGGAAACGCGGAAGACAAAATCTTAGATCCGCTACGCGAGATATATTTTGAGCGGAAAAGCGGTATGGGGAATTATAAAATATTAATTTTTAACGGTATTTATTAATTAAAATGCTTGTATCCAATAGATAAGCTAAAAAGATAAACATATTAGTAAAAATTGCAGTAAATTAAATTAATACAATTTAAAAAAATGAATACAGATGTTTATTTGTCATCAAACCGTTCCGCCTTTCCGCGCAAATTGTGCTCCATGGGTGCGTTCCGTTTCCACGCATGATGCGCAAGAAACGCAGCGTTAGAGTGACAGAGATACGAAAGTAAGATAAAATGAGAGGGAGAGCATTCGGGTGAGGTTCTCGAACCTAGGTTAGATTAGTTCTCGAACGCATGAGATCGCATGGACTGCACTATCTCGGAGCTGAGGCAGTTCATGCGTTCGAGAACTAATCTAACCTAGGTTCGAGAACCTCACCCGAATGCTCTCCCTCTCATTTTATCTTACTTTCGTATCTCTGTCACTCTAACGCTGCGCTTCATGCGCATTATGCGTGGAAACGGAACGCAGCCATGTAATATAAGGAGAAATAAAGTCGCGGAACAAGCGTGAAAAAATCCATTGTCACAAGTTGTCACAAGTTATCATAAGTTGTTCAACCTAACCGCCGTTACATTAAAATATGTTCAAACACGTTCGGACCTGATATTTTTTTGGAATTCATACCTTGGTACCTTGGATAAAAAGACAATAGAGAAAAGTTTTGGGCCTTCCGCTTTTTCAACGTACGGGAAGAAATGACTCAATTCGCGGAACGCGAAAATCTAGTAAGATTTTGTTTTCCCGTTGTTCTTCGCGTTTCCGCGTTTCCGCGCTTCATGTAATGGCACTCTGATTGGTCAATTTCCTTACAACCTTGCGATTTGCGTTTTGCGACTAATGTAAAACGACTTTTACAGAAATAACGAATCTAAACAAATCTAGCATATGTGCACTTTAGGATTATATATGTACTGTTGGTAAGAAAACTAAGTTTATTATTGTTCCAAAAATTATATTTTAACTCTCTAGTATTATAAGTTATGTCTTTTTCTATTTTGCTGATTATATCGTTTTTATATACAACAAAGTGACATGGAATGTTACTTCACGTGTTAGAATTGTTTACATACTCTTCTGAGTCAAGTTATAGAGTATATATTTAAATATTCTCATTTGCACGACACCGTTTTTCTGGTATTTAGAGTAAACTTCGAGAAATTAAAATATTCTCTCAGATTTAATATATCTAGAGCAACTGTTAAAAATAATTTTATTTTGAGGTTAGAAAATTCATTACATGGCAGTTTAGTTAAAATAGTAAGTTCTACGTTTTGTATACTGTTGTTATATCTATTGTAGAATGAAGAAAAAATGGCTCACTATGATGAATTTCAAGCTGTTGTGCTTGCTGGTGGGAAAGGTTCTCGTATGACAGAACTTACAGAAGGTCAACCCAAATGTCTGCTTCCAATTGGAAATGTTCCAATGGTTTGGTACCCCTTGCAAATTCTTGAACGTTTTGGATTTAAGGAAGCAATTGTTATTGTTTCTGAGACAGCAAAGTCTGATGTGTCATTGTCATTAGATAAATTGTGTCTAAAAATCAAGTTGGAGATTGTAGGAATTCCAGAAGCTGAGGATCTTGGTACAGCTGACTCCATTAGACACATCCATGAAAAGATATACACAGATTTTGTGGTAATATCTTGTGATTTGATCACAGATATTGATCTATCAGATATCATAAATTTGTATAGAACACACAAAGCTAGCATAACTGCTTTGATGTTACCAGCCCCAAAAATACCAGATGACTTTGTAACTCCAGGACCAAAAATTAAACACAAACCAGAAACAGATCTGATTTGTATCAATGAGTATACAAAACGATTGATTTTGTTAGCTTCTGCTTCTGATTTTGAAGAAACTATGAATTTCTCACAGAGACTTCTTAGGCGAGATACTGATTTTACTGTTCATTCTAAACTATTGGATGCCCACTTATATGTCATTAGTAAATGGGTGTTGGATTTCTTGGTATATAATAAGTGAGTAATTTTATTATTGAAATAAAAAGAAGTTTTAAACTGAACCTTAATCATATGTAAAAATATATTGTAGGACCTTTAGCACATTGAAAGGTGAATTGTTGCCTTATATCATTAGTAAGCAATTATTTAAGCCTAAACAGTCTATAGATGACAAGAATACTTCACTAGTGCAAGTGGATTTAAAGCAAGATATCTTTCGCTTTGTAACCAAGAGACTTCTAGATGATACAATAACAAAGTTGTCAGCTTTTAATGATCATAATACTGACTTGGAAGAAGCATATTTTGCAGACATAATAAGATGTTATGCTTATGTACCAAATAAAAAAATTGGTCTTAGAGCAAACACTGTGCAAATGTATCATCTTGCTAATGCTAAGGTTAATATATCATCTCTAGTAAAAAATTTTGTAACACAAAAAAAAAGTATATATATAATTAATGTATCTATAATTATATATAACATTTATTATGTAAGCAAATATCAAAAAAGGTAATCTTCTCTAAAAAAAAAATAATTAAAATATAGATATCAGAATGGTGGAATACTGAAAATAACAATCGGTTACTGCTTTTGCCAAATGTTTCGAGCACAGCAACTGTACATAGTACACAAGTGCAGGAATGCCGTATAGACAATAATTCGCATATTCACGAGAAAACGTCGCTAAAACATAGTTATATTGGACCCAATAGCGTGGTGGAAACAAAAACGAGGATATCTCATAGTGTGATAATGGGAAATGTGACTATTAAACAAAGGTGAGTTTGGAATAATAAAAGTATTACTGTTGAGATTTTACATTAAGTGTGCATTTATGATTACAGGTGCGTTATTCACAACTGCATATTGTGTAATGGTTGTGTTATTGAGGAAGGCACTGAATTAAAAGATTGCTTAGTTGGAGCTCATCATGTTATAACATCTGGTAGTCAACATTCTCGCGAAGTACTTACGGACGCCGACAAACTCATAGAAATTTAATCACTTCTAGTCATATATTTTTTTTTAATTTGATACAACATATTAAACGGTTAGACCACCTTGGACATGTCAAAATCATTGTAATATTCGGAAGTTTTTTTTTTTAATATAACAATAAATATAAAATTAAAAATGAGGTATTTTTATTAAACTCTTTAAAAAAGTATATATATTTGAAAAAATTTTTTTAAATAAAATGGTGCTGAAGTCACAAAACACTGGAAGCCTTTTTTTTTAATCTCAGTAGTGTTTAGTCTTATGGCTACGCACACACAGAATTAAACCTAAAACAAAAAATAAATTTTTATTATTTAGATACTAGAAACTGAAGAAATATATATGGATATTTAGAAATGTTCATTTTTGTGAAAATAGTAAAACACTTGGAAAAGATTTAATTTTCTTACCTAAAAGTTTCGTGCAAAAATGTTAATTGCAAAAAAGTTCTTAATATATCACAAAATCCATATGTACTTCTCTAGATTATTTATAAAAGATTTCCTGAAAGTTTCAAATGAATCAGTTAAGAATTGTAGGATTTATGTTGAACACTGACTAAAAAAAAACTGCTTTGAGAAAAACGCACATTTAAAATTTTTCGCGCGTACCCTTATTTTATAAATAAAATTAAAAAAAGATAAGTTTACTTAACGATTCCTGCGTTATACAGCCTAATCTAAACCTAAGACCTGGTTATATCAACATTATTTTTATTTTAAGTAAGACAAATATATATCTGTCTTTATTTATTTAGAAAGAAAGATAAAGGTAGACACATGTTTAAAAGAGAGTCTCGTTTAAAACTAAAATAATGTTGCAACCAAGTCTAAATTGATAATCTTCAAATAAGTTTCAAAAGTGTATTTCAAGTTTGGCGCGTTATGTGTTTAATATTGGTGTTTTAGGTCTTCAGAAGGTGGCGCCTTAGATCTTCAGAATGAATGCGTTGATACTTCTAGAATCTAGCATCTGTGGGGCCAACACAAAACGCTGAACCTGGTCTCTTTCTCTGAAGTGCGTTTCGTGTAAAATGGTATGTATTTAGATAATTCGAATCGTTCTATTTCGCAGCGATCTTAATATTCGACCGATTTATTGATTCAGAAATAATGTTCTAAATTTTCGCGGAACAAGTATAACCGAATAGTATCCAGTGGAAGAAACGTAGATTTGCACAATCCTTACAAAATATATGCGCGCAGGTTATGATAAATGTTTATATATTAACACGTTGAAGTTACTTGCTACTTTGTAGATTATATTTAATTTCTGTACAATTACTATCATATATGGATACAGTCTAGGTCAATATCTTATTAGCATTATGCGACTTTCTTTTTAATTGAAATCACTGAGTCAGTTCATCAGATAATAGGTTATACTCATCATGCTGTTTTTCAATGTTCATAGACGAAAGGCACATCAAGTTTCGGTAAACGACGTAATAAGACACACACGTTGTGTAGAAGATGTGGCAATAGCTCTTACCACATACAAAAGTCGCAATGTGCACAGTGTGGATATCCCAAGAAGAAGATGCGTTCATGTAAGTTGTTATTATGTACTGCTATGTAAAATACGTGGCATTTTTTACGTTTATTCGAATATTGCAGAGACAAATTGTGATCAATTTTAATTCAATTAATATTTTATAATCTTATAGATAACTGGTCGGTCAAAGCCAAGAGGAGGAAGACTACTGGCACTGGCCGCATGCGCCGCTTGAAGATTGTTCGCCGCAAGTTCAAGTAAGATCAGTTAAAATTATATTTTAAATTCATACTCTATAAATAGTAGAATAGCTGCAATTAATAAACAATATTAAAATAATGGAAAAGTCAGATTTCAAGACTAATTCTTTTATATTTTTTGTATATATTGAGTGAAATAATTGTTGTATTTTTTATCTACGCTCATGAATATTATGCATAGACAATGATAATTATGTGTATATTTACAGAAATGGGTTCAGAGAAGGCGTGCCAAAACCTAAAGCTGTTGCGGCAAAGTAAAACATTATTGTGTAATTAAGATATACAATTCTGATTACTAATAAAAATAAAAAAATCCACATACTATGATATTGTGTCAATGAGAATTTCTTGTAACTTTATGGGTTATTACATACATTATTGATCATATTTTCCTATAAAATTAAAAATTTATATTTATAGTAACTGCTACATCTCTCATTACTCTTACATTTTTCATTATTATTCAATCTATTATACTATTTGAACTTTTAATCTCAGCATTCAGCAAAAATAAAGTTGCAATAAATTCTTGTTGAACTAATAATGTATTTAAATAGAAGTACTTTATGTAAGTAATTTTAAACAATATTTCGTGGAGGAATTTGCGTTATAAACATGTGAGATCAGCTTCCGATAAAGCCACGTATTATTCCTGTGTATTATTATCCTATCTGTCAAGGAAATTTGAAAAAAATCACGATAGGAAAGATAAGAGACGTATTGTTCGCACTGCGCAACGGCGGAACATTTGATTGTCGCGGCATCCCCCATATATTTAGCGAGCTTTCGGCTTCGCTAAACAGTAACTTGCGACTCGATGCACGATGATAACACGCACAAACGGTGTAGTTACATCGTGCGTTTAGGTGTTCATCGCACTCGAGGAACATCGAACTTTTAGTTCGAAAGTTATGTCACGTAACAACATCCAATTGACGTACCGTCTTCACAAGCACCGAAGAATCAAGAATCACTCGATCAAATAGCAGTAAATAACGCGAGAGAAAAATTTCTATACACTTTAAGCAATTTGTTATTTATTGCGATATCACGCATTTTAGTAAATATTTTGTATTTACTGTTTGAACGTGGCTGAATCGAATTACAAATTATTTCTGTAACTTTCTTTCTAAAAAATGAGTCTTCTGCGCCAACTGTTATTTGGTAAGTGTGCGTTTGTTTCACTTCAAGACTAAGATATATCATTTTCATGCAGTTTTCTCAATTCGTAGTTCTATAATCATGTATATATTTCCAGGCAAATACTTGCTTATCACTAATACCGTGAGTTGCGGCTTGATGATGGCAGCGGGCGATGCAATTCAGCAGCGTAATGAGCATTGGAGGAAACATTGTTCTCGAAAATATTTCTTGGGTAGCGTTATAGCAGCGTCGTCAGAGGAAGACGAGGAAATGACAGCAATTCCTAGCAATCCCGTGTACGGGCATGATTACATGAGGACCAGGAACATGACAGTCGTAGGACTGCTACAAGGTCCGTTTCACCATTGGTTCTACATGTTCTTGGATAGGGTGTTTCCAGGTAAAAGCGCGAAGGCGATCGTCAAGAAAACGCTTCTCGACCAGACGATCGCGAGTCCCACGTGTCTGGCGATATTTTTCGTCGGTCTCGGAGTTATGGAGCATCATAGGATCGAGGAGATTTGGAAGGAGTTAAAAATGAAATTCTGTACCACATGGAAAGTACGTGAGAGAGACAGTTCTACATTGACGCGTATTTAAGTAACGATAAAAGAGCGCATACCTATATAATTTGTAAATTATTAATACAAATCCGGAAGAACGGCAAAAAGTCTCTTGCTATTTCTCTTGCAGCATATGTAAGTGATTTGTTGAAATTTGTATTGTTAGGTTGATTGTTGCTTCTGGCCTCCTACACAGTGCATTAATTTCTTGTTTGTGCCGTTGCACTATCGAGTACTTTACACGAATGCTATGACCATGATCTACGATATTTTTCTGTCACATATGAAATATGTAAGTCCCACGCGTGTATACCTGTTTTCGTACGTCATACTATCCAAAGTCAAAGCGAATACGTTAAGTTGCCAAAAATGGATCGTTACGAAGTCACCGCTTTATCCTTTATTTTCAGGATGCTCACTTTGAGTGATGTGGCAAGAAATCTCACGACTAATCAAGATAAAATAACGAAATAAATAAGCCATAATCGCGCTGAGCACACGCATTGTATGTATATTATTTACGAATTACGCGCGGGAACGCGCAATAAAACGCTATCAAAGGAAATTTCCGAGCAAGACTATTTTCCGACATTCTCACTACCAATCCGGTACCTGTTTGTTCCGTTCCTATGCGACTTCTGCTGCAAGATAAATCGTGAGTAATCATTCCTAGCAAAAAAGCTACCGATAGCAATAAATGCACGGATGTAATCAAATATTGTTGACTTGCTGTTTATCGTAATAGTAATACCATATCGCGGTGATTTAACTTGAGGACATTCAGTTGTTCAAAATCAATAGACCACATTCCTGCATTTGACTGATCTTGGACTTCCCGAGCGCATCAAAATTTGGCTTTTATTTTCGACTTCGTCGATCGCAACTATCACATTAAAAGGATCCTGTGAAATCCTCGCGTTTGCTTCTCCATTTACTCGAACGAGATTGTAAAAGCGGGCCGTCCTACACCACGACGTTATTAATTTATGTCCGGATAAATCTGGCGCAGCCAGTTTCGGAAGTTTGTACGCGCGATTGAATCGCTATTTGTGCGGCGAGTTTGTTAGGAAATAGAACGCCAAAACTTTGCGATCGGTAAATTGGCTCGTGGACACGCGACGTTCGATGCATATCCCGAAACAATCCGCGGTAGTTGCCTTATCGCGCACAATAATCTCTCATCGAGTTTATTTATCGGCTCGACAGCTTTTGTTTGGCGTTCGGCGACGGCGGGATTACGCAGTCTCTTCTAACCAGTCAGACGCCATCGCGCAAACACGATTAACGGACATAAATACAAACAATAAATTAATCGTTGCACAACCACGATATTTTTGCATACGAACCGACGAGCATCTCACACGTGACGTATACAACTTGATAACAACAAAGCACGTGTTGTTATACGTATGTACAACACGATCCGAAATAATATTGGTAAATATGATTCGCGAAATATTCATTATAATGAAGTTCTAAGGAATATTTTAGGATAAGTTAGGCTCAGATAATTCTTCAGATATTCATTTTTCTAATTCTTTAGGTATTCTTTAAAATAAATTTTCTATAAACTTCTATTTATCTCTGTGCTATCTGAGAAATAATCTAAAATTTTCAAGTAAAATCAAGTAAAATCAGCGCTGTGATATTTACGAATAGAGTTTCTGCTAGAAAATGTATAATACATTTTATATATAAAAAATTTTATAAAGTATACATTTGTTGTTTTCATAAGTAATTCAAAACGAATACTTTAGGAAGTTGTTAGAAATTCCAATTATGGTGAATATAATTTTTTTAGTCATTCCTAAAATATACTCTTACGAATTCTTAAAGAAGTACCGTTCAAGAAAGAAGAATACTTCGGGAATACTTTAGGAATTTATTGTGTTATCTGGGTTATCTATAAAAATTCTGCAATCGGATCTGCCTTTATATTGCAGCAGAATTACTTCTACAGTATTTTTTTATATTTTTAATGGAAAGTCACAATATATGTGCTTTATGTAAACATTCTTATCGGAGTACCTTGAAAGACTAAAGAATTAAATTCGTGCAAACAGAACAAGATAGTAACGACGATACATTAACAATAATGATATCAATGATAATTTGCGAGTACAGGAATAAGCATGGATAGTGGTCCACTTCACACACGTGTATTTTGGAGTAGGATTCTCGCTTGCATGACGTTGCGCTATAGTCAGCTGACGTTCGCATAATAATGCAATGTAACCTGTTGCGCGTATCAAATCGGAAAGAACGTGCTTTGCAAGTAACGCCTGTTTGTCGCATCCGAATCATCCGGTCGTCCGTTTCTTCCGATATCTTATCCTCATCGATAAGACGACCTTAAAACGGCGAGAGCCTTCGAATCGCGATTCGCGCACCGGCGATTCGCGCGCGCGCGTCCTTATTCAAATTTTCCCGGTCCGGTCGCGGCCCGATTCCGGCGCGTTCCGTGCGGCAGGAACACGCGGAACACGGAGCGCGCCCCCGGCGATTTACAATCATAAACTGCGAGGTTCTCTTTGTATGTACACTATGTGTGTATATACTTATCGCGGGAGCATGGTTTTATTATGATTTTTGAGCGCCAGGTGGCCGCGTTTTTGTTGTCGATTTGTCGGCGGTGCGGCACGGCTGCCCCAGCGCCATTACATCGATAAATGTCACCGCAACTGTCCGCGTAAACGCCGCCGTTGAGCGTCAAGCACCGATCATCAGTGGAGAGTGCCGAGTGTTATTTTCTCCCCGGCGAGAAGGAGAGAAAGAGACGAGCGTGATCGCACGTCGACCTTTCGGCAGAACGCCGCGCGCAGACAAGAGCGATGTCAACCAAGCGGAAAAACACGAGCGGCAAGAAGAGCCGTGCCAAGCCGCGCAAGGTCGAGTACGACGAGGAGGACATTTCCAGCGAGCACGATTCGGAGGTCGACGAGGCCGGTTCCAACGCCGACGGCGAGGACGCCGTTGAGGATGCGCTCGCGGACGTCTCGAATATGCCCGAGTTACCGGCACCGGAGGTGATCCCTCGCTTTTCCCTTAAATATACGCGGCATGCACTCGTTATCGCGACGCAGCGTGTGTCTCCTTGCGTTATACTGATGTTTGCGATGGTATCCTTTGAAAGAAAAATTACAGTGCTTAAAACGAAACTCGGGAACCAGGTTATGCATATTAGATCTCCTTGCTAGTATTTGTGAATTGCATTACTTTATAATTATTATTCGATAATCATAAATTATTTACATTGTAAACTATGCACTTCTACTTGTAATATAGGCAGGAGACAGATTTTAGATTAATTAGCACAAGCAATATTGATGCAATTTATCATTGATAAATATATGAATGTAAAACTGATTACACATATCCTTCTTGGTAAGCTCTGTTTACTTGTTAATATAAAACTTATATTACTATTTCTTTTTATGATAACGCATCAGATTGGATATTCTAGATGCAATAAGTGGCAGTGATGCTTGTTTTATTTTAGGGTGGCTGGGGCAAGCCTGGAACATTACTCATGTGTGGCCTTACTAATTGGGAAATGGCTGGTCGTAAAGCACCGCCTAAAGGGGTAAAGGCAAATGTAGGACGTAGCCTATGGACACCGCACACCTTTAAAAATTTGAACAATGCCAGAGTACGTTTGATCGCATCTGGACCTTCTGCCTCCCATAACATTATTGTTACAGAGGACAATAGATGCCTGGCTTTTGGCAAAAATGATAAAGGTAACTAAAGAGAAGGTGTGAACAATATATTTTTCTATGTAATAACTTAAAAAAGATGAGCACTTTTGCAAATCCGTACATTTTATCTTGGTACAGGATTGTTTAATATTACTATAAAATAAAGTGAGCATGGCTAAGGTATTTGTAAATCAAGTTCTTGGTCATGTTGAAGTTGAAGTTTAATAAAATATATTCAATACTATAAAACAAAAAATCTTTCTAATAATAAATTAGTTGATATCTATAAGAATGTTTCTTTAGATTCATCTATAGCAGGGAAATTTTTTAATATAGGAGAGAGAATTCAACTTTGACATGTGTTTTAATACTTAAGTATATATAAATTTGTAAAAGTTTTAGTTTATTTTAATTCTATCATTATCATAACAATATTGTTTGAATTGTATAATTTTTACAGGTCAATTGGGTGTTGGAGACTCAAAGCGTCGTGATGAACCCACCGAAGTCGAAGCCTTAAAGGGGCACACAGTCATAGGAGCATCGTGTGGCCGCAATCATACTCTATTTTTAACGAGCCGAGGTATAGTTTTCGCTGCTGGCGACAATAAACTGGGCCAATGTGGAGTCGGAAAATCGGACGCCTGTATCGTTACTGCCACCAAAGTGAAATATTCAGGACCGCCGATAGTGAAGGTAGGATGCGGTGCTGAGTTCTCCATGATTTTGGACATCAAAGGTGGCCTGCACTCGTTCGGATGTCCGGAGTACGGCGCTCTAGGCCACAACACCGACGGCAAGTACTTCATCACGAACACGAAGATGGCATTTCACTACGAGAAAGTGCCTAAGAGGATCGTCTTGTATGTCGAGAGGACTAAGGATGGTCACGTGACACCGTTGGACCGCGTTGAGATAACAGATTTCAGCTGTGGCCATCACCATACGGTTGCGATTGACAGCAAGAACCGCGCATTCTCATGGGGATTCGGTGGAGTGGGCCGTCTCGGGCATAACGAGCAACGCGACGAACTGGTGCCGCGTCTGATCAAATTCTTGGAGCCACCCAGCCGTGGTGTCAGAGCGGTGCACTGTGGCAGCACATACAGCATTGCCATTAACGTGCACGGCTTTGCCATGATGTTTGGTCAAACGAAGCGCACGGGTGAAGCCAACATGTACCCCAAACCCATTCAGGATCTGTCTGGCTGGGAGATCCGTTGCGTCGGTTGTTCACAGACAAGCGTAGTGGTTGCGGCTGACGATTCCGTTATCGCCTGGGGCGCCAGTCCTACGTTTGGAGAATTGGTAAGATATGAATGTTTCAGATACGAATGTGATGGCAATGTCTGCGATGTCGTGTGCTTGTACATTCAAATTGAACAAAAAAGTCCTCTACCATTTTGCAAAAGATCACGTAGAATTGTAATTATTAAAGAAGTTTAGTGCATGATAGTGCGTGATAATGTTTACGTGTTTAGAGAAAGAAATAAGAACTCGCAAACGAAGATATCAATCAAAAAATAGGAAAAAGGGCAATTCGAGTTCAAGCACAGGACAAAAAAATGTAGAATTGAGAACAAATTCCAAAGCCAACAAAAACTCGTTGCGAGGAATCACAATAGAATCGACAATATAATGCCAACGTTTGTTTACCGACGCCAATGCTAAATCCAGAGGAATATTAGTAAATAGAGAGATAGCCTCAAGAGAAACCAATTTAAGATGTTCCTCGAAATGTTTAAATGCAATTGGGATCATGTCAAAGTTTTACATGAGGAATGCTTTTACTTAAAACGTCTGATCTCAGAAATGATTTTCATCAAATTTCAGAAGCAAGGTCTTAACTCACAAAAGGATACTGAATATTTGGGCACCAGATACTGCGGCTTGTTATGAAAATAAACTTTGTTTTGGTTTCTTTCTCTTCCACAAGTCGTTTCCGCATTGTTAATGCTAGGCATATAAATTTGTAATTATTTGTATTTCGAAGACGTGGCGATGTTATCGTTGACAGGATCGGTTTACTTTTAGCTGAACTCAACAAAGGTATTTTATATTGTCAGTTTTAATTATTTATTATATTTCAATTTTACTTATTTTTATTTTATTTTATATGTTTTTTATAGTTATGACGGCTACTTCTCAATATTAATTTATTACTTAATATTATTTCGGTAACGGTCTTGTCGGCTTTAATATTGCGACTAACATTCATGTCAATTTGTGCAGGTCTTTTACTAATTGTAATGCGTTCGTGTCGTACACCTTGAGTTTTATTATCACTGAAGAGGGTTCATGGTTGAGCCGAAACGTATAATTGTTTTATATTGATTATTCATGTTCAATAAATATTACACGATTTCCTAACACAAGGAAGGTTTTTACCTATATAGTATATAGCAGTATTAGTCCTGTGCTTGAACTCGAATTGCCCTTTTTCCTATTTTTTGAATGTTTACGTGGTTATTCGCGAAACAGTAGAGGAATTTTGTGTTCAGTTTTACCTGCGCACAACGGGCGTGTCATTAATTGTCTAATCTGTATAATGATTCTAGAATATCTTGTATTTTTTACATGCACTTTATGCTTTATACAAATTGCATGAGTGATTTAGAAATATTCCTCAGTGTAACTCATGAATTTGAATTGTAGGGTTTTGGTGAAATGCGAAAGTCCTCAACAACTCCAATGGAGGTGAAAGCCTTAGAAGGTTTATACATTACTGCCGTCACGTGTGGTTTGTCTCATACGCTTATGATCTGCCGGGATGACACTGAGGAGGAAAGGGCGAAAATTAATAAGTTACAGATATACTCTGTCTAAAGTACACACAAGAGGTATTCTTCGGTTACGTGAAACGAGTTTCCATTACGTCACTATGCAGATGATTGAGCCGGAAAGAAAGAACGTTATCGTTCCTTCGGCGAATCATAGCTACGTTTTGATAAATTGAAATGAACCGACCGAGTATCCAAGAACGATAACAGTAGATTGCCACACGAAACGTCCTGGAGAGATATAGGCTATTACACTACTTTGTACTTCCAGTTTTTACTTAACGCGCGAATGACAGTTGATCTGTGTAACATTTGAAAACCCATTATGTTCAGCAGCTCAGGATATAGACCAAACAAGATAGATGCAAAAATATATTTTGATACGTTGCTATTTTATTGAAGTTGTAACTTTCACCAGAATTGAGATAGTTATTCATATGAAGGAGCTGGAGGAGCCGGAAAGAGGACATTGTAGGATTTAGCATAACTGTCCTTATTTTTATTGCTTTTTTAATCAATTTGCACATTCGAATAGTTTATCCATTGATTCATCACAGTAGTACCTGAATCATTACATCTGCAGAAATCGTTTTGACAATGCGCATGCAGAGACGGTCCCTGTACATGATCAATGCGAGTGAGTCATTTAAGTAGATAATATTTTTAATGATTATTTTAATGCTATGTGCATTACATTTCAATATCCATTATACTTCGAGATTTGATAAGAAAATGATTTGATTTCTGTATTATCTAACGTATTATCTATTGATTGTGAAACGTTACATTGTATGACTAATGTTTCACTTTTATGTAAAACAATATATGTTTATTTAATTTTTGTTAAAATTTTACACATCTAAAAAATGAAGTCTGACGTAAACCTTATGTATTTTACTACGAAGTGATACCATGTTGTAGAGGTTTCGGATTTATTTTAACTTCCATTTATATTCGGACATTTCTCGAATATGTATTTTATGTTTTAGAGTATTTCTTTCTTTCATGATAGTTTGTATAGCATATATTTCTTATATTATCGTATAGAAACATAATAAGAATGTTTGGTCAAGTACAATCTAGTAAAACAACTTATAAAATACGTTTAAGTATTTCTTGAACTCAAAGTTACAACTCTGATCACTGCCAGGATGTATTATGAACATCTTTTTATTGTGATGTCAAATATTCATTCCATTCCGTTCCATATAATACTCTCGTGCGATTTCTGCACTGAAATATTGTTCTGATGAAAAACTTGCGATAAATGTACAAGTCCAAATATGAAATAAACGAATTTTTAATGAATTTAGCCTCCTAGTGCCTTTAATAATTATCCACTTCTTTAATAAAGGAGTAATATAAGGAGTAAGTATATTATTTTAATTATTAAAGCACTTTAGTGCATAATAGTGCGTGATAATGTTTACGTGGTTATTCGCGAAATAGTAAAGGAATTTTGTGTTCAGTTTGACGAGTTTTACTTGCGTAGAACGAGCGTGTCATTAATTGTCTAACCTATATAGTGATTCTGGAATATCTTGTATTTTTTACATACACTTTATGCTTTATACAAATTGCACGAGTGATTTCGAAATATTCTTCAGTGTAACTCATGAATTGTAGAGTTTTGGTGAAATGTAAAAGTCCTCGACAACTTCAATGGAGGTGATTTATCCATTCCTTATGTCTTTAAAAAATGACACCAGAATAGGATTTAGGAAACTCTTCAGAGAATATATTTAACAAATTTATTTTATATAAAGTGCCGAATATATTTTTAAAATTCATTCATCGATATTGGGATTCACGCCGATATTAAGATTCTTGTACATTTCCTACAACGCTCTCTGATTTGATCCGATACAGCTTTTGTCGCTTTAAACACGTATCGCAAATAATATCTTTTACAGCAGTTTCGTTTAGACGTCTGATAGCATCTTCTTCTTCCCGCTTACGTTTCTCCTAATTAGCAAAATTATCTAATCAATTTGTCGCCTGTAAGAAACTCGTACTGATATCTTTGTCACGTAAAAGCAAGATGAAATCGCATTTACAATTATATGTATAATTAAAGACTATCAAATCTCTTATTACTACAAGCTTCCGATCCATTGCTATTGTAGCGGAAACGACAAATTGTTGAATACTATCCATTTCCTCTTGTGGAACATTGCCGTATCTCCAACGTAACAATTGATGGGCTATGTAATGCTGAGGATTCGTTGGTTGGTACTTTAAGGTTCTACTTATCGCCCACGTCAATGGTATCATTACGTTTTGTCTGCACCAACACATATTGTTGCGTAAACTTATTACAGTAATATACCTTGATGGAAATATTTTACTGAAAATCTCTTTGAACTGATCCCTTTTCATTAATATTCATTAAAATTCGTAAAATTTATTTTATTGTTATAACAATAAAATTAATCTTATGAATTTTAATAGATCTTAATAAATTTTATGAATTTTAATGAATTTTAATTAATTTAGATTAATCTTAAAGATTCTTGTGAATTTTAATGAAAAGAGGTCAATTGAGAAAGATCTTTAGTAAATATTTCAATAAAAGATTTCCATCAGGGTAATCATATACTTTTGTACATTATATTTACCTTAAGTAATTATTTCTTTTAACAGTTTCATCGCCTTGTTCTTTTGACAGTAAATTTAAATAGCACGTACACGGAGCAAAATCGTATTGCGTACTTAAAGTAGAATCTGCTCCACTTAAACTAGTGGAGCGAGATATCCTTGTCGTTAATGAAAATGCCGTAGATTGCAATATACTTAAACTGCACTCGCATAATATTTCCTATATATTATTTTGGCTTCACTATAAATTGTTCGTGTCTTTCTCTAATCGATTGAGAGACCTAATTACCTCTAAAGCTTGTTTCTCTTCGTATTCACTATATCCAAGATCAATCAGCATATCTTCAACTACATCATCGATTCCGTTCTCTTCTACGTAACGAAGAGCATCTTCATCAATACCAAGTTTCTCCAAAAAAGTGACTATTGTTGATGTAACTGGCTTGATCTGTCCTGGCCAATTTAAAATTCCTGGAACATTCACGCCACTCCACAGAAGCCGACACAATACATTTTTATCCTGAGGCATCAGCCCACACATAACAATATTCCAGCATTGGTTTTCAGTTAAACCGGCGACTATAAGATTCCATATCAATTTCACGTCAAGTTTCTTTGACCACATGTCTGCATTATTCACGACGTTCACCTCTGCTCCAAAATCTCGAAAATATTTCAGTTCTTCGGGACTGAGACTAAGAAGACCATATTTCAATGCTTTTATGATTTTACGTGGAGACATACCTAATTAAATTTATTATTTAATGTACAAATAAATACGACACACTATGAAGACAAGAAATAGCTTCTTCAGAAGAGATCTTGACCTTTTCTTTCTAGTTCGACTAAAATACATTCATTATATGTTCCACTGTGGATAACAGAATGATATGATGCAAGTGATGCGTCACATTGCGCATCGTTACATGGATATATAAATGATGATTCAATCTCGTGTTGTCGCATAAGCTTGTTTCTTAGCAAGCTGAGCAATCTTTCCTTAGTCCATCCACCATAAAGGAACGTTCCTTTATTTGTTAATTTTATACGTAGTTTTGTCTCGTGTAATTCTTCTACATCCATATTACGCTGATAAGTTTCAAGCCAAATAACAATGCAAATTATAGAGAGATTTTGTAAGAACGTCACAAATGTCAAAATATAAGCAGACTATTTTGGCAGTTGTTATAAATGTCTATTTCATATATGTGAGAGAAATTTGTTTTACACGTACACATATGCGCGCAATGAAATGACAAATGACCCATGTATCCAGAAAATGTTATATTTACAAACGAATAAATTATGTGTATAATGTTACTTATATATATCACCGTCATAATTATGTAGAAATCTCTTTATGAAATACATACTCGCCGTGTGTAATCAGCATAGTACGTATTTTCAACGAGATACATACTGCAGAGTTTAAAAATTAGCACGTAATATAGACAAAGTGGCGAAGCAGAAATCTTAGATACATTTTTACAGTATAATACACGTTTTCCGGATGTAACAACGATATGCGTCAAGCGCACGTATTGTGCAGAATATAAAAGGATGAAAACAATCGAAAAGACTATAAAAACGTTTGAGCTATTTGTACAAAAATGTGAATAACGGAACCTCGATTACAGTTCGTACAAACGCTTTACTGAGCACTACGATCGTTCCCCGACAACATATCTGTAAGTAGTACAATGTATTTACACGAACGCAAGATTCAGTCTAAAGACTCCTATTCCGTATTTAAATAGTCTCTAACGATAGTTCGTATGTGTTACAAGTATATGCATATCTTTTGATAAGTTTTGATAAGATTTGATAAGAATAGCATGTGTAAAGCCATAGTGTATACTTAAGGTGGATTCCGCTTGTTTGTCACTTGATGTTGTCATAAAGATTGAGTGACGCTCACGACGATTCGATCGCCAAGTAGAATGCACCCTTAGTTTCAATACGGTTCGAACTATCGACCTATAGTATGGACTGCGCTATTTCTTACTTTTTCGTATATGAAACAGGGTTCAGAGTGAGTGAGATAGCAAATGGCCGCGGACTTATGTTGTCCTTCTTCCGCACCGAGACGCACTTTCAACCAGCGTTGCGCAGTCCATTCTATAGGTCAGGGCTCGGAACACTTTGCCAATTTCGGCCGATTCTCGGGAGCTACGTCTTCTATCAATTCCTTGCCGCGCGGCGGGCCTAAAAAGTGACGGTCATGCCTTTAAATTTGGAGCCGCGACTGGTCGCGACCGTCACTTTTTGGGCCTGCCACGCGGCAGAGGGGGAGATAGAAGGCGTAGCTTTCGAGAATCGGCCGAAATTGGCAAACTATTTCGAGCCCTGCTATAGGTCGATGGTTTGAACACTTTCTTTTCAATGCGATTTGAGACGCAGTCAATGGTCTAATGAGACTTGCTTTCATTGAATTCTCTGAATCTTCCATTGGCCTGCATCGAGAAAAAAAGTGTTCCAAATCGCATCGAAACCAAATATACCATATTCGGTCTCTTTCGCGTTACACGCGGTGTCTTACAGATTTATTTCCCGTGATAATCAAATTTAAACTTATACAGTTCTACACGTTCGTCGTAGCAAGCGTATGAGTTTCCGTATATAAGCTGCCACAGTTGATTATAGCAGGCTACAGTAACAATTTGAATACGTGTCCTGCTGTTGGTGATCGCTGACAGCCAACTGCATTCCTCGTTTGCCCATTCGATGTCTTGCAACACCCATAGTGCCATTATCATACAATCTGATTGAGTGAGTATCCCAGAGACCAGGTGTTTGTATTATCTATCGAATACATTGTCATATTATATATAAAACTTTAATAATTAATTATAATCGTATAAAAGGACAAGTTTATTCCGGAAAAATAGCAATAACAATATTAATAGTAAAAAGCTGACAAAAATATTCTTAAGAGAACTATGATCTCGACTACTATTAGTGGAAGATTTCAGACATACTTTTTGTACGAGTTCCTCAAAGCAACACTTCACACCATCTGCTGTTTTTGCACTGCTCTCAATATACAAGGTTTGGTGTCTTCTGGCAAACTGCAGACCTTCCTCAGTGCTCACTTCTCTGTTTGGTAAGTCAATTTTATTACCCACTACCATCTTGACAATGTCACTTTTATTGCAGTATGTGTTTAACTCATTCAGCCATGTCTCTAATTTTGCAAAGGTATTTCGATCTGTAACATCATACATTAAAATAGCACCTTGGCCATCTCTGTAGTAGCTTGGCGTTAAAGTGCGAAATCGTTCTTGACCCGCAGTATCCTGTAACAAATGTCAAGCTTTAATAAATCTGAGATAATAATACTGCACAGAGATAATATTGCTTCACTCTTTTTTTCCACAAATAGAGTTATGACACAAACCCAAATTGCGAGTTTCACTAGATTGCCATCAATAGAGATCTGCTTAGTTTTGTAGTCCATACCAACCGTGCTTTGCATATTCTCGTAAAATTCATCTTCGGTGAATCTTAGAAGTATACTGTAAACAAGTAACAGTGTGTAATTAATCTTACGTATCTCGGCGTAGAAGAGGCGACGATGACGAAGACATTTGATTACCTTGATTTTCCTACGTTAGATTCGCCTATCATAAGAATTTTTAGTATCGTTAGATAGTCCTCCTGATCCATGACGATGTGATCACCTGACTGTATTGGCAACATTATCGTTCACGCTAAAACAAGAGTAACGCTCCGTTCTTCTCTTTCCTCTATAACGTGTTGTTAATTTATACACATTAACATTAAACACTGTTCTGCCAGTTCATAGTTCTCGCAATCAACAACAACTACGTCACAGAATAGGGTGGGTAACAATCGAATGAAGAATCGATGTTCTCTCTCTTTTTCTCTCTCTCAATATCTAGCTTTAGATGACGAATCGATGTTCGATTCTCATTTTGTTGCAGGATCGATTGTCTTTTCGATTGCGAAAAGATCGCGGCACTTTTTGCTTCGATGAGTTTTGGAACAGGTAAAAACTACGAGATCATTCTCACGATTTTCGTTTTATTTAAAAAATTGTTGTTAACAAGTGACTTTCATTACAAGTGTTAGGGAGGATTGTATTATCAATCAGCTGATGTGTAAAATTCACAATAACACGTTAATAAGAATAATAACCGCATTGCACGCAGTAACTGTTTTCCCTGTCACTATGGTATTATAATTGTCGTTACTTTTAATTAATTACTGGCAGGAGTGCAGTATGGTGTAGTGGTGCAGTGCAGAGGGGGAAGAAAAAGAGAAGATGGAGGAGGAGGAGAAGGAGGAGATCGGCGAGAGGAAGGGGTACGCGGTGCGGGTGTGCGAGAACGAATTTTTGTCACTATCTACGGGGAGTAGTAGCGACGATGTAGTGGCGAAGCTAACCACGAACTAAACAGAAGAAAAAAGATGGCCGCTGCGAGGCTGCCATGAAGGGGCCGCGTCGCTGCTCGCGCTCGCGGAAATGGGACGTTGCGACATCCGAGTGTTATCGTCGTCTTAGTGAGAAGTGTCAAGCGAGTGATCAACGGCGAGGGTGACGTGCCGAAGAAGGAGGAAGCTGACGGCGGTGCGGAGCGAAGGAGCGAAGTGCGGTAGTCACATCGCGCCGCACCGCACTCGCCAGCGACGACGGCAACGACGAACAACGGTGGTGGTGGCAACGACGACGACAACGGCGAGGGTAACGACGACAAGGAAGAAGAAGACGACGACAACGACCGCGGACAGTGGCGAGCCAGCCGGAAATACGCGAAATGGCATCCGATGGGTAAGCCTCCGACGAAAAGAAACTTGTTCGCACCGAAATGCGTGGCTCGTGTTGCACTCGACTGCACCCGAGGTGTAGCGCGCCGCTCTAGGGAAAACGCGGCCGCGACACACACGATGGTGTTCGCAGATCGATAGTGAATTTTTTTTTACAGTCACCCGTCCCAGTTTTCTCCCTCTCTCTCTCCGTCATCGTCCGTCTCTCCTTCTCTTTCTCTCTCTCTCTCTACTGCTCTCGTGTACTGTTTCTCTATCGCTCTTATTGTACGAAGAGAGAGAGAGAACGAGAAAAAGGACTCACCTCTCCTGACTGTAAGCGAGCGATTTCCCGCTGCGTTTGTTCCTCCGCGAAACGCGCTTTCGCGCTGAAGTTAGCCGTCGTTGTCGCGATTGGGCGGGTCTCTCTCTCTCTCTCTCTCTCCCTCTTTCTTGCTCGTTCCATCCGTCCGTCCGTCGCGCGCGCATTTTCGCAGTCGTTTCCTTCACAGTCTGCGGTTTAGACTCGTCAACGTTAGTTGGGCGCGTACACGGCTCGCATTTTTCCACCCGATATCGCGCCTTCGCGTTTTCCCCCTCTAGTCTCGTTTCCCTCTCCGCAGCCGTCACAGTATCTCGGTCTCTCTCGCCTTCTACTTGTTTGTTTCTCCCTTTCTCTCTCCTCTCTCTCTATTTTCTTCCTTCGCGAGCGAACGTGCGCTCCGCACATACGCTCTTGATCTACGCGCGGATGGATTTCCGCGGCCTATTTCAGCCAATTAAACGGCCAGCATGACATCAGAGCAGACGGCATCTCTCTCGTTGCACCGCGGCCCAGCATTCCTATCAATTTGCGGGCCCGCCGGAGGCGGGGTGGGGTGAAGCGGACGGGCGAAAGCACCCTCCTTCGTTCGCCCCGATTTATCGGTCCCGCAAGTCTTCGTCGAGAATAATCGTGCACCACGAATCTTAAGCGGCCCCTTGTCGCCCTCTTTTCGTCCTCCCCCTCCACCCCTTTCGTCTCTTCCCGTCTATCTGTCCGTCTGTCCGTCCGTACATCCATCCATCCACCCATCTGTCCGTTCCGTGGTAAGGGCGATTTTTTCCCCGTGGCAGAGAGTCGTTGCGCGATCGCTCGCGTTCCGCCCGACGCTCCAATTAGTTCCCCGATATTGCTATCGTGCTTGTTCAACGTGCATGTACTATGTGCTCCGTATCACGCGACTTGCGATACCTTCCTCTTTTATTCCGAGCCCCGACTCCGGAGAGAGATCACCGTGACACGTCCCCGGACATCGCGGCGCGCGGTGGATGTAAATAAAAAAAATAAGGAAAAAAATGGACGCGCTACAGTGCCATCGGTTTCGTTGCATCGCGACGATACTCCTGTCCGTGAATTACGTTCGAGATACTTTTGACATATCGATCCTGCCTTATGACTTTATCTCTCCTTTTGCGAGTGTATATACGCGTCGCTTGCGAACGACGTAAGGACGTCTCCGGGAGCGTGTACTCCGTAGGAGGTGAAAGTTTTAAGGGAAAAGAGAGTGATTTGAGAGCGATTGCGTAAGATTTGATATAGTTTGTCAGGACGACCGATAGACTCGCGCGATCTACGGAGGAGATTTGAATTTTTCACGGGAATGTTAACGGATGACAATTGCAGTAGGATGGAATGGGTGGAGATCATAGAGCCACGCACTAAGGAACATATGTATGCTAACTTGACCACAGGAGAATGCGTTTGGGATCCTCCACCAGGTGTACCAGTGTAAGCTATTCTTTTATTCATATCACTTCTTTAGTAGCAGCTAATTTCTGCACAGTACGTCACAAAGAATGCGTCAGGGGACTCATTAGAAGAGTCCACATTAGATGTTTCAACCCACAGAGTGTTTTTCCTAAAAATGTTTCTTTTTTTTAGCATATCTCTGTTTCATGAAATTATTTACAGAAAGTGTATGATTTTTCCCTTGGTAGTTAATTAGATCAATGTCTGATGTTATAATTAGTATAATGAATTTGAATAGAATTTGAAGGACATCTAATACCGTTGTAATTAATTTGATGTCATTATAATTTGATTATAATCAATATAATAAATTAGAATTCGACTAGATATATGTCTTACGCTACTATAATCAATGTAATAGTGGGTTAGTATAAAGGATCAGTATAATAATGGATCATTGTAATGAATTGTATCAATATAATGAATAGTATTATTATAATGAATTTGGACTCGGTGCACTTGACTTCATTGTATGTATTACAGTTAATTATTTGAAAGTATAATATGATGCCATCGTAATTAGTTTAGAGAGAGTTATCTTAGAGAAAGTACCAGACTATCCTGTGTGTATTGCAATGTATGTGGTACAATGTTCCCTTTAATAATTTCTAGAAAAAAGACGGACAACAATCAGTGGTGGGAGTTGTTTGATCAGAATACCTCGCGGTTTTATTATTATAATGCGACATCACAGAAAACTGTGTGGCACCGCCCGACCGACTGTGACATCATACCACTGGCGAAACTTCAGGTAAATGAACGTTTGCTATCGCTGGCTCGTGATATGATTTAACACGCTTCTCACGTATTGTAACACGCGCGTTTGTATGTGAGTCATGTCGGATAGTTGATTATCAAACATCAGAGATAAGAGGAGGATGCCCTATTGATGCCCAGAGGAATCCGTTTTCGCGAAGTGAATCACGTAAAATCTTCGACCCACGGTTTCACGTGTGTATACGCGCGCGCGCGCGTGTTTATAGACGCACGGAATGATTTGTGAGTTTCTCCGGATAACACACATTACAGAACTCACGTATCTTAGAGTGCCGGAGATATAAGTGTGCAAGCGTCTGCTCTCTTCTCTCGGCTATAAATAGACGTTTGTAGCAGGGAGAAAAAACTCTGGTTTACATTATACCGCACCGTGCCATGAAGTTCTCTTTCGCGACAATGCTATTTGTCCGTTCAAAGTTTGAGGAAAAAAAAAAGTTTGACAAACGAGTGCTTATGGAAATCCCACGGAATACTATTGTAACACCCACCTGCATATCGAAATATTCTGTGTATTGTGTCAGCTATTATGTTGAGTTGTTACATCTTCTGTCAATACAGGAATTACAGAACTCGGCATATTACACGGCATTTTTATACGTTTTGCGCGTTGTATGTAAATAATTGCGAATTGTTACGACTTCATCAAATTGATGCAAAAGATTTGTCATTGTCGTTTCTCTTCACTAAATTCTTGAAGTTTGGCTATTAAAGGGGAAATAGCTAGTATTTGTTAGATGTCTAGAAAAATCAGTACTTTGTTGATTATAACTTTAGAAATGATTAGTCTTTCGATTGGACTGATCATTTAATCATTTAATCATTCAATTGGATAATCCTGTCTTCTGTTTTATCTGACAAGCACGACGACTCTTTTATACCAAAGCAACACTTGTCATATTGTATATAATTTGTGCGCTATCTTGTTATTGCATAGAGATAATACACGATTATTAACTTATTCATTTATCTATGTGTACTTGTGTTCATATTATAGACATTGAAGCAGAACACGGAACCTCCAAGCGGTAGCACGTCTGACGCTCAGAAAGTCGCCGAGCCGAGGAAAAAGGAGTCGGTTTCGACACAGACGCAAACACCTTCAGTCAGCCGGTCGACGCGCTTCAATCATCAAGAGAGTCCGAATTTGGCTTCGACACTGGTGAGCTTAATTGTCGCGGTAACGTGACTGCGCGGCCGTGACTTGTAAGTTTTTCGACGTTTGCTCTTTCTCTTTTGCAGCAAGTTGGAAGCGCGAACAAAACGCGATCCTCCGCAGCCGGTGTCGACCTTCAAACATCTCCACCTTCCCCGTCTCCGTCTTCGAGGCGTCATCATCACCATCATCATCATCACAATAATAGGCACCACAGGCACCATGAAGTACCTACCGCACGCAGGCAACACAATCATTCGCAGGACTCCGGCAGATCTAGCGACAGTTCCGTCTCGCACAGTAGAACCTCTCTGGAGTCGACTAGTTATCGTTTGTTGGACTCGCCGCACAGGCATCATCATCGTTCGGCCGCACAAACGCCGGCGAGCACCGCACAGTCCTCCCCTCGGCAGCATAGCGGCACCTTAGAGACCAGGTGCCACAAAAGCGGGACTCTGGAAAGCGTGAAGAATCAGAAGTCTGTGTCGTTAGGGGAACCACCGCCATTGGGGCTGTCGCTTTCGACCAGCACGCCTCTTTTCAAGAAGAAGACGTTCACCGATCCGCAACGTGAAGGTAGGACGGGGAATTTGGACCTGGACAAAAGTAAAAATGGTAAGAGGGTTGTAATACTCGTATACGCGCGCGTGATACATACTCGTCGTATTTCTAAGTTTCGAACGTGCTCGAGCGTTTTCAGCTGTGCTAATCGATTTCCCGATGTTTCAGGTAGGGAAAGTAGCAGGGGCTCGTACGGTCCCGAGCCTAGCACCTCGCCGTATCGCGAGTCGATGATGGAATCCCGAGTCTTCAGGCAGGAAATGCCGCCGTATCGTCCGCCGGAAGTTCAGCTTAGTCATAGTTACAAGTCGCAAGGCGAGAAATACGGTTCCTTGGTGGAGAGTGGCAATCGTTATCATAGAGATAGAGAGCGGGAGATGCAGCATCAGATACGTGAGCGTGTGAACAGTCTTGACAAGACGAACCAGCCAGCCTTTTATGCGAGTTGTGTGCATACGAGAAATGTGAATAAGCAGGATAATACGGGTAGCATAGGTAGGAGGCATCACGGCTGTTCGGCCTCACTCTCGGAAGCGAATGTCAGGGACATGTATGGTGCAATGTTGTCCGAGAGGAATGATCCGGCCAAAAGCCTCGGTCGAGCGGCCGGTGTGCACAGTAACTCATCGAAGCAGAGAGGAGGCCTTGAAGCGGTGGAGCGCGAGAGAGAGCGAGACCGCGACAGGGAGAAGGACTACCGGAGAAATACAGCGTGCAATAACTCACTGGACTGTAAGCGAGATAATCTTTTAGCTTCTTTCGCCACCTTCCTGCAACACGTATGTGTGCGCGCGTATGTTTTGCAATACATAGTTAATCGTTATTTTGCAAGGTGTACCGCAGCCGTTGGGCCGCAGTTATAGTTTCGTGCAACAGCAGAAGCAGCAGCAGAAGATGCAGCAGCAGTTACATCAGCAGCAACAGCAGCAGCAAGTTAGCAGAAGGAGGGAACGGGACGACGATTCCATGCATGAGCGCTACTTGATAAGTCAGACCCACGATCAGTCCAGGCAGCGACTTAGCAGTAACACTAGCAGTAGCAACAGCAGCAACAGCAGTAGCAACAGCGCCGTGGGCGAAGATACCGAAAGTCACGCCGAGGGAGACGACAGCAAGAAGAAAAGAAGCAATGGAAATTCCAGTCCGCCACCGTCACCATTCTACGGCAATCTCCTGGCTGATGCCGATCATCTGTTACCGCTGCAACATTATATCCTTCAACAAGCAAAATTATCAGGTAAAACATCGACAGGTCTTTTTGTTCTTACAGCTACATAGCGGAATTGATTTTATTACATTCGATGCATATAGGTTGTTACAAGTTCGGAGATCCTCTGTTAGTGGAGGAAGGGGAGGATTCTTTGGACGAAGAAGGCGGCAGAGGCGAAGGTATCGGAGGGAGAGCCGATGACGATTCCGACGATCAGTTCGCTGATGACGAGGCGGCAAGCAATCAAGGCGATTCTTCCAGTCAAGAGTATCTCGAGGATCATTATGCCGGTGAGAAATTATTTTTATAGATATGAAATACTCAACCTCGTCTATCCAACATTTCCGTGATGCCTTTTTTCTCCTTTAGACTTAAGAAATTACGACACGGCGGGCTTGGCGACTTACTATAACACAGCTGACACTTTGACGAGGCCACGACCACCTTCACCGCCGAATATCGTGTCCCAGATAGAAGCGAGAGACAGCGTAGTGACTACGAGACAAGTCTCTCTACCAACGTCCACCGTGACCTCGATCGCGACACCGAGCATCGGCACAACGATCGATAACACTGACCTGGACGAAGCGCGGCGGGACGATAGCACGGGCGGTGGCGACATCGAGAAGTACGCGCAGGACAATCTTAATCTGAACTGCGGCAGACCGAAAGGACTGAGGCTGTTGTTTCGAAAAAAGTTTAGCGTACGGGATATTCTTAGCTGGTCGAAGGATCCCATACCGCAACCTATGCTTGCGATGGTGGACGGCGAGAAGTTACTCAAGCGGGAGGCTTGTAATTTGTTCCGTTTAGTCCAGGTGTACATGGGCGATCGCAAAGCCAATGTTGGCATGACGCTGGACGGCGTTGCCATGGACATCGTGAATACCGCGTTCTCGAAGCCGCCCTTGCGAGACGAACTATACGTGCAGATCTGTCGGCAAACTACGGAGAATCCGCGGAAGGAGAGCCTGCGACGCGGCTGGGAATTAATGGCTGTGTGTCTGGCCTTTGTGCCACCTAGCGCCACGTTCGAACCATATCTGGAAGGTTACATGAACAGGCATCGTGATCCTAACTTCCAATTTCCCGAGGTCGCCAAGTGGCCGATACACGTGCAAGTCAGTCATTACGCGACTGTGGCCTGCAGACGATTGCAGCGGATCGGCGCGCACGGCAAACGACAACCTCGTAAAGCTACAATAGAGGATATCGATCAAGCAAGGGTAATTGATTGTGCCAGTAACCCTTTATACTTTAATGTATTCATGCCGACCTCTATATCTTTCACTTGAAAATCAATATTTTATTATCGACATTCAAATTTTGTATATCCTAGAATGCTGATATTGTTTTAATTTCATGATTTAATGTCGTTAATGAGATGACGTTAATGTTCTGTGTCGTTTTTCTCATAGATACAAATCTTCCGCGCATCCATGTTCGGAGCGACGCTCTCGGAAGTAATGGCTTTACAAAGGGACCGCTACCCACTTAGAGAGTTACCATGGATACAGACCACGCTGACGCGTCAAGTTCTGGTGCGCGGTGGCACCTTGACCGAGGGTATCTTTCGAGTATCTGCCGACGCCGACGAAGTTAGTGCACTAAAGTCTTGTCTGGACAAGTTCGAGGACGGTGCGATTCTGGCAGCTTCTCAGGATGCCCACGCGCCCGCTTCCTTGCTGAAATTGTGGGTGCGTGAATTATATGAGCCGTTAATACCGGATTCCTTCTACGTGGAATGCGTGTCGATGAGACACGATGATCCGGAAGCCTCCGCGGCAAACGTAGCTGCTCTCGTCGACCGTTTGCCAGATCTTAACCGTCGTGTGCTGTGTCATCTAATACGCTTCCTACAGGTAAGAGGCTGTTTGATTAAGAGTTTCATGAAATTTTGTTTCTGGTTTTCACAACACGTGCTCAGTCATCTATAATTATGTAATTTTAATTTCTTGCTTGTGTCGAGTGTGCTATTCGAGTAAAGTTTAAAATGTAGTATTATTTAATAATGTACGGTTGGAGTTTAAAAACCTTTAAATAAGACAACATGCTTTTTGATATTTCCGAATAAAATATAATATTGCGCTCTCCGGCGAATACGCTACATATGAAACGACTTTGCAGATATTCGCTAGACCCGAGGTGGTCGCTCGCACTAAAATGGACGCAAATAATCTCGCGATGGTGATGGCGCCGAACGTATTGCGATGCACCTCCCAAGATCCTCGAGTAATTTTAGAGAACGCACGGAAGGAAATGGCCTTCGTCCGTACTCTCATCGAGTCACTAGACACTGCTTGGGTCGATGATCTTCACTGACCATCCTATTGCGTTAGAGAAAAGTCCGCTCTAGACTATTATGCCAAATGAAACAGCTGTATAGTCACGTCTATTGTTAGTTATCTCACTGTTCTCGATTTGTCTTCACTCTTCTTGTTTGTTCCATCGTCACCGATCCCCCTCTTTGCCCCATAGTCCTTATATGAATGTTCGTAATGGTAATTTAGTGCTAAAGTCTTACCAAGCTAATCATACCACAACCCGACTCCTTGATTTTCCGATCTTTATTTTCTATTTATTATTTATATACAGATTCTATGTTATATGACAGATAGAGATTATTAGATTATATTATGTATATCGCTATATATCATATATATTTTACCAACCCTTGTTACCGCGTCGAACAAACGTGGACGGCTTTTTTACTCGGTCATTGTTGAATCTCGTGTAAGATAAAAAAAGATACATCATGTGTTACCGTGTATAGCTGCGCTCCGCGATGATCTTTTTGTATAAGCGACGGATTAACGTGTAAAGCGTTTGTCGAGGAGTAAATACTGCGAAAGATTAGCAAGCTGTACTTGTAAGTGTGTTTCTTCGACTACCCTGTCCTTGTCCACTATGTACAAAGAAATTAAAGGATTATAAATATTAATAATTAAAGGGTTGCTTTTCAGAGTTGATTTTGAACAATAGGAAAATCTCAATGAATTGTAACTCCCTTAAAAATAGCGATAATGTAGTACAAGAAGCATTTTTAAATATAATTTCCCTAGTTTTTGTGCATATTATCAGATATAAAATTTACGTATTTTTTACAATTTACGTGAGTATCGAGTTTCGCCGTCAAAATATTTTATAAAATTGTATCGCGTGAACGAAAAGCATACACAAATGGTCTTTACATTGTTTGGGAGCGTAAACCTTGTTCTTTGCGTAATCACAGATTGCGATACATTTTCTTTTATAGAATTATTTAAAATTAAATAATCGTTTGGCATTAATCGCTCGTAGAAGGCGAACTAATGTAGGATGTTTGTTAATAAATAGAAAGCTTGTAGCTGCCTCTGAAACACGCATTTATCACATTTTTGATAAAAGTAAGATTTCAGATAAATTCAACTAAAAGAAATAAAGTTGGAAATAAGCCTTATTCATTTAACTTGTTCTACATTTGCAATAAAAGATAGTAATGTTATGAATTTAATACGTAAAAAAGAGATTTAGCCTTCAAAATGCTTTTTGAACTATTATAATCGTCATTTTTGCCGAACTTATATTAGTTTGTAAGATTTTTCTTATGTTTATATTTCTCAATATAGATTTCGAGAGAATCCGCCTTTGTGATTATATAAATATGGATTGCCAGTTGGCATTCTCACGCTGTAATCAACATGAAGAGCACTTCCAAGGGCTAAGTGGCGAGTCCCAGTATTTCGATGACATATTGTGAACTCACGTATAATAACAAACCTATATCTTTACTAATTCAATACTTGATATTCGTTAATTTTTACATATAACTTTCAAAGAACTGGACATATTAGAGAACCACAAATATATATTAATTAAATTAATAACATTTTATTTTCAAGTAGAATTATTTTATTATTTTATAAAGTAAATGCATTACAATGTCTAAACAGATTTTTTTAGACACAAGTTAACAAAAGTCGTAATTTTTAGCGGGAAATAATATTATATAATTATAATTACACAAATATTGCATAATTAAATTCAATAATACATATATATGTATTATTGAATCTATTAGTTATACAATATTTATGTATATTTAATAATACATTTTATATGCTATGTATACGCAATAATACATACATACACATATATATATATATATTTACTTATTTATTTATTTATACATTTATTGTTGTCTTTATTTCACTATTGTGTGTTAAGTTTATACATACATATTTTATTTATACTGCAAGTGGTTCTGCACTTTATCAAACGTAATAAAACAGCGCGGCGTATGTCATATTCTATCTCTCTCTTCCTTCCTGTTTTACCATCGAAATCTGATTTCATGTTTTGATTTTTTTATTTATTCCTCGAGGGCACGCGTGATGTTGATTACATAGTGAAGCATTGTAAGAATAGGAAAAGTGGGAGTAACTGGCAGTCCATACTTACTGACCTATTAGTCAAAGGTCTTGACACTATTAGAGCAATTTCTCTTTCTTCCTGCGAATTTTGTAACACCTAAAACCTTTTTTTTTATTTTGCTCATATTGCATTTGCAATTAGTGATATTAATGCAATTAACTCCACGTTTTGTTTGTAATATTCGTTACTGATAATGCTATTGCATTGTAATAACTATAAATAATGCCGATAATTAGTAGATATTTTGTAATGTCTTACAATTTTTTCTGAATTGCTGATAACTGTCTCGAAATTCAACTGATAGTTCAGTATGCAATCAAATTATGCTGCGTTCGGAAACGTCATTTGAGTACTTTCCTTCTCTTTTTATCTCACTCTTGTATTTCGCTCACTCCAACGGCTATTGTCTAGTAGTGTGCACACAGTGTGTTTCCGAACGCAGCCTTAATCTTGCGTTTCAGTAACAACTCACTATTACTATATTACTACGCATGTGCTCAACGCTTGACGCTCGACGTTCCTATGTAAAAGCATCTTAAGATCGGACTATGAATACCGGCCGTAGATTGTTGTTGACAGCTAAATTTTTTCTTGCGAAATTTCCTTATATTATTTTTTCTAGTGCACTTGTGTGACATTAAACATATTGTATGAACCTGTAAAATATTCTGAGTTCTCGGCTTTTCAACAATATAATACGTGGAAGTAAAATTTACACTCGATTGATCAGTTGTTAGACGGGTGTATATCAGTTGGACACGGGGCAATTGGACACAGTCCAATCACAAGTCGCTGTTCCAAGGGACCCTACAAATGTCTCTAATCACACGGTGCTGTGATTGGCTGTGTCCAAATGCACCGTGTCCAAGTGCACCGCTCCCTTGTTAGACCATACGTTTTCTTACGTGAGCAGGCCTCATTTCACGACTTATTTTATGGCTTTATATGGATTGCCCAAGGAAAAGGTGAGAACTTTTTACAAGTATGTTGAAGTGATTTCGAGTGATGTTTGTCAAGAATATCTTTTTATTTAGATATGGTACGCAAGAATTCTTTACGTGCCGTTTCTCGCTTCTGACGTCATAAAATCAATATGGCCGCGGCGAGGGGCCAGTGTTGGGATTCTGTAACTCGTCATTAGAGTTAACGACAGTTTCGTTATCGTTGCACAGCTTTTATATGCCGTAAAAAAGTTGCGCAACGATAATGAAACTGTCGTTAACTCCAATCACGAGTTACAGAATCTCAGCACTGGAGCCTTTTAAACCTTAACTTATGGCTCCTGCACACAGGACACGGTAATGTTTGCCGCACGGCGGAAGTTCGCGCGACAGCCAATCAATATGCTGCTTTCCGTAATAACCTTTTAGCTCTTACGGAAAAACAACATATTGATTGGCTGTCGCACGGACTTCCGCCGCGTGGCAAGCATTACCGCGTCCTGTATGTAGGAGCCATTACGTCGTGAAAAATGATAAAACTGATATTACATGTGTCGTACGACAAGCTTTTCGGATACATTCATTGGTTGACGAACAGAAAACCTAGAAATACTCTATTCACCAACCAATAAACGTATCCGAAAATGTGTTGTACGACACATGTAATATCAGCCTAACGCATCTAGTGTTGTGGACCCTAACCAGTTCAAAGGCTAATGGCTCCTGCACACAGGACGCGGTAATGCTTGCCGCGCGGCGGAAGTTCGAGCGATAGCCAATCAATATGCTGCTTTCCGTAATAACCTTCTAGCTCTTACGGAAAAACAACATATTGATTGGCTGTCGCGCGGCAAGCATTACCGCGTCCTGTGTGCAGGAGCCATAATAAAATAAAAATTCGTAGTGTTTTATAGGTTTTAGTTTTTATTTTAAATGTTGGAACATATATATTTACTTATTTCTAATCAAAATTAACAGTAGTAATTAAAAATAATTTTTAAAATAAACGGAGAGCTGCAGCGCATACAGCTTTATATATGCGCATTTAAAGATTTTGTATGAGTTCGGTGGACCCATGACATTAATTAAGGGTTAAATTAATAAGTATTTAGTTGGACAGTTGGATAGTTGGACAGTTTTGTATTTTATACCTTTAATTTTAAAGCTTTTTTTTTGGTAATACGGAAAAGAAAAACACGAAATTTAAGCAAGATAATTTCATTTGAAAATAAGTAATTATAAAATAAGTCAGATTATATAAACATATTTACAACAAAATATTTTTATAATGGTATATAAATATATTTATTTCTATAAATATATATTTATTTCTATAAATATATATTTATTTTTATAAATATATATTTATTTCTATAAATATGTATTTATATATAAAAATATATTTGTGTCTTGTAATACATTTCGAAAATAATGTCTTCATTTCGTTCTTAATGCATAAATTATTTTAAATTTAAGGTTGTTTAAGATATATAAAGTCATCCAGCATTGCCTGTTGAGCAGCGTCCATAATATCTTAATGTTACTTCTGTAAATATTAAATATCACATATTAATATATTAATTTTATTATAACATATTATTGTTGATAAAAGGATTCAGACTATATGTCTGAATATTTTAATCTTAATTATGTACAAAATTAATAAAGTATATTATATCTTACCTTTTCCACATCTTTGTGCACAACCCAATCCTCCTGGATTAGTATAATCAACATTGTCTGTGCCACAAACAGGATTGTATTCCATTGTTACCTGTTTTTTAAAATTATTTTTTAATATTTTAAGAAGAATCAATTGATAGATAAAAAAATACTAATCTTGAGAAAAAGAATGGTAAAGAATTAATAACTTTTCAAACTAATTTTCTTGAAAAAACAAACTGTGATTTTACTTCAGATTATTCACTTATCTTATCAAGAGGAATTTTATATTTATGAAAAAGAGCATTGTAATTACATACCGGACAAGATGACACACAGGTGTTGAATATGTCTTCAGGTGGAGGAGTCATATCTTCCCTGATAGACTCTGTAGTTGTGGTGGTCGTTGAGGTAATTCTTTGTTGTCCATTGGAACTTTGACCACCAGCTGTTGGTCCATCAAAAACAAAACCATCTACCTGGGATATTATATCTGAATTCTACAAAATAAATCTCAAGTCAAACTTTTGGATAATAAATGTTAAATTGTTATGTATTGCAAGGGAGATGACTCAATTATTTTTCTTAATAAAATTTCTAATCTTCACAGTATGTTAAAACATTTCAAATATTATTTATGTAGTATCTAAAAATACAGTCGATGCTGTTATTTTAATTTATTTTGTTGTTATTTTAATTTATTTTGTCATTTAAAAGAATATTTTTACTTACTTGCGGATACGCAGTAACGAGAAATGATGACACGACAACTGTAATTATTAAATAATTATTATATAATTATTAAGCATGTTTAATGATATTAACACTAACATATATAAAAAATGACACAACGTAGCACAAAGCGATTTCCTTACCTAGCAGAAAGTGAAACAACATTTTGGAAACGTTCGGCGGTTAACTATTAAAGGTTAATTGCTATCGTACGTATATCAATACAATCGAAGGTCGACGACTGTTGAGAATATCGGCTGAACTTCCTTTTATAGCATCAGTTGCCAACCAACGAAGGATGCGCGTTTCGATCATATATGTGAATCTAAGTAAACTGGATTTCCCCAGTAAGGTTATTACAATCTCTTCACTAGACTCATTGTTAAGCTTTTTGTAAAGACTCATTACAAGGTCAGTAGTAAGAAATATGAATCATAGAAGTCAATTATGTGCGATATTATCAGGATTAGAAACACAGTTGAGATAATTACTTGTGAGTTTTAGCGATTATGATTTTATTTTCTTAAAAATCAACTTTAAAAAAAAATTATAATAATTACAAGGCATTTAATGAATTCCTTAAACTTATTCTTCCCTGACCAATAATTGTTAATACTAGCCTCAAATATCAAATTGTTAATACTTTTAAAATTAATGTGAGAGAGTCAGTTACTTTAAATTATATGTGTGACATACATACTTATATTACATACTTACAAAATGCTTATAAAATAATATTTAGGAAGAACCTAATTATGTGCAGATTACATCAGATTATGAATAATAGTCAAGAAAACCAAGACTAGTTATGCAAATTAAAACAAAGTTGAAGCTAAGAATCAAGTACTTTTTTATTATTAAACATTGTTGAATGTTCCTCTAATAAAAAAATGTTTACAATATCTTCAAAAGTATGTTCTATATTGCTGTTATTATCAGGATATCATGGATCTGTAATATACACAAAGCATATATTTGTAAAGAAAATAATCTTTGTAAATCTTTGTAAAAAAAATAGTATAAATAAAACTAAAATAAGATATAAGAATATATACACACATACACACACACACACACACACACACCCAAGGTATCATATATGTGTGTGTATTGTATATCAGTGTTAGTTGAACAATTTTTGTTTACTTATATACCTTTAATTATATGTTATAATATTTCTCAATTACTGCTCAGTTGGCTATATGGTTCGCAGGCTCTAATTAGTCTTACTTCGAGGTCTTGAAAAGAAAGTAAAAATTAGTAGATAGAACTTGTAAAAAATTTATGGAAATGAAGCAGCACTGTAGTACTGTGACACCAAGAATACATATAAGAATTGTAGTTAATTAAATAATTGTGCAAAATTAATTAAAACATTTTTTTTTGTATTATGTGTTTATTCTATTCTTATTTATAAATTTTAATTATTCAAATTATCTATTGTATAATACATTGTAACAATCAGATTCTCTAAAAATTAAAAAATGAAACAAAGATATAAATAAATTTAACTATATTTAACCATAAATTTATAGTTAAAAGATGAGAATTAAAAAGTGGAAGTTTATAATTATTGTAGTTAAAATTAAGAAGTAGAAGTCTGTGTGTGGATTTAGTATAATATTTTAAAATTATATTTTAATTAAATCATATATGTGATAACTGTAATATTTTAAAAAGCAATAAAGTCCTGATACGATAATTAATGTGTCTTACTTGGATTACAATTTTTCGCGCAGTTAAATCTTCCCATGTTCCAATAAGTAACGTTATCAGTACCACATACTGGATTGTATTCTGCAGTCGCTACACAAGGACATGCGGTTGTTGTTCTTTGTGTGGTACTAGTTGTCGGGTTATCGAAGTTATTGGACAAGCTGTTTTGCGGAAAGGCCAAGGCGACCAAGTAAACCAAGGACAACACTTGCGCAACTGTACAGCAAAAATGACGAATTATCAATTAAAATAAATATAAAATAAATATTATTGTGCGAAACAAACGATATGCTATAATAAATTATCGTAATTATTATATTAGACCATATTTTTCATTACCTTTGCAATAAGTCGTATTATATACAGAATCATTATATCAAACATCGTTCAGTTTTCCATAATTACATAATTTTTCTGCGAATTCGAGTTAACTTTGAAGAATTCAATAATATACTTACATACAACGATATACTTCATGATTATTTCCATACGTAAACAGTCCAAATATCGAAGTTCGACAAGAAAAGAAAGAAAGAAAAAAGAAGAAATGATAGTGTCTCGTTCGATAAAATGATGCAGGATCGAAAATTCAATTCCACCGCTGATTCTTGGCGAACTGTCTTTTGCGTTGTACGCGCACTTATTTATCTTATCCGTATTCTGAACTTGTTTCCTTATATAGGAAAAAATTAATTCCCACCACTTGGTAAACCCACCATATGCATAATGACGTGATTGTTTTTGAACAGATTTTTTCTATAATGTGATAAAACGTGAATCCTGTTGCTATCTTATTTGTGTATTCAAAATCATCAATAAGTTCACAAGTTGTCCTTATTCTTACAATAAATGTATTTATATGTGTAATAAGTTGACTATGTAAATACAAAAATTATTTTACGAATAGTTTATTATAACTATATATATCTATAAATTCTATGATTTCAACAGAAATATCTTCATATATAATTTCCTTTAACATTTTCCATTTTTTTCCGTTGACTTAAACATGTAATCTGACGAAATATAACATAATTTGGTGAAATATATACGCTCCTGAGAATCATACTGAAAACGATATTAATATGGAAAATATATAACAGGGAGATCCCTGATCGTTTGCAACTGGCGGGGATGTCCAAGTTGCGTATGGCGACATTCTCCATACGTATCAATGGCATTGTCGTGTATGCGAATGAAGTTACTCAATAAACATGGTCTTATTTGTGCCTTGATTTGAGGTCGGGAATACGGCGTTCGAATACAGAGGTCTCGAATAAGATTTTATCTTCAAAGCGTATATTACTACCGTATGAAATATTTTACTCAACTTTTGTATGCGCGTCTATGTGGACAAAATAGTGTACAATATATTAATGTTACTTTTAAGAATTAATACTATAATTAACATTATATACATGTAGATATTATGCTAGACATTATTCTTAAAGCTATCACTGGATGTAGGATGTATTATACATACTACGTTACAACTTCTTCAAATTTATCTCTTCTCTGTTTCCTATATATACATAATTAGCAATCTTTCTGTACTGTATATATACATATATATGTATGTAAACACTACACACACATACATACTATATATATACATATATATATACATATACATATACGTGACCAACTAATCTCGTCGGTGTGAGAATGTGAGATACATACTATGTATTGTTATTCTTTCTGACCTAAAGCTTCAAGAACATCATTATTATTTATTTGGCGACTAGACTGAATTTAATACAATGTAGTATAATGTGATAATATTCATTGATTCATACATTTAATTCTCGAGACAAACGTATAAAGGATTTAATTTCATTCGATCGATAATTTTATAGAAATATAACTGTAACGTATAACTGGAGTTTTGATTGTTAACTCGTTTAGCTTAAAATTTGAGAAACATTCTAAAATATACATTTTGTGCAATAATCTTTTCAACTGTATATTCGTATAATTTATATAATTGTGTCAATTAACGTTAATTTAAACTAAACATTAAAAGCAGATACAATACTATGATTTTTGTACGGCACTTTTTCTGGGATATTAAAAAAATATTTAAATACATGCACAAAAGATAGACCATTTAAAATGTTGAAAATTATTTTTATTAATCCTAAGAATAGTGGTAAAATTTTGCTTAATATTTTAAATGTTTATTTTTTATGACACAAATGGGATATTGTCGATTAGTTAATAATATTTCATGTAGACAATTCTATGTGTAAAATGTAGTAAAATTAAAATTGTGATATCTAAGATACATATTGATAAAATAAAGTCAAGTTTTCCAATTAGCTGCATCAATTAGCTGATCGACGTTATTCGTATTGACGAAACATATTAAAAAATATTACACATACGCACATTCACATACATGTACATATTAATGAAAAAAATAGTTTGATTTAAATTTTAATAATTTATGATAAAAATATTCTTTCAAAGTTGCTCATATGCGATTGATTTCTTCAATATATTAATAACTAGATGTAAAATGCTTTATTCTGTGCAATTCTCGACTGCTCACACGAATATGAACGGTCGACACATATGCAAATAAACACTACATATGTGCTTGTAAATACATATAACGTAATGCTTTTCTCATTTATTCATATAAGAAAAAAATATTGCTTGGAAATTATTAAACAGCTAGAAAGTACCGTTTGTACATAAAAAATAAGTAATTTAATGCACATTCCAGTTTATATATATCACATTTGATAGCGCTATTGACGACCTGGCAGTTAAAAGGAATGATAATATACGAGATAAATGTGTCGCGATTTTTTTCGAATTTCACATAGATATTATATTCTGCACTCCTTATAAATCTATTCATCTCAGCAAGTTGCAATAAATCTTTCAAAATCTCAACTTTCAATTGTTTATCAATTAACCTTCCGACTCTATTTATCCTACTTGTTTCATATTCCACTCACCAATTAATGTATAATTACATTAATTACATTAATCATTAACGTTTTATCTTCATACAATCCAAGGTGCATTGGGACAATACTATGATGTTACTCCCAAATATTTTCTTTGCGAAATGGCATTACTCACACTCAATGAGCCACAATCATTGCTTGTATGAATGTTTATGATTGGTTTGACTGATAAGCTGCATATATTGGTCCTGCTTTTTGTTTTGCCAGGTTTTTGGCTTTCTTAGCAGCATCTTTTACTTTTTCTGCTTTACCCTGTAATGAATGTTGCAAATCCTCTGCAAGGCTCGGTTTTGTTTGAGCAATGCCATCATCAGTAGTGCTATGGCCAGCTTGCATGGAGAAACTTGTTTGAGAGAGCTGTGGATTTATAAACTGAGCTCTCTGAGGGAACATATTTGTGAGAACATAATTAAAGCCTTCTGACATTTTGTTGCAGTTTTTCTTAAACCGATCCATTCCAAAAGCTTGGATTGCTCTACTGAAACCAAAGACCTGGCTGTCAATCCATGCACACCTTTTGGCAACTGTCCATTCTGGATTTTCTTCAGAGATTTCATAAACTACTTTTTCAATAATACTCTACCGAATAACATAAACTTTGTTAGATTTATATACATCCATATATACTTTATATATATTTGTGTGTACTTTTAATTTGAATATAAATCTTATAATATAATCAACAATAATTCTTTTTATAATGACTATTAATTACATTATATATATTAACTATATATATATATATATATATAATATAACTAGATAATATTAATATTAGTTGGTGCAATTTAGTAAACAGTGTATTGACCTACCATAACTTTGGTATATCCTAAATTCCTTGTATAGGTAGTTAAAGTTTTTGCTTTTGGATCAACAATACTTTCCTCCACAATTTTGACTATATTCTTACTGATGAACCTTTCACCCCATTTTGGTACTCTGTTAGTTTTTGTTAGTAACCGTGTAGAGTAGAGCTTTCCATCTTTGATTTCTCTCGAAACAGTATCCTCAGTAAGAACGTGTGAACTATGAAATATACCAGGTATAAGCTAATTAACTGAATCATTTTATGACATATGTTACGTAAGATTCATGATTGAAGGAATAATATGACATAATGCATTTACATACCTATGTGGATTCGGGTATCTTTGAAAGAAACCTCGTGCAACTTGGGTCCAATCAAATTGAAAGACCATAGTGTTTTCATAATACTTCATTGTGTATTTTGTTGTCTTTATCTCGTAAAGTTTTGTAAGTTTGTAAAAGAAGCTAACAGCGTAAATTTGTTCAGTTTATCAGTGAGATCGTTTGTGATTACGTTAAATACAGTTGGAAAAAATAACAGGAGTTTAGACGTGAAAGAGAAAACATCGCATACTCGCCATAGCGCATCTATGAGTCGATTTTGGTCGATCACTACCTCAATTGTTCTGTTACTACTTTAAATCTATCACTACCGTGTTTGGTCGCTGTAGTTCTGAGCCACAATAGATGTAGTAAGCTTTAAGCCTTAAGAAATTGACCAATCACAGTCGATTATTTTCCTCAAATTTGATTGTGATTGGTCAATTTCTTAAGGCTTAAAGGGACGTCTACATTGGAAGTAAGCAGTAAGAAGTAGGAAGTAAGAATAAGAAATTGACCAATTATAGTTGATTATTCTTCTCACATTCGACTGTGGTTGGTCAATTTCTTACTCTTACTTCCTACTTCTTGCTATTTACTTCCAATGTAGACGTCCCTTAAGCGTCTTCTACAATGGCAGTAGGAGTAGTAGTAAGAAATAAGCAGTAAGCAAATTGACCAATTCCATTCTCACGTTTCAAAAATAATCGATTGTGATTGGTCTATTTACTTACTGCTTATTTCTTACTACTACTCCTACTGCCATTGTAGAAGACGCTTTAAAGCTTGCTGTACCTATTGTTGATCAGGAGTAAATGGTGGCGGCTCGTAGTGGAGATTTCGGAACTACAAAAATAACGGGTTAAAGAGTGCAATCTACTAAACGTTACAGACGTTTTGAAGCGCTTAAAAAGCACTTGTAGCGTCTAGTGGATCGTACTTTTTAAGGCTTCAAAGCGTTTGTAGCGTCTAGTGGATTGCATCCTTAGATCTGCTATTTTGTAAAGTTAATTCTGAAGTCTCCGCTACGAGCCGCCACCATCTCTATCGACCAATTGCGGTTGAATAAGGATTCTCCATCTCAACAAGAAAAAGAAGACCAATTACAGTAGTGATAGATTTAAGACAACGATAAAACAATTAAAAAAGTGTGAGTCACCTGCATCGATAGATTGATAGTTTCTTGTGAACCAGAGAATCAATTCTTGATATTTTTAAATTCGATTCATCGCTTTGTCGATTACTTACGCTTGACAAAAGCCAATTAGAACTCGCGCGGTAGAAAAGCAAAAATTAGCAGATCACGAGTTCTGATTGACTTCTGCTTTTTTGCCGAAATGTGAATACGCCTTTATGCAGTATTCACACCGCGTCCAATGTCCGACGTACGACGTCCGATATCCAATAGGAGAACAGCTTTCTAATAGAGGATTCAATTCTTCATTGGAAAACTATTCTTTTATTGGATATTGGACGTCGGACATCGACGCGGTGTGAATCCTGCATTAGAATTCGCGTTGATGTTTAGTCCACAAAAGGTTAAAAGGGCCAAAGACGCAGGTGCACGCAGGCCTGCGACAAAAACAGAGAGTCCACAGAAGAAGGAAAACAAGGTGCTTTAAAATATTATAAAGTATTTAAAGTCAATTTAAGTCATCATTTCTGTCAAGAGACAGAAATGGAGACGATATTAGAGCAGCAACGACGATACCACGAAGAGAGGGAACGACTGATGGATGCAATGGTAAAGGAGATGTTGCATAAAAAAGCTGGGCATCGTGAGAATATAAACTCGGAACATCGACTGAAAATGCTGCTCGATCAATATACAGACAGTACAACGCATTTGCAAGATTTATATGAAGATAAGGATGGACAGAGGAAAGAAGAGGTACGTCAATATAACTTTAGAATATTATAACATAGGTTCATGATATAAACCTCATTTCCCAGAAATCAATGAAAAAATATATATAATATAAATATTATATGTATAAGTATATCCAATTTTCAGGTTCAAGCGCTCTCTGGTCCAAATGAATTCTCAGAATTTTATTCACGCTTGAAATCTATAAAGGAATTCTATCGGCGACATCCTAACGAAATTAGTGTTCCCATGTCTGTCGAATTTGAGGAGTTAGCTAAGATGAGGGAGAATCCAACAGAGGAGTTGTCCAATCTTGTTGAGTTTACAGATGAGGAAGGTTACGGAAAGTATCTTGATCTTCATGAATGTTATCAGAAGTATATCAATCTCAAAGGGATAGAAAAGATTGATTATATAACTTACCTGTCAACATTCGATCATTTGTTTGATATTGCTCGAGAGAGGAAGAATGCAGAATATCAAAGATATGTTGAGTCTCTCCTAGGATATCTGACAGATTATTTGAGCAGAGTGAGGCCTCTGTTGGATATAAGCATGGAGATTGAAGAAGCCAACAAGGACTTTCAAATTCACTGGGAGAAGAACACATTCCCTGGCTGGCCGAAGGAGGCTGGAAGTGCTTTGACTCACGTGGGAGCACATTTGGAGTTGTCTGCGTTTTCATCGTGGGAAGAACTCGCGTCCCTTGGTTTGGACAGATTGAAGTCAGCCTTGATGGCGTTGGGTCTTAAATGTGGAGGCACCCTCGAGGAACGTGCCCAGAGACTCTTCAGCACGAAGGGCGAGGCTTCCTTGGACCCCAATCTATTGGCTAAGAATCGGAAGGGCAAGTCAGCCAAGGGTAGAGATTCCGAGAAGCAAAAGGATATCGCGCGGCTCGAGTCCCACGTGTACAGACTCGCGGAATTGGTGTCTGGACAACGAGTGGCCACGAAGGAGAACGTGCAGAGGAAGCAGGCGAGAACCGAAGGCGAGAGGGGAGATTCCGACGCGGAGGCGAGCGCGAGCGAGTCGGAGGAGGAGGATGACAACGAGGTGCCCTACAACCCGAAGAATCTACCCTTGGGATGGGACGGCAAGCCGATACCTTACTGGCTGTATAAACTGCACGGCCTGAATATCAGTTACAACTGCGAGATCTGCGGCAATTTCACATACAAGGGCCCGAAGGCATTTCAGAGACATTTCGCGGAATGGAGACACGCGCATGGCATGCGTTGTCTCGGCATTCCGAATACGGCGCATTTCGCCAATGTTACTCAGATCGAAGATGCTCTCGCTCTATGGGACAAGCTCAAGGCTCAGAAACAGGCCGAGCGTTGGCAGCCGGAGCAGGAAGAGGAATTCGAGGATTCTCTTGGCAATGTGGTCAATCGCAAAACATACGAAGATCTCAAAAGGCAGGGTTTGCTGTAATTATACGAAAGTGTCACTGGAATTGAATCCATCACGAGGTTTGGTTGTCAATTGTCTACTTTTTACAATTATCTCTCATTGACTTAGAAGTCTAATAAAGCGTTTAATATTCATGAGAGTTTTTTTGTTGAATCAATGAATAGTAGGTTTTCTCATAACAAGAATTCCGCAATTCCCGGCACTTTCCACGTCCATTTTCTTCTCATTTTATGCACATTTATCTCAATGATTATAGAGAGCAGGTCGCATGCGAATATGGAATACTTAATAAACCTTTTATTTGTTCAGTACTCTGTGTATCAGATAGTCAAAGGTATCGCCACGTTGGCGAATATTACACTTGGAAGGAACAGTCAATATACATGAAAGCGCATTAATTGTGATCGCACATTCATTTTATATTTCAATGACAATCGGATATCTCAGGTGATCGCGGCGCGTAATACTGATACGTCTATCTGTCGCCAATACTCCTCATGCAGAAAATATAAAAAAGTAATTCTCTGGATTTTATGCTGTTTATGCTGGACAATTAAGGCTTCTTTTAAGGAACATACATCACGGAATTAAATATCTTTACGTATATATATTCCGAACAACGTTTTATTCCGGCACCGTAAAATTTCCTATAGATATCGTCCAGAATAAACGAAATTTTAGATGACTAGTTTATATATATATATATATATATATATATATATATATATATATTTTTTTTTTTTTTTTTATTT